CAGTGATGGCTCATGTCATCTGCAGGTCACAGTGATGGCTCATGTCATATGCAGGTCACAGTGATGGCTCATGTCATCAGCAGGTCACAGTGATGGCTCATGTCATCAGCAGGTCACAGTGATGGCTCATGTCATTTGAAACTTGACTGATTGATTGCCAAGCAAGACGAGCCACCTTGAGTGTTTACCTGTTTATCTAGTTGATAACCCATTGCCCGTGTAGGTATGTGGTTACCTGGGCCGTTACCTGCCACATAGCTCACCCGCCAGACTGCCACACTCGGGCTAACGAGCGAGGCTTGAACCATCTGTCACTATCTGTTTGGTGGCTGGCAGTGGTTCAATGTTTCATTCACACTCTCGGGGTTTTTCAATCATTCCGTCAATGTTTCATTCACACTCTCGGGGTTTTTCAATCATTGCTTCAATGTTTCATTCATACTCTCGGGGTTTTTCAATCATTCCGTCAATGTTTCATTCACACTCTCGGGGTTTTTCAATCATTGCTTCAATGTTTCATTCATACTCTCGGGGTTTTTCAATCATTGCTTCAAGGTTTCATTCATACTCTCGGGGCACGTAGATTGTTGTTGTCAAGGTCATGCTTGGACTTTATGTCGGCTACATAGCCCTTAGTCCTACCATGGGTTCTAATGCTACATAGTCCTACCTTTTGACCTAATGCTACATAGTCCTACCATGTTACATCAAGAGGCGTTGTTTCACTGTACATTATGTGTACCCTCCACTGTACATTATGTGTACGTATAGCTCAAGTGTGACGAGTCACGTTACGTATAGCTCAAGTGTGACGAATCACGTGACGTTTTGCTCAAGTATGACGTGTCACACAACCTATTCAACGTTTAACTGTAATTAGGGGCTGTGCACTATGTGCCCATTGATCTCAATATATAGTGGGGGTAGACAATATATAGACAACCCTAGCCCTGTACACACTCCCACATAGACAACCCTAGCCCTGTACACACTCCCACATAGACAACCCTAGCCCTGTACACACTCCCACATCGACAACCCTAGCCCTGTACACACTCCCACATAGACAACCCTAGCCCTGTACACACTCCCACATAGACAACCCTAGCCCTGTACACACTCCCACATAGACAACCCTAGCCTTGTACACACTCCCACATAGACAACATCAGCTGTTGCGCGCGCCTTGACTTTGAAATTTAAAAAAAAATCAACTAGCGTATGCCTTAGCGAAGAAAAAAAAACTAGTTTGTGTTGTAAAGTTTCTTGAGTCCGTCAGCTGTTAGTGAACGTGACGGGTGTTTAACACATTGGCACAGGTTTAGTTGCTTCATATTTTAGTGACTGCTTCATGTCGCCCTAATACATGCTACAGTCTGAGACACCCCTGCAGTTTAAGACGCCCCTTCTACAGTTTAGGACGCACTTTGTACACTTTGAGACGCCCCTGGTACAGTTTAAGACGCCCCTTCTACAGTTTAGGACGCACTTTGTACACTTTGAGACGCCCCTGGTACAGTTTAAGACGCTCCTTCTACACTTTGAGACGCCCTGTTTTCTTTGATGATTACGGGTGCTATTTCAAGTAGGATTAAAGATTTCTATGATATGGTGGCAGCAAGGTTGGGCACTGGATAAGCACATGATGTGGTGATGTGGCCCGCTGGTGACATGAGTGGCCCAATGGTGACATGAGTGGCCCAATGGTGACATGAGTGACCCACTGGTGACATGATGTGGCCCACTGGTGACATGAGTGGCCCACTGGTGACATGAGTGGCCCACTGGTGACATGAGTGGCCCAATGGTGACATGAGTGACCCACTGGTGACATGATGTGGCCCACTGGTGACATGAGTGGCCCACTGGTGACATGAGTGGCCCACTGGTGACATGAGTGGCCCACTGGTGACATGATGTGGCCCACTGGTGACATGAGTGGCCCACTGGTGACATGAGTGGCCCAATGGTGACATGATGTGGCCCAATGGTGACATGAGTGGCCCAATGGTGACATGAGTGGCCCAATGGTGACATGAGTGGCCCACTGGTGACATGAGTGGCCCAATGGTGACATGAGTGGCCCACTGGTGACATGAGTGGCCCACTGGTGACATGAGTGGCCCACTGGTGACATGAGTGGCCCACTGGTGACATGAGTGGCCCACTGGTGACATGAGTGGCCCACTGGTGACATGAGTGACCCACTGGTGACATGAGTTGCCCACTGGTGACATGATGTGGCCCAATGGTGACATGAGTGGCCCAATGGTGACATGAGTGACCCACTGGTGACATGATTTGGCCCAATGGTGACATGATGTGGCCCACTGGTGACATGAGTGGCCCACTGGTGACATGATGTGGCCCAATGGTGACTTGATGTGTAAGCGTCTCTAGCCCTGGTATGATTCTCAAAAGTTTGAGACGTTTTGATTTTAGCCTTTTTCATCTATTTTGCTGAGTAATTGACTTCAATGATTTCCTCTGATTTATAATGAACTTTAACCTCAAGCTAGATGATTGAACTATGTTTTGAACCTTTTAGAACAGTTTTCTGTTTCTTGTTATATTGGGTAGGTTGTGGGTAGGTACAGCTCACGAAGATGGGGGGGGGGTAGGTACAGCCATCAGAGAGACGAGACAAAGCTAACAAGCTCATTAGCGTCTCTTTACACGCTGTTATTGAAATACCGGCTGTGTAAGGGAGGGGGGGGGGGGGGTGCGATATCTCGCCTGCACCAATGTAGATAGCTTTAATCACTGTCTGTATCTAGGTCATGTGACCATTTGCTAACACGGGGAGGCTTTTTACTGCCGTCTCCAACTGGGACGCTCCAAACGATCCTCATGGAGTAGAGCATCTTCTCTCGGCCTCTCCTTACTCTGTTCACGTCCACACCAGAGGTGGCTGCATGAACTCTAGCGGGACCAGATCTCATTACAAGGATGCGGCTGATTGACATAAGCAGTTGGCCGCTCGTGATGGACGGCACACGCCGGTCTGGCGCTGTCACCTACTACACACCTACCCGAACCGGCGCTGTGACCTACTACACACCTACCCGAACCGGCGCTGTCACCTACTACACACCTATACAAACCGGCGCTGTGACCTACTACACACCTACACAAACCGGCACTGTGACCTACTACACACCTACCTAGTCGAGAGATTACAGGAGACATTTCTTAATTTGTTGTTAAAATTCTCAGCCGTCCCGACCGTTAAAAAGTCATTTGGATGTAGTGGGGGTGGGCCGGGGGATAAGTTCACGCTTTTGCTGCAGTCGGTGTGTGTGTGTGCGTGCCTCTGTGTGTGTGTGTGTGGAGCGGCGCCTGGTGTGGCGGGAGGCGGCTGTGTTTGAGTGTGAGCGCTATTTCAGCACGACTTGTTGGAGGTGTCGACATGGGGGTCAGCTCCGCTTCGTTTGTCTCGTCCGTTGTAAGGTCCAGTCTGTTGTAAGGTCCAGTCTGTTGTAAGGTCCAGTCTGTTTTAACTGCTTAAGGTCCAGTCTGTTGTAAGGTCCAGTCTGCTGTAATGTCCAGTCTGTTGTAAGGTCCAGTCTGCTGTAAGGTCCAGTCTGTTGTAAGGTCCAGTCTGTTGTAAGGTCCAGTCTGTTGTAAGGTCCAGTCTGTTGTAAGGTCCAGTCTGTTGTAAGGTCCAGTCTGTTGTAAGGTCCAGTCTGTTGTAAGGTCCAGTCTGTTGTAAGGTCCAGTCTGTTGTAAGGTCCAGTCTGCTGTAAGGTCCAGTCTGTTGTAAGGTCCAGTCTGTTGTAAGGTCCAGTCTGTTGTAAGGTCCAGTCTGTTGTAAGGTCCAGTCTGTTGTAAGGTCCAGTCTGTTGTAAGGTCCAGTCTGTTGTAAGGTCCAGTCTGTTGTAAGGTCCAGTCTGTTGTAAGGTCCAGTCTGTTGTAAGGTCCAGTCTGTTGTAAGATCCAGTCTGTTGTAAGGTCCAGTCTGTTGTAAGGTCCAGTCTGTTGTAAGGTCCAGTCTGTTTTAACTGCTTAAGGTCCAGTCTGTTGTAAGGTCCAGTCTGTTGTAAGGTCCAGTCTGTTGTAAGGTCCAGTCTGTTGTAAGGTCCAGTCTGTTGTAAGGTCCAGTCTGTTGTAAGGTCCAGTCTGTTGTAAGGTCCAGTAAGTTGTAAGGTCCAGTCTGTTGTAAGGTCCAGTCTGTTGTAAGGTCCAGTCTGTTTTAACTGCTTAAGGTCCAGTCTGTTGTAAGGTCCAGTCTGTTGTAAGGTCCAGTCTGTTGTAAGGTCCAGTCTGTTGTAAGGTCCAGTCTGTTGTAAGGTCCAGTCTGTTGTAAGGTCCAGTCTGCTGTAAGGTCCAGTCTGTTGTAAGGTCCAGTCTGTTGTAAGGTCCAGTCTGTTGTAAGGTCCAGTCTGCTGTAAGGTCCAGTCTGCTGTAAGGTCCAGTCTGTTGTAAGGTCCAGTCTGTTAAAGCTGCCCCTACCTTATACATGTTAGACAGTGTGTGGTGTTTATTTACCTGTGTGATATGTGTGTGGTGTGTGACATGTGTTTGTGGTGTTGTGTGGCAGTGTGTGTAGTTTTGTGTGATCCGTTTGTATTGTGTGGTGTTGTGTGGTAGTGTGTGGTGTTGTGTGACCTGTGTATGTGGTGTTGTGTGACCTGTGTGTGTGGTGTTGTGTGGCAGTCGGTGTGGTGTTGTGTGAGAGTTTGTGTGGGGTGTTGTGGTAGTGTGTGTGGTGTTGAGTGGTAGTGTATGTGTGGTGTTGTGTGGCAGTGTGTGATGTTTGAAACGAGCTCCAACACTTTCCTCTGACAATTGCATCAGAAAGTTGAAGCAAGTCTTGGGATGGTCACCTGTGCTGCATGTCTAGTTGAGTTGACTGTAGTAGCTTCCCTAGCATTAGTAGCTGTGCTGGTTGATGTAGACAACACCAGTCTTGTACCCAGCTGTAGTAGACTGTGTAACAAAGCATGCCAATGTCTGCACTGGGCCTTCACTGTTGTAGACACATTTTTTCTTTGTTGTAGGAAAAGCTCAGATCCCCTATAGACGGGAGCAATCTTTTTTGGAAGATAAAAGTCTCTTGGAGATTCAGTTAAACCAAGGTACTGTACCATATGATCACTTTGGTGCACCATACTTTCTATGGCTCACCCTAGTCACCTTTTATTTTCTTGTCAGCTCCTTTTATTTTTCTTCTTTTTTTGGACTGATTTGCTATGGGTTTTTTTAATTTTTGATCAGTATTTCTTCTTTGCTAGCGCTAGTTTTGTTGTTTGCTTGAGTGTGATGGGCTTTGTTTATCTAGCTGGCAGCAGTGGGCAGCAACTTTTCCTTCCTTCATGCATTCATTCAGTGCTGTTCAAGCTTTACTTAAGGATCTCTCAAGGCTTTAGAATCTTGCTTTTGTTCAGGGATTTCCACCAGATTGGTTCATTAATTTTTGTTGTAGAATTAAATACGGGTAATCCTATGTATTGGTTCACTTAACATTTCATTTTCGGAAACTTTTTTATTTTAAAAAATACAACATATATGTAGATATAAGTGTTTGTGTGTGACTACATACATATATATATATATATATATATATATATATATATATATATATATATATATATATATCTGTAATTTTTGCTTTATGCCTACAACATCTTTCACCTGATAGCCATAAAAGTTTGGGGATCTGTTGATTGGACTGCCTGTACAGGGGTACTCTTTGATTCAGTGGTCAAACTGTTCTAGGTGGATTGACCAGTGCCCTGCAGTCAGGTGACCCCAGGCTCCCTCATGAGCAATATGTTTGTTTTAGATTACACTAGGGACACAATAATAGGGGATTAAATCAAATGAGGCACATTTACCAGCACTACTGCAGTCATTGACCCGGTGCGCAGTGACCCGGATGAAACCCTTATAAAATGTTTTGTCACACTGACGTGTAGAACTACCTCACAGCAACCCTAGTGCACTGCAGAAAATTAGGTCAGGCATTTAAAAATACATCCCCAGTAACAATTCAATGTTATCATCACAAGTGTCCTTGAATTTCTTTTCACTGACTTCTATGCTTGCAAACTAGATTGATTCTACAGTGGCAAATTCCAATGGGTGTGTTCAGTAGTTAGGGAGGGTGTTGGGTGTGTTCAGTAGTTAGGGAGGGTGTTGGGTGTGTTCAGTAGTTAAGGAGGGTGTTGGGTGTGTTCAATAGTTAGGGAGGGTGTTGGGTGTGTTCAGTAGTTAGGGAGGGTGTTGTGCGTGTTCAGTAGTTAGGGAGGGTGTTGGGTGTGTTCAATAGTTAGGGAGGGTGTTGGGTGTGTTCAATAGTTAGGGAGGGTGTTGGGTGTGTTCAATAGTTAGGGAGGGTGTTGGGTGTGTTCAGTAGTTAGGGAGGGTGTTGGGTGTGTTCAGTAGTTAGGGAGGGTGTTGGGTGTGTTCAGTAGTTAGGGATGGTGTTGGGTGTGTTCAGTAGTTAGGGAGGGTGTTGGGTGTGTTCAATAGTTAGGGAGGGTGTTGGGTGTGTTCAATAGTTAGGGAGGGTGTTGGGTGTGTTCAGTAGTTAGGGAGGGTGTTGGGTGTGTTCAATAGTTAGGGAGGGTGTTGGGTGTGTTCAATAGTTAGGGAGGGTGTTGGGTGTGTTCAGTAGTTAGGGAGGGTGTTGGGTGTGTTCAATAGTTAGGGAGGGTGTTGGGTGTGTTCAATAGTTAGGGAGGGTGTTGGGTGTGTTCAATAGTTAGGGAGGGTGTTGTGTGTGTTCAATAGTTAGGGAGGGTGTTGAGTGTGTTCAGTAGTTAGGGAGGGTGTTGGGTGTGTTCAATAGTTAGGGATGGTGTTGGGTGTGTTCAGTAGTTAGGGAGGGTGTTGGGTGTGTTCAATAGTTAGGGAGGGTGTTGGGTGTGTTCAATAGTTAGGGAGGGTGTTGGGTGTGTTCAATAGTTAGGGAGGGTGTTGGGTGTGTTCAATAGTTAGGGAGGGTGTTGGGTGTGTTCAATAGTTAGGGAGGGTGTTGGGTGTGTTCAATAGTTAGGGAGGGTGTTGGGTGTGTTCAATAGTTAGGGAGGGTGTTGGGTGTGTTCAATAGTTAGGGAGGGTGTTGGGTGTGTTCAATAGTTAGGGAGGGTGTTGGGTGTGTTCAATAGTTAGGGAGGGTGTTGGGTGTGTTCAGTAGTTAGGGAGGGTGTTGGGTGTGTTCAATAGTTAGGGAGGGTGTTGGGTGTGTTCAATAGTTAGGGAGGGTGTTGGGTGTGTTCAATAGTTAGGGAGGGTGTTGGGTGTGTTCAATAGTTAGGGAGGGTGTTGGGTGTGTTCAATAGTTAGGGAGGGTGTTGGGTGTGTTCAATAGTTAGGGATGGTGTTGGGTGTGTTCAATAGTTAGGGAGGGTGTTGGGTGTGTTCAGTAGTTAGGGAGGGTGTTGAGTGTGTTCAGTAGTTAGGGAGGGTGTTGGGTGTGTTCAATAGTTAGGGAGGGTGTTGGGTGTGTTCAATAGTTAGGGAGGGTGTTGGGTGTGTTCAATAGTTAGGGAGGGTGTTGGGTGTGTTCAATAGTTAGGGAGGGTGTTGTGTGTGTTCAATAGTTAGGGAGGGTGTTGGGTGTGTTCAGTAGTTAGGGAGGGTGTTGGGTGTGTTCAGTAGTTAGGGAGGGTGTTGGGTGTGTTCAATAGTTAGGGAGGGTGTTGGGTGTGTTCAGTAGTTAGGGAGGGTGTTGAGTGTGTTCAGTAGTTAGGGAGGGTGTTGGGTGTGTTCAATAGTTAGGGAGGGTGTTGGGTGTGTTCAATAGTTAGGGAGGGTGTTGGGTGTGTTCAAGAGTTAGGGAGGGTGTTGGGTGTGTTCAATAGTTAGGGAGGGTGTTGGGTGTGTTCAATAGTTAGGGAGGGTGTTGTGTGTGTTCAATAGTTAGGGAGGGTGTTGGGTGTGTTCAATAGTTAGGGAGGGTGTTGGGTGTGTTCAATAGTTAGGGAGGGTGTTGGGTGTGTTCAATAGTTAGGGAGGGTGTTGGGTGTGTTCAATAGTTAGGGAGGGTGTTGGGTGTGTTCAATAGTTAGGGAGGGTGTTGGGTGTGTTCAATAGTTAGGGAGGGTGTTGGGTGTGTTCAATAGTTAGGGATGGTGTTGGGTGTGTTGCGTAGTTAGGGAGGGTGTTGGGTGTGTTCAATAGTTAGGGAGGGTGTTGTGTGTGTTCAATAGTTAGGGAGGGTGTTGGGTGTGTTCAGTAGTTAAGGAGGGTGTTGGGTGTGTTCAATAGTTAGGGAGGGTGTTGGGTGTGTTCAGTAGTTAAGGAGGGTGTTGGGTGTGTTCAATAGTTAGGGAGGGTGTTGTGTGTGTTCAATAGTTAGGGAGGGTGTTGGGTGTGTTCAATAGTTAGGGAGGGTGTTGGGTGTGTTCAATAGTTAGGGAGGGTGTTGGGTGTGTTCAATAGTTAGGGAGGGTGTTGGGTGTGTTCAATAGTTAGGGAGGGTGTTGGGTGTGTTCAATAGTTAGGGAGGGTGTTGGGTGTGTTCAATAGTTAGGGAGGGTGTTGGGTGTGTTCAATAGTTAGGGAGGGTGTTGGGTGTGTTCAATAGTTAGGGATGGTGTTGGGTGTGTTGCGTAGTTAGGGAGGGTGTTGGGTGTGTTCAATAGTTAGGGAGGGTGTTGGGTGTGTTCAGTAGTTAAGTAGGGTGTTGGGTGTGTTCAGTAGTTAGGGAGGGTGTTGGGTGTGTTCAGTAGTTAGGGAGGGTGTTGAGTGAATGCTCCTGTCAATCAGCTGGGCTATGACAAGGAGTGTTCCAGATATCATGACATTTGCTGCCCCATCCATCATCAGCAGGTGACCTCTGACCCCCACACAGGGTCACAGCGCCCTCAGGCCCATAATAATTAGCCTGTTGGATGAATGTTGGTTTAAAATAGTGGTTGGTAGAATTAGCCTGTTGGTCCAAAAACTAATAGGGTTTTGGTTCAGGTGTAATAGATGACACTGTATGGTAGCTAATAGGGTTTTGGTTCAGGTGTAATAGATGACACTGTATGGTAGCTAATAGGGTTTTGGTTCAGGTGTAATAGATGACACTGTATGGTAGCTAATAGGGTTTTGGTTCAGGTGTAATAGATGACACTGTATGGTAGCTAATAGGGTTTTGGTTCAGGTGTAATAGATGACACTGTATGGTAGCTAATAGGGTTTTGGTTCAGGTGTAATAGATGACACTGTATGGTAGCTAATAGGGTTTTGGTTCAGGTGTAATAGATGACACTGTATGGTAGCTAATAGGGTTTTGGTTCAGGTGTAATAGATGACACTGTATGGTAGCTAGAAAGTAAATTAGTTTTGTCTTATTTTCAGTGTATTTAAAAGCTGGTTATAAAGGTTTTTTATATTTGTTTTACTTTCTACTTTTAATGATTCCTAATTTATGAAGTTGACACGACTAAAAATATTTGCTTTAAAACACCATCAATAGCTCGCAATATCTAATACATAATTATCTGCTCTTTGATAAGCAGCAGTCTGTGACATTATTTTACAGAGTATAAGATAGGTCTTAATTTATTTTTTTTACCTCCCTTTAGTCTCAAATCGTTTTAAATCTTTATTATCTACCCCTAATAGCCTTCACAAGATCTGCTTTTGTAAACATTCTGGTGAACCACAGCTCACTAGACTGTTAGGGAGATCGTGTCTAGCTAGTAATTTCCCCGTCTGTTATTGAATATAGTAATCTATCAAGTTTAATTTATTTTAATGACTAATTAAACATCTGATTTAATTAAAAAATAGATAGACTTGTGTTGTCATCAAAGTGGAACATATATGGAAAGTTTGAACTAAATTGCTGCAATAAAAGTGGGTCAAAATTGAATTACAAGATTTACCACAAAGAGACCTAGCAAAGAAAAAAAAGGCTTATAAAAAGAAACATGATGATCAGTCTGCTGTATTCGACCAATGGTTAACTCCAAAGACATTCCCAAATGAACAACTGACAAAATAAATTTATTGAAAGTTAACGTTTGGGTTAGAAAAAAAACCCAGCCTACTGCCCTTTTCCTCTCTACTGGGCCAATGGTCTAGTATTTGATATTGATGTATCTGGAATCTCCAATCAGAAGTAAATCAAGTTCCCAAAGTGTACAATTTGATCACATGACTTAACTTGATAGCAAATTTAGTTTTACAGATACAAGTATTAAGTCTTATTTGATGCACACCTAACCCTTACACTAGCCTGTTGTAACTAACCCACTGGTCTACTGTTTGACACACTATACTTCACCTGTCTCCAGTCACTGGCTTGTGGTCCACTGTGGGCTGATGGTGTCCCACTGTGGGCTGGTGGTGTCCCACTGTGGGCTGATGGTGTCCCGCTGGGCCAGACATCCATAGATGTTGTAGCAAGTTCCCTCCCTCTGTCCACAGAGTCCCTGCTCCAACACCGGCCACTGCCTGAGGCCCCGCTGGACAACCTTGGTCAGAGATGGATGTCCAAGGAAAACTTGCTCAACATGGCAGCAGAGGAGGACCCCAGCTTGTTTGTTGCACTTTACGACTTCCAGGCAGGGGGAGACAACCAGCTCAGTATATCCAAAGGTCAGTGCTCTTTACCCCAAGGTCAGTTTGATTTTTACAAAGGTCAGTTTGCTTAACCCCAAGGTCAGCTTGATTTACCCCAAGGTCAGTTTACTTTACCCAAAGGTCAGTTTGTTTAACCCCAAGGTCAGTTTGTTTAACCCCAAGGTCAGTTTGTTTAACCCCAAGGTCAGTTTACTTTACCCCAAGGTCAGTTTGTTTAACCCCAAGGTCAGTTTACTTTACCCCAAGGTCAGTTTCCTTAACCCCAAGGTCAGTTTGTTTAACCCCAAGGTCAGTTTACTTTACCCCAAGGACAGTTTACTTTACCCCAAGGTCAGTTTACTTTACCCCAAGGTCAGTTTACTTTACCCCAAGGTCAGTTTACTTTACCCCAAGGTCAGTTTACTTTATCCCAAGGTCAGTTTACTTTATCCCAAGGTCTGATAACTCCATTAAACTTGAATATTTGCTTGCTGAAGATGTGTGGTTGAGCAACATTTGCTTGCTGAAGATGTGTGGTTGAGCAATATTTGCTTGCTGAAGATGTGTGGTTGAGCAATATTTGCTTGCTGAAGATGTGTGGTTGAGCAACATTTGCTTGCTGAAGATGTGTGGTTGAGCAACATTTGCTTGCTGAAGATGTGTGGTTGAGCAACATTTGCTTGCTGAAGATGTGTGGTTGAGCAATATTTGCTTGCTGAAGATGTGTGGTTGAGCAATATTTGCTTGCTGAAGATGTGTGGTTGAGCAACATTTGCTTGCTGAAGATGTGTGGTTGAGCAACATTTGCTTGCTGAAGATGTGTGGTTGAGCAACATTTGCTTGCTGAAGATGTGTGGTTGAGCAACATTTGCTTGCTGAAGATGTGTGGTTGAGCAATATTTGCTTGCTGAAGATGTGTGGTTGAGCAATATTTGCTTGCTGAAGATGTGTGGTTGAGCAACATTTGCTTGCTGAAGATGTGTGGTTGAGCAACATTTGCTTGCTGAAGATGTGTGGTTGAGCAACATTTGCTTGCTGAAGATGTGTGGTTGAGCAACATTTGCTTGCTGAAGATGTGTGGTTGAGCAATATTTGCTTGCTGAAGATGTGTGGTTGAGCAACATTTGCTTGCTGAAGATGTGTGGTTGAGCAACATTTGCTTGCTGAAGATGTGTGGTTGAGCAACATTTGCTTGCTGAAGATGTGTGGTTGAGCAACATTTGCTTGCTGAAGATGTGTGGTTGAGCAACATTTGCTTGCTGAAGATGTGTGGTTGAGCAACATTTGCTTGCTGAAGATGTGTGGTTGAGCAACATTTGCTTGCTGAAGATGTGTGGTTGAGCAACATTTGCTTGCTGAAGATGTGTGGTTGAGCAACATTTGCTTGCTGAAGATGTGTGGTTGAGCAACATTTGCTTGCTGAAGATGTGTGGTTGAGCAACATTTGCTTGCTGAAGATGTGTGGTTGAGCAACATTTGCTTGCTGAAGATGTGTGGTTGAGCAACATTTGCTTGCTGAAGATGTGTGGTTGAGCAACATTTGCTTGCTGAAGATGTGTGGTTGAGCAACATTTGCTTGCTGAAGATGTGTGGTTGAGCAACATTTGCTTGCTGAAGATGTGTGGTTGAGCAACATTTGCTTGCTGAAGATGTGTGGTTGAGCAACATTTGCTTGCTGAAGATGTGTGGTTGAGCAACATTTGCTTGCTGAAGATGTGTGGTTGAGCAACATTTGCTTGCTGAAGATGTGTGGTTGAGCAACATTTGCTTGCTGAAGATGTGTGGTTGAGCAACATTTGCTTGCTGAAGATGTGTGGTTGAGCAACATTTGCTTGCTGAAGATGTGTGGTTGAGCAATATTTGCTTGCTGAAGATGTGTGGTTGAGCAACATTTGCTTGCTGAAGATGTGTGGTTGAGCAACATTTGCTTGCTGAAGATGTGTGGTTGAGCAACATTTGCTTGCTGAAGATGTGTGGTTGAGCAACATTTGCTTGCTGAAGATGTGTGGTTGAGCAACATTTGCTTGCTGAAGATGTGTGGTTGAGCAACATTTGCTTGCTGAAGATGTGTGGTTGAGCAACATTTGCTTGCTGAAGATGTGTGGTTGAGCATAATTGTTGTCTGTGTTGGCACCAGGTGAGATGGTGACCATGATAGCCTACAACAACAGTGGGGAGTGGTGTGAGGTCAAGAACCGGGCAGGCCAGGGAGGCTGGGTGCCCAGCAACTACATTGGTCCAGTCAACAGCGTGGACAAGTTCTCCTGGTACCACGGGCCCATCTCAAGGAACGCCTCCGAGTACCTACTCAGCTCCGGCATCAACGGCAGCTTCCTGGTGCGGGAGAGTGAGAGCAGCCCGGGTCAGAGGTCAATCTCTGTCAGATATGAAGGCAGGGTCTACCACTATAGGATCAGTGAAGACTCAGATGGCAAGGTAGGTTTGGTGGCCTTGTTAAGTCTCTAGCCAGACACAACCAGCCAGAGAGCTAACCCTACCTCTCCCCCTCAGGTCTTTGTCACCCAGGAGCACAGGTTCAACACTCTGGGGGAGCTGGTCCATCACCATTCCATTCACGCAGATGGGCTAGTCACCACCCTCTTGTACCCCGCCCCCAAGAGACAGAAGCCAACCGTCTTTGGGGTCAGTCCAGAGCCAGATAAGTGGGAGATTGAGAGGACGGAGATCGCCATGAAGCATCGGTTAGGTAAGGTTAATGCTGGCAGGCTGGAGGAGACACATCTAACTAATTTGACATGTTTTATCTGACAGCATCAAGTTAGTGATGATTGACTGTCCTGACTGAATAAAGTCACGTGACTATCCTGACTGAATAAAGTCACGTGACTGTCCTGACTGAATAAAGTCATGTGACTGTCCTGACTGAATAAAGTCATGTGACTGTCTTGACTGAATAAAGTCACGTGACTGTCCTGAGTGAATGAAGTGAAGTCACGTGACTGTCCTGACTGAATGAAGTGAAGTCACGTGACTATCCTGACTGAATAAAGTCATGTAACTGTCCTGACTGAATAAAGTCATGTGACTCTCCTGACTGAATAAAGTCACATGACTGTCCTGACTGAATAAAGTCATGTGACTGTCCTGACAGAATAAAGTCGTGTGACTGTCCTGACTGAATGCAGTCATACAACGTATGTGTCTTGTGTGCTGCAGGAGGGGGCCAGTATGGTGACGTGTACGAAGCTGTCTGGAAGAGGTACAGCAAGACAGTGGCAGTCAAGACATTAAAGGAGGACACCATGGCGCTCAAGGACTTCCTAGAGGAAGCTGCCATCATGAAGGAGATGAAGCACCCAAACCTTGTCCAGTTGTTAGGTCAGTTCTGGATGGCTGGTGGGTGGGTGGGTCAGTTCTGGCTGGCTGGTGGGTGGGTGGGTCAGTGGTGGCTGGCTGGTGGGTGGGTGGGTCAGTTCTGGCTGGCTGGTGGGTGGGTGGGTCAGTTCTGGCTGGTGGGTGGGTGGGTGGGTCAGTTCTGGCTGGTGGGTGGGTGGGTCAGTTCTGGCTGGTGGGTGGGTGGGTCAGTTCTGGCTGGTGGGTGGGTGGGTCAGTTCTGGCTGGTGGGTGGGTGGGTGGGTGGGTCAGTTCTGGCTGGTGGGTGGGTGGGTGGGTCAGTTCTGGCTGGTGGGTGGGTGGGTCAGTTCTGGCTGGTGGGTGGGTGGGTCAGTTCTGGCTGGTGGGTGGGTGGGTGGGTGGGTCAGTTCTGGCTGGTAAGTGGGTGGGACAGTTCTGACTGGCTGGTGGGTGGGTCAGTTATGGCTGGCTGGTGGGTGGGTGGGTCAGTTCTGGCTGGCTGGTGGGTGGGTGGGTCAGTGGTGGCTGGCTGGTGGGTGGGTGGGTGGGTCAGTTCTGGCTGGTAAGTGGGTGGGACAGTTCTGACTGGCTGGTGGGTGGGTCAGTTATGGCTGGCTGGTGGGTGGGTGGGTCAGTTCTGGCTGGCTGGTGGGTGGGTGGGTCAGTGGTGGCTGGCTGGTGGGTGGGTGGGTGAGTCAGTTATGGCTGGCTGGTGGGTGGGTGGGTCAGTTCTGGCTGGTGGGTGGGTGGGTGGGTCAGTTCTGGTGGGTGGGTGGGACAGTTCTGGCTGGTTGGTGGGTGGGTGGGTGGGACAGTTCTGGTGGGTGGGTGGGTGGGACAGTTCTGGTGGGTGGGTGGGACAGTTCTGGCTGGCTGGTGGGTGGGTGGGTGGGTCAGTGCTGGCTGGTGGGTGGGTGGGTGGGTGGGTCAGTTCTGGTGGGTGGGTGGGTCAGTTCTGGCTGGCTGGTGGTGGGTGGGTGGGTGGGTGGGTGGGACAGTTCTGGCTGGCTGGTGGTGGGTGGGTCATTTCTAGTTTCTTTTGACGGAACCATTTTGACATGGCACTAACGATGTTTGTTTGACAGGTGTTTGTACAAGGGAGCCCCCCTTCTATATTGTGACAGAGTTTATGGCACAAGGCAACTTGCTGGACTACCTGAGGAGCTCTAACAAGGAGGACATAGGTCCCACAGTGCTCATGTACATGGCCACACAGATAGCATCAGCCATGGCTTACCTAGAGGCTAGGAGTTTTATCCATAGGTTTGTACAACCATCAGGGCATTCTCAAACATCTACAATATCTCAGTGGTCTCACTTGATCTTAATACATGGGTTTATTTTTAATAGAATTTTAAAATCTTTGTTTATAAAAATATTGTACATCAGATAAGCACATTAGTGATTACTTCATTAGAATAAGGTATGATAAAATAGACTGTCTAGTGTCAATTAACTTAGAATGAAGAAGACTGTGTCCACTAGACTGTCTAGTGTCAATTAACTTAGAATGAAGAAGACTGTGTCCACTAGACTGTCCAATGTCAACTTAGAATGAAGAAGACTGTGTCCACTAGACTGTCCAATGTCAATTAACTTAGAATGAAGAAGACTGTGTCCACTAGACTGTCCAATGTCAATTAACTTAGAATGAAGAAGACTGTGTCCACTAGACTGTCCAATGTCAATTAACTTAGAATGAAGAAGACTGTGTCCACTAGACTGCCCAATGTCAATTAACTTAGAATGAAGAAGACTGTGTCCACTAGACTGTCCAATGTCAATTAACTTAGAATGAAGAAGACTGTGTCCACTAGACTGCCCAATGTCAATTAACTTAGAATGAAGAAGACTGTGTCCACTAGACTGTCCAATGTCAATTAACTTAGAATGAAGAAGACTGTGTCCACTAGACTGTCCAATGTCAATTAACTTAGAATGAAGAAGACTGTGTCCACTAGACTGCCCAATGTCAATTAACTTAGAATGAAGAAGACTGTGTCCACTAGACTGTCCAATGTCAATTAACTTAGAATGAAGAAGACTGTGTCCACTAGACTGTCCAATGTCAATTAACTTAGAATGAAGAAGACTGTGTCCACTAGACTGCCCAATGTCAATTAACTTAGAATGAAGAAGACTCTGTCCACTAGACTGTCCAGTGAGATGTGTGGAGCATTGAATCTTGTGTCTCCCCAGGGACCTGGCTGCCCGCAACTGTCTGGTGGGAGAGGCCAACCTGGTCAAGGTGGCTGACTTTGGCCTGGCTCGCCTGATGAAGGACGACACCTACACTGCCCACGCAGGAGCCAAGTTCCCCATCAAGTGGACGGCGCCAGAAGGCTTGGCCTACAACAGGTTTTCTACCAAGTCTGATGTCTGGGGTAAGCAGCTTACTTGTAGGCTATATTTAGAAACATCATTTCATTGACCCTTTCTTACCCAAACTTTAAAATTATATTTTTATCATTTAGAACAACATTAGACAACAACTAAGATCATTTTTAAACATTTTTACTTTTTCACAATCTCTACGTTTTACACCTCTCTGAGTTGGACAAACTTAATTGTACAATTTTATCTGTGTCTGTGAACACGATAACTTGAGTACCCTTGCAGCTAAGTTGATGAAATTTCATATTTAAGTATTTTATCATATTTATAGTTGTGTATCAACCTTCCACTGATTTCATGTAACCAGGAGTGGAAGTTACTCTACTTTCTGTTTTTCAAAAGCCAATAATAACTTAAGTACTGTTTCAGTTAGATAGAAGAAATTTCACATAGATGGTGTAGATCTAATTCTCTGTTTTCTGACCAATTTTTTGTCATTTCTACTGATAGGAAGTAGTACTTTACCCTATTCAGATTTCTCAGGAAAAAACATATGAATTTATTTGTAACTTGATTCCTCTGTCTTTGTTTAAAAACCTATCTGTAAAGGACCATGACATGTGTGTTTAGTAATCAGCATATGACCGGCATTGCCCACACTAACCGAAACACAAACAAAAAAACGCAACCATAACAAAAATGAAAACGAAAACACAAACCCAACAGCAATCACAAAGAAAACGCAAACAAGAAAGCTAACAAGTGTCTAGATTGGATACAAACCTGGTGTGTCTAGATTGGATACAAATGTCCCTGGTGTGTCTAGATTGTATACAAATGTCCCTGGTGTGTCTAGATCGGATACAAATGTCCCTGGTGTGTCTAGATTGGATACAAATGTCCCTGGTGTGTCTAGATACAAATGTCCCTGGTGTGTCTAGATTGGATACAAATGTCCCTGGTGTGTCTAGATTGGATACAAATGTCCCTGGTGTGTTTAGATACAAATGTCCCTGGTGTGTCTAGATTGGATACAAATGTCCCTTGTGTGTCTAGATTGTATACAAATGTCCCTGGTGTGTCTAGATCGGATACAAATGTCCCTGGTGTGTCTAGATTGGATACAAAAATGTCCCTGGTGTGTCTAGATACAAATGTCCCTGGTGTGTCTAGATACAAATGTCCCTGGTGTGTCTAGATTGGATACAAATGTCCCTGGTGTGTCTAGATACAAATGTCCCTGGTGTGTCTAGATTGGATACAAATGTCCCTGGTGTGATACAAATGTCCCTGGTGTGTCTAGATTAGATACAAATGTCCCTAGTGTGATACAAATGTCCCTGGTGTGTCTAGATACAAATGTCCCTGGTGTGTCTAGATACAAATGTCCCTAGTGTGATACAAATGTCCCTGGTGTGTCTAGATACAAATGTCCCTAGTGTGTCTAGATTAGATACAAATGTCCCTAGTGTGATACAAATGTCCCTGGTGTTTGCCTGATGTTACCATCTTTGTGTCCCCAGCCTTTGGTGTCTTGCTGTGGGAGCTGGCAACATTTGGCATGTCCCCGTACCCAGGGGTCGACCTGACCGAGGTCTACCACCTTCTTGAGAAAGGCTACAGGATGGAGCGGCCGCCTGGCACACCCCCTGAGATACACACACTCATGTTAAAATGTAAGTTTTTATCTGGCTAGTGTAGGAAGACTTGCCACATGGCACACCCCTGAGATACACACACTCATGTTAAAATGTAAGTTTTTATCTGGCTAGTGTAGGAAGACTTGCCACATGGCACACCCCTGAGATACACACACTCATGTTAAAATGTAAGTTTTTATCTGGCTAGTGTAGGAAGACTTGCCACATGGCACACCCCCTGAGATACACACACTCATGTTAAAATGTAAGTTTTTATCTGGCTAGTGTAGGAAGACTTGCCACATGGCACACCCCCTGAGATACACACACTCATGTTAAAATGTAAGTTTTTATCTGGCTAGTGTAGGAAGACTTGCCACATGGCACACCCCCTGAGATACACACACTCATGTTAAAATGTAAGTTTTTATCTGGCTAGTGTAGGAAGACTTGCCACATGGCACACCCCCTGAGATACACACACTCATGTTAAAATGTAAGTTTTTATCTGGCACCAGCCCATGCCCTGACTGTCCATTGTATCCCACAGGCTGGCAGTGGGATCCCAAAGATCGGCCAACATTTAAGGATATCCACTTCCTACTTGAAAACATGTTTGAAAAATCCAGTATTAATGAAGGTGAGAATTTCAGCACCTCTTCCTTCGGAGGGTGGACAGGTAGGCGTTCTGGATTTGATTAGCTTGACCCTCCCAGCCTCTGAGGTCACTTGAGCTCACTGTTGACCAGCGCGTCCTTTGACTGGTGCCCCTAGGGCTCGGGGGGTTGAACATGTACTCATTGCTTGCTTGTGCCTGCTTCATCACCTGCTTGCTTGCATTTAGTCTAACCCTGTAGACAGTCAGTTGATCACATAGACAGCTGTTGGCCTTGTGGACAATCATGGGCTCCATAAAAACCATGAGCTAACATACAATGGGAGACAGGAAATAGAGTTTCTGTATGTTTATTCTGGGCTTAGTCTCATGACAGTGGCAATACAAAAAATGAACAAGTAGTGTTTCAGATGGGATGGTGTGGTGGGGTAGTAGTGTGCACAACAGCTCACTTGATAGTGTCCAGTTCGGATCTCTGAGTCCATATACAGAGATCCTACATGCATGTGAACTCTGCCCCATCTGCTCTGTCATCTATACTTGATGACAAATGTTGATGAGAGGGTCAATGTGAATATCCAGTTTGATGACAAATGGAATGCCTGGGGAAATCCCAGCCTCTTGTCAGCTGTGATCGTTGATGTTGACATTGGTAGTAAGCACCAAACACAGGGGTGCCACATTTCAGTAACAATCACCTTGTTTGTTTGTTTTTTAGCTGACATTCAAATAAAGAAAATATTTTAACATTTAATTAATGGGAATTATGACTGGCATAAAGCTTACTATTAGAACACGGTAAACCTTGTTGAAAGGATATTAATATAAGTTGTACTTTCTGTTGCTGATCATTGATTTGTTATCTACCCAACATCTCCTCCACAACCTCCTGTCCTATATCAGTCACTGATCATTGATTTGTTATCTACCCAACATCTCCTCCACAACCTCTTGTCCTGTATCAGGAAGTAGTTTACCTTGTAGATCTAGATAACTATCAAATTGATTGAGTTATTTCAATCACAGAAGGCTATTCTGGGGGCTCATACTAAGGACAACTGTTGTGTATCTCATATAACTGAGATTGCTAGTTATAGACTTACTAGCTGCATACCCATGCTCCGCCACGGTAAATCTTTTTAAAGAACAAATCAAACATAACACAACCACAACACAACCACAACAATAGAATCACCACCGAACAACACGCTTTCCTAGGCGCCCGCGCCCAAAGAGAGCCTTTCCAGCATAAAAAACAAACAAAAACACAACACAACCACAACACAACCACAACATAACCGCAACACAACCACAACATAACCGCAACACAACCACAACATAACCGCAACACAACCACAACATAACCGCAACACAACCACAACATTAGAATCACCACCGAACAACATGCTTTTCTAACGTCCGCGCACAAAGAGAGCCTTTCCAGCATAAAAAATTTAAGCCTCATAAATAGATCCTACTCCATTACTTATAATAAAACAATGCAATGCAAATAAATGTACGGCAAGGGGTGTTTACTTTTATGGTTCTAAGAAAACACATTGGCAATGTAATTAGAATCACCTTAAATTTAAATTACCTCCCTTGCAAAAATTACCCAAAAAAAGTTGAATTAATTAGTTTTTTCGACCTATTGTTATGAAAATATATCCACTTTTTCCAGGAATATAAACAAAAATTATATTTGACATTGATCCTTTTAATATGTTTTAGCGATGTGCGTGTATTTAATATTTTCTTTACGTTATGCAAAAGAGTAAAAACAGTGGCAACTATAAAATAATTTTATGTCGTTATATAAACAAACCCTACTCTATTATTTATAATAAGACACTGAAAATCTATAGCGATGATGGGCTGACACACTACCCACTACCTAGCCGCTTATATTATAGATAGGTAATTCAACATTTAAATACCATTTGGTTGGCTGTCATCTTATTGACATGAATGGCTGAAGCTCTGGTCCTGAATTGAAAAAATCAGCAGGAAGGACATTTAACTTTCTGCTAAAGAAAAAATGTTTAGGTGGGATGGCTAAATGCTTTTATAAAGTGTCTTCTGCTCCAGTAGAAACAGCAAGTATCCAACACCAGCAGTATCAGACAAAGGATATTTTCTACAAGTTATCACAAAACTTGCTTTGTTTGGAGTTTTCTCTCCTAGATAGGTTGTTGTCCCCAGCTATTAAGCCTCATCTGCTCAGGGTTCGAACTCAAGACTTGTGGAGTTAGCTCACGTACTTGACCACTGACCGCTGTTTGAACTGATGTTTAAAATGTTTATAAATAAGTCTCAAATGCACTGAGAACATAAAAAACTTGCTGTTTTTTTTTTTGTGAAAGAATTGGTCACTCATAAAATCTTTTTCAAGTTTTACTAACCAATGCTTTTACTACAAAAAGGAAGTTTGTTTTGTCTTCTTATTCTCAGTGCATTTAAAATCTTATTATAAAGGTTGTTTTACATTTTTTAAACAGTTTTTTAATACTTTCTTCTTTTTAGTAATTATGCATTTTTAAAATAAATAATGATCTCCCCTTTTATTTTAGTATTTATAATCTTTAATTTTTATTAAAATCTAATATAAAAAATTACTGCATTTAATAGCAGCTCAAAATTGAGCTAGAATTTTTTTGCCAGAAATTCAGAAATCAACAAAAAAATTGAGCTTGAAGATTAGCCAAAATCAACAAAAAAAACAGCCATTATGAACTAAAAAAAATAATTAAAAAACTGCTTTGTCAAGTTTTTCTTCAGCTTGTGGAGAAAATGAAAAGCCAATAACATTTGTCACTGACAAACTCAAAGTACTCTTTACAACAAAACAAATGGTCACATTTGTAAAAACATGAGAAAGTCCCTTCAAGGTTTTGGGTTTAAATATTGCTAAACAAAAGTCCCTTCAAGTTTTTGGGTTTAAATATTGCTAAACCAAAGTCCCTTCAAGTTTTTGGGTTTAAATATTGCTAAAAAAACCTGTATTAACATCACATGAAACTAAAGTGTGGAAAGTCGTAAAATTGCTGTGTTGTTTCTTAATTGATTTAAATTATGTTTTTAGGGTTAGTAAAATGTGAGGGATCAGGTTGTAGTTTAAAACTGAGTGGCACCCCTGCTATTGGAAGGAAAAACAGGCCTCCTAGCTTACAGCTGTTTGATACCCAACAGCTGCAACAGTTAACATTAAAGATAACTACTGACCTCTCACTAGGGCTCAGCAGGTTAACACTGAGCTGATACCTCCTAACTTTACCACCAATACTAACCCATTGATTTTTGCTTGACCAACTTTCATGCTATGCTTTACTTTTTTTATTCAATTTGTTAATTATTTGGAAATATTTGTATGAAATATTATAATGCAGCCATTGTTTGTTTTCAAGTTATCTCAGTGGCTTAGTATTGTTTGATTTTTTTTTTTTATTAAAAATTTTTGTTTCAGAGGTGGAGAAGGAGCTAGAGAAGACTGAAAGAAAAGCCCCAAGTTTACCCTCCAAGAAGGGGCGGGCTCAAGAGTCACCTGACCTAATTAGTGAAGGTCGCAGTAGTGCAGGTATACCACTTGTCCTAATTGGCAACTAGCCACCAATTTCTGTCTAAACTGGCAACTAACCACCAATTTCTGTCTAAACTGGCAACTAACCACCAATTTCTGTCTAAACTGGCAACTGACCACTTAAAATCTTATCTAAACTGGCAACTAACCACCAATTTCTGTCTAAACTGGCAACTAACCACCAATTTCTGTCTAAACTGGCAACTGACCACCAATTTCTGTCTAAACTGGCAACTGACCACCAATTTCTGTCTAAACTGGCAACTGACCACCAGTTTCTGTCTAAACTGGCAACTAACCACCAATTTCTGTCTTAACTGGCAACTAACCACCAATTTCTGTCTAAACTGGCAACTGACCACTTAAAATCTTATCTAAACTGGCAACTAACCACCAATTTCTGTCTAAACTGGCAACTGACCACCTAAAATCTTATCTAAACTGGCAACTGACCACCTAAAATCTTATCTAAACTGGCAACTGACCACTTAAAATCTTATCTAAACTGGCAACTGACACTAGAAATTAATGACTGAAAATAAGTTCAAAATTAACAATGTGTAATAGCAAAATAAAATAGCACAAATTGTTTAAGTATTGTTTGTGATTGTCTGACTGTTGTTTGAGTGTTAAGATCTGTTGTTTGTGTTTGAGTGTTGTGATTGTTTGTGTTTGAGTGTTGAGATGTGATTGTTTGAGTGTTGTGATTGTTTGTGTTTGAGTGATGTGATTGTTTGTGTTTGAGTGTTGTGATTGTTTGTGTTTGAGTGTTAAGATGTGATTGTTTGAGTGATGTGATTGTTTGAGTGATGTGATTGTTTGAGTGATGTGATTGTTTGCTCCACCAGGTCCCACCCCACCAGCAGGCAGACGAGTGCTGCCCACATTAGATGAGCAGCAACCTGTCACATTGACCAAAGTAAATGACGTCCTTGCCAGGAAATCATCCAGGAAAAAAGCTGGCAAGTCAGCTCCACTTCCACCCCGCAGGACAACTTCGGTGAAAGATGGGGGTCCAGAATCAGGTGGTGGGGATTTAGACTCGGAACTGAAATCTCGTATACGTCTTCAGAAGGTCAAACTGGATAACGCGTCATTGCCTGAGGTCAACGAATCAGATTTGAGTGAGAGCAACTCTGGCCTTGACCCTTCTCTCCACAGAGGACCTTACTATCCCCACAGCACTTCTGTACCTTCCATGATGAAAGTTCAAGGTCAGGCTGGCTCGCCCACTTTCTCCCGCGAGGACAAAGCCAGTAAAACATCTGTGGATAACTTAAAAGCTGCCCAGATAGACCGCTCCAAGTACCTGATATCTGAGGCCAATGCCCGCACCTTTGACAAACACGCCCCAGAGCGGAGCAGCACCAGGAGCCTGGGCCCGCGCTCAGGGGACTACAACCTGGACAGCTCAGGCCAGTACCAGAAGAAAGCTTTGCTCCCCCCACACAGGTCCGCCCTGCTCCCCAGGAAGAAACTCTCTGAACATTCCTCTGATCTCTCCCACAGTGTTAGCGTGGATGAGAGTGAGCTGGAGGGTCCCCCACGCCTGGGCAAGCTGGATGTGACTAATGTAGCTAAAACTATCAACAGGTACGGCACCATACCAAAAGGGGTGAGGATTGGAGCTTATTTAGAGTCAATGGAGAGAGAGCAGGAGTGTCATGGGAGGGAGTTGCCAGCACTGGATGACCACGACTCAGGCACAGACAGCGCCAGCGTCACGTCCTGCCCTACTCTAGGGGGAGACCACAGCTTGGGGGAGATGGCTGCGGCCACCAATGGGAAAAAGGGGGAGGGCATCAGTGAGGACTCTGACCCGGGCATCAAGCAGGAGCCCAATCTGAGACCCTCGGCTTTTGTCAAGTCTCAGTCGCAGCACGGCATTGTGGAGAGCCCTGCCACCACTCAGACGGCTCTCAACTCCACCAACGTCAAGTCCCAGTACTCCGGCCTGCTCCAGCGACACAAGTCCGACCTGTCCTCCTCCAGCAAGCCCAGCACCCCCTCGGAGCTCTTCACCTCCTCAGACCAGATGGCCACCTCCACTGCTTCCTCCAGCTACCACCATCCTGCTTCCGTCCAACGCTCGGACACTGACCCCATCTCCCGCCTGACTGACCACTCTCCCCCACAGCCAGCGCCACCACACTCAGCTCCCCACACAGCTTCCCACTTCCCAGAGCTGGCCGGGAAGCCCAAGCCCAGCCCCCGCTTCTCTCGCCAGTTTGTAGAGGAATCCCCTCTCCTCCACCCGCGGGCTCCTCCCAACAATATGGTCTCAGAGAACTTAACGGAGTCGTACCGGCCACCAGGGTGGATGGTGGGGCTCAAACGTCTGGAGGAGGGGCAGCTCAATGGAGCCCCTAGCAACGTCAGCTCTTTTAAAATGTATGCCAAACCATCAGTGAACCTGAACTCTGACCAAAAACTATCCCAGCAAGCTGCCCGTGACCTTGACCTGATCAGCACGGAGGTCTCTGATGCAGGACCAGCAGGGAAGGAAGCTGTGGCCTACCGCACCACGGGAGTCAAGATACTGCCTAATGCCATGAGTGTGCCGCTCTCTATGACTGGCAGTTTTTGTCTGGAGCCAGCAGCTTCCTCCCCAGTGGATGGGGCCAGCCCTGAGCCCAGCGAGCCAGTCAGCATGGACTCCATCAAGTCAGCATCAGAGAGGCTGAAGGGCTGCATCGAGCGGCTGGCTGAGGCCGGCAACAAGACCAGCACCAACTTCATGCTGCTCTCTGAGGAGGTCCTGGCCTTCTACTGCCTCTGTTCCCGCTACATCGACGCCTTGCCCCCTCACGCCAAATTCCAAGCCCGGGAACTTCTAACTCGGATGCAAGCCCACAGTCAGAGCCTGAAGACATACACCAGCAGTACACCTTCAGGGGGTGGCAAGCTGCTGGATGATATACAAGTCACTAACAAGGAAATCTTGGGGGTCATACAGAGATAGCTTGCTTTGTGGAATAGTTATACCATCTGCCTAGTTCTACCATCTGCCTAGTTGTACCGTCTGGCAAGTTTGCCTAGTTGACCAGTGCACTACAGGCATTTGTTGATTTTTTATATTCTTCTTGAAAGCATTGATGTACAAACTAAAAAAACTTGACCATATGAGGTTAGTCAATGAACAAGCTTGTATTTAATGATGTGCAATCCCTGGTCAAAGTTGTTGTGTTAGGGGTGTTGGTGTGCAGCTAGACCTTGACACTGTGCTGTCTTGTCCTAGTTGAATGTCACATGGACACTGATGATTTGATTTCTATTTGTCTGACCAAAGGGTCAAGTCTTTCTTTTACCTTGACTACAGGTTGTGCTACAGTTAACTCTCTCTGCTCCACCATTGGACAACCCACCATTGATTGTTACATGTTGGACCAGAAAGGATTAACCCCCGTTTATTTTTAGATAGATACAAACCATTTATTTCTATAGATCTTTATTTTCTCTTTCATGACCACACATATCCTGTGCTCCAGATCTGATGCTTTATTATAAGCTGAGTGCTCTGTCATATGATTGCTATCTGTTGAACTTGGTTGTACTGTAGGCTAACCCCAGGATCTCATTGAAGGGTTGCTAGTTGGGCCAACCCCAGCATCTCATTGATGGGTTGCTAGTTGGGCCAACCCCAGCATCTCATTGATGGGTTGCTAGTTGGGCCAACCCCAGCATCTCATTGATGGGTTGCTAGTTGGGCCAACCCCAGCATCTCATTGATAGGTTGCTAGTTGGGCCAACCCCAGCATCTCATTGATGGGTTGCTAGTTGGGCCAACCACAGGGTACCCAGAGCCTGGCTTATGTCTTTATCTCAGCTCATTTTGTTTGGCTTCTATTCAGGTGGTAGTTTTTACATTGAATACTTTATCATTTAGTCTTTCATCCTGTTTTCCTCTTCTGTTCAATCAAATGTTGTTGCCGTGGGGATTTGATGATCAAGTGTAAGAAGGTGGGACTCAATCAGTGAACTTACAGATCACTCTTGCTAACACAGTAGAACAAGTAGTCCCATCATTAAAGTCACAACTAAATTTGACCCACTGCTGACCACAGTGTTAGCAATAAACCTTGGTCCTCTCTGGGGGGGGGGGGGGGGTGCTTCAGAAAATGATGCCTGAAAGAAACACTTGAAGCCCTGACAGGACAGCACCCAGCACTATCTCAGCATACTGGGGGGGGGGGGGGGTCTTTTAATGGGATTGTCAGCACTTGCTCACTGGATTGTGTGGGGTACAAGGGACCAACATATCTAGCACAGGTCATCACACACACACACTACACATATAGCACACACGCTCACTGACCATTTGCTCACTCCTCCATGGCGCTAAGCTTGAATGAAATGAGGCTAGCTTTTAGGTTGTGTTGGGTGGTGTTGGTGCAAGTGATTGAAGAAAATGTGCTGCTCCAGTGAGCTGAGTGAATGGAGACCACAGTATATATTGCTGCACTCTCACATCTAGACACTGGGGGTTACATTGTATTGCTTACTAATGTTCATTTTGATTGTAAACAAGTGTTTCTTTTAGACAATTTTCTCTTGGGGGGGGGGGGGGGGGGTTGTGCTTCAGAAAATGATGCCTGAAAGAAACTCTGATGTTTTAACTGTCCACTTGATGCCCTGACAGCACCCAGCACTATCTCAGCATACTGATGAAAGTTTCACTATCCACTTGAAGCTCTCTCTGACTTATTTATTTTTTCTTGTCTTACAATTCAGTGAATAAAAAATGAACTGGATTCTCAGAGTGCAATTGTGAATAGCCTCCTTGTGGCTGTAATTTGAATTTCTTGCTATCTCTAGTCGTAGCTGGGGAGGGTTGGCTCTGACCACCTCTCCACAGTTCCTAGGACAGCTCGCTACTTAGATCAAATGCCAGCACATGACCCTGAATAATTCTCTTTAAATGTAAAAAAAAAAACAAGAATTGCAGGCGAGGGTTGACAAAGGTTGAACCAGTGTATTTTTTTATGTCTATTCCAGCAGTGTTGTTGAGCCATGCCTGTGTGTACATCTGTGGAGACTAGTCATATTTGTAGATAGTGTTGGTCTGTGTTAAACACTTGCAATATTCAACCAGTCATGTGCACAACACATTGATTTGCTTCTTTTTGGATCTGCTTTTTTATTAACTTCCATTCAATACAAAATTCTGTTTTCAATACACTTGTTATTAAATGAATGATATGATGACTATTTATATAACTTTACAATATAAGTACATTTATTTTCTCAATAGCCAAATATTTTAGAGAAAAAAATCATGTGCATGGAATGTAAAAAAAAATGTGTTTAATCCAAAACGTTAAATGACTTAATTTGATCATGATTCAAATTTTATTTTTACATTTGTATGCTCATTTGTACAAAAGTTTACTAACCAATGAGTAGACTTTTGATTTGTCTTTATTTATGTATATTATCTATGTATACAGTTGTAAAAGGATTTTTTCTCTGCTTGTACATGCAGTTGTCCGCCTTTCCATTGAGCAGAGTAGGACTTAGAGCTCAAGTCAGAATGTTGTCAGTTTTGTTTTTTTCAATTCATCATGAATTTCATGCTTGAATAATGCAATCTTTTGACCAGAGCCAGAACGGTTGGCTTTTTTGTAAGACAGAATGATGTTTTCATGCTAGTTGCTTGGTCTCTTGACACAAAGACTTGTTGGTTTTGAATGGAAATATGAATGCAGGCAGTGGATGTTGAACGAAATGCTGTCTTATTTTCTGTAAAACTTGTATCAGCATAGGTGAAACACAATCATGATACTTTTTGCTCTTGGTTTGAATGTGAAGGATGCTCATTCTTTCTCTAATGTGTAAAAAAAATGATCATTAAAAAAGTATTGAAACTGAGATAAGTTTTTCAGTGTCATGTGTAAGATATATTCATCAATCAACCTAGGCTTACTTATTGACCTTTCTAATAAAAGGGAATTCAAATTTTAAGTTGCATTAGTTGATGAATTATTCATTATGACCTGACCCGCAACGTAGCATACGCCGCTGTTTAATTTAATTCCTATTTTTCGGTAATTCATAATTTGTGAATTCAACACTACCAATGCTGCGACTGAAAATATTTTGCTTTAAAACACCATCAGTAGCTAGTGAAGGACGATTATCCTCACCCTCACTTTCCACTCCTCTTCCCCCACCCCCATGAAAGCAGCCGTCTGTGATGACAGTTTACAGATGACAATGAAAACATCAAGCAGAATCTCTTACCTCTTAGTTTCAAAATCGTTTAAAACCTAAATTATATGCCACTAATAGCCATTACTAATTCGACCCGGCTCTACGGTTGTAAACATTTAGAGTTAATCACTGCTCACCAGACTGGTGGGGTGGGGTGGTAGCGATATGCCTAGAGAGCGGGGCAGGAACGGCTAAGCCCTTACGTGGTGGTGTCTAGCATGGTCCCCACGTAGAGAATTATATAGATAGATTATTTTAGGTAGGAAACAAATAGATCTTCCCTATCAAGGTTTAAATAAATCCATTTTTTTATTTACTGATCCAAAGTATTTTCACTATATTCATTGGCCAAAACATTAAAATTAGTTACAAAAATTCACAAATAAAAAAAAAATTCAGATTCATTATTTAAGGCACTGAATCAATTTAAGCAACTAAAATATGGATGACCCGTAGAAAATTTACATGAGTATAGGAGGGAGGTGAACATTTGCATATGTGGTGTTGGTGATGTTAATGAGAGGTTGGTTAGGGTTGTGTAGTGCAACATACAGGCTATTTTCTTAATGGGTTGTCTAGTTTTATTTTCAAAATCGAACTAGTAGACTTTTATAGTAGACTATTGTTTATTATTATATTATTTATTTTATCAAAAGTTAAGTTTAAAGATTAAGAAATATATCTTACGAGCTGACTAGCAGCGCATTATTTAGTTGTTTTATTTTCTATTTTTCAGTAATTCATAATTTGTGAATTTGACAGTACCAATGCTGCCACTGAAAATGTTTGCTTTAAAACACTATCAGTAGGTCATTAAGGATGAAACCCACCCTCCTTTCCCCCAACCCCTACCATTCCACCCCCCCCCCCCCCAGGAAAGAAAAGAAGCCTCCTCTTAGTTACCTCCCCTAAGTTTAAAATCGTTTCAAACTAAATTATCTGCCCCTAATAGCCATCACTAAACCTGGCTCTACTATTGTAAACCTTTAGCGTGAAACACAGCTCACCAGACCATGTGGGGGTGGTAGTGATATGCCTAGAGAGGAAGAGAGGGGGGCTGCTGGTGCGCTTACAGCTTGGTGTTTTCTATGGTCCCCAAGAAGAGAATTATATATATATATAGATAATACTTTAAATGCATATATAGTAGTATGTAGCATTGGAACAAAGGGAGATAATTTTCATACAAAAACCTGCCCAGAGCTCTTGCCTGATTTTTCAAATTTTGTTTTTACCACTGTCTCTTATTAATTTTAAATTAATATCTTATTAATTTCTAGTAAACAAAGCAACTACATTTTTTTAAATCTACTATAATATAACCTAGTGCAATTACTTTTCATTTTCTTTCATTTTTGCCTATTAAAAAATTGATTTGAAAACAATATCAACTTTATTTTAATATATAAATTCTTGCCTGCACACAAAACTATGCAAAATGAATTAAATAAACCACTTGTGGTTCTTATCTTATAAAAAGAAATTGTGATTCAATTTTACAAATACATTTTTTATGAATTTTTTAAGATTTTGACCTTATCACTATCAGCCATGTTGTTTTTTCTCTAGATCTATATAGTATACTAGGCATGCTGCCCAGCTTCGCTTAGGCTTTCGAAAACATTGAGAATTTGAATGCTTAATTAATTCGCCAGAAGGTCGGTCTACGACCTCAAGAGTTATGAAGAGGTTCCTCCGTGGACATTTTTTTTCGATTTATAGCTCATATAAGGTACCGGTCAGTCGAGGTCAGTTTTGACCCCCACATCGTAGACTTTTCGGCCAACCGGCCCCCGTGTTCTGTCGCACCAAGGCAAGATCATGCCAAATTTGAAGCGCCTGCGGCGCCCGGAAGTGCCCTATCGGACACCCGACAATCTAGATCTAGATTCCTAAAAGAATTTTTTTTTTTTAAGTTTAGCCCGAGCATAATAAAAAAGAATACATTAACCAAGTTGACTTGCTGTGTCTCGAACCCGCACCACCTGCGTGGTTTAATGTACACAAACATCTCCGCTATTTAGGCACCTTATAAAATACGGAGAATGAAACACGTATTTTAAAATCTTAACTTACGCGAATATGCCTATTCTTTCAAATTAATTTTTTATCCCAAATTAGCCAGTTCATAACAAAGATTTTGTATAAAATAAATAAGTCTTGAAATAGTTTAGTCCTAATATAGAAATTTATTTTTGGAATTGATTTTAGAGAAGTTAAGAGTCTAAATCTAGATCTTAGCGTCTACGTCTAGATCTAGTTATTGCGTAGATTTAGATTTAAATCTAGTCTAGATCTAGAATCTCTAGATCTAGAATCCAAATAAATAAAATAAATTTTATGAGTTTAGGCCGGAAAAATTGTATTGTATACATTTCATAGTGTACGTAGATCTAAATCAAATTTGAATGAAATAGTTCATTTCTTTTCATTCAAAACACAGCAGATGACGTCATTAGTTAATGTACAAGCAATAGCGACGTCACAGTTTTATGCGTTCTTTTACACATATATTAATGCTTTTCCCGTTGCATAAATAATACTGTTTCTCTACATTCGAATACGCCTTTAATTTTTATTTTTCTTCTTTAAGTAAAATTGTGGTTATACATTTAAAACATCTAACATATTATTTTCAACAAAAGTCCGTAAAAAGTTCTTCATATATCGCTGCCGATTCTGACGTGATGTCCGGCGAAAATTTTTTGCGGACAGAGAAAGAGAGAGAGAGAGAGAGATGTGCGAACGTGGGGATTTATATATTAGGATATAGATCTAGAATAGTAAAAAATTTTATAAGAGATGTAGTCCATACATTAATTTTACAGAAAAAAATTATCCTCTCCTAGTCCTTTTGAAGCTAAAAATATGGGAGGGTGGGGGAGGCAGGGCCAGTAGCGTAGCGAGGGGGGGCGGGGGGGGACATAAGTCCCCGGGCGCCGACCTTAGGGGGGGCGCCAAATTGAAAGTTTGAGGGGGGGGTGCAAATGAAAAGTTCGAGGGGGGGTGCAAATCGAAAGTTTGAGGGGGGGGTGCAAATGAAAAGTTCGAGGGGGGGTGCAAATCGAAAGTTTGAGGGGGGGGTGCAAATCGAAAATTTGCTCTCGAGGGGGCGCCAAATTGGAAGTATGTCCCCGGGCGCCGGGAAGGGTCGCTACGCCTCTGGGCAGGGCGGTGGGGTAGTGTCGAATTCACAAATTATGAATTGTTGATAAGTAGTAAATAAAACCACTAGAATCTAGATTAGATCTAGATCTAAATCTAGGTAGCGGCGTCGTCGCGGGTCAGCTCGTAGTGTTTAAGTAAGTTGCAAGTATAGCCTATATAAACTAAATATAAACGTCGTGCAGGATCGATTTTATTTTGATTTGAGAGTGATATCCCTTCTAGACTCTATGTTTTATAAAAAAAAATATGGCCGCGATGTTAATGAGTCTGCTATGCAGCTAAGTTCAGTAAAATGCTAGCCTAAAGGCAAAGGCCGCCTAAAGTCTCTTCACTGATTATTAATATTATTAGTAATATTAGTGATAGTGATAACTGAGATGATGATCTAGATCTAGGACACACTAGGTTTGTTGATTTTTATTAGAGATTAACAGATTTACTTCTAGATCTAGATCTAATCTAGATCTAGAAGTCTAGATCTAGACTCTAGCTAGATTCTACATTTATTTTAATCATTTTATAATTCAAATTGATCTAGATGATCTCTAGATCTAATCTAATGTGAAAAACTGGTGACTCCTTAAATTAAAAAAATTATTTCACATTTTGAGGACGATTTACTATTTAGTATTTAGAATTTAGATTCTAGAGTAGATTTCCTCACGCGGTCAAAGCCATATTGCGATCACATTCCCGTTTTCGCTTCGTAAAATAATTGTTTGGATGCTTTATACGAAACTACCGGTATCTGCTGTAAGCATGTCCATTTCTAAATATATCCAGGTCAAATTCTTTTGTTTTCTCCTTCTGGATGACAAGTTTTTAAATTTTTAAGTTGAGGTATGACGTCAACCGGTGATCCCAGTTCCCCCGGATGAAAGCACTAGGTCCGGGATGAGATGAATAAAACTAACCAATCAAAGCTGTTTATAATTAGGTTAACTATAAATAGCTTCTACATATGTGTGGGACACTGTAAATACTATAGCTAAGGCTACTAAAGCAACCTGAGAGGTCAAATGGGGGTGATCGCAGCTGGGCTGACGATTCGGGTCGTTTTCCTCGCTGCGTAACCAATGACTTGAGCTAGACTAGCCTAGATCTAGATGCTCTATATTTCAAGCTAAGTCTAGAATCTGTATAGTTTATACATTATTCTGTGGTTTTAAATTATTTCGATCATCTACTTCTTCTAGAACTAGTTTGTGTCTCCATATACAAGCATATCTAAGCAAATGTTAGGTTTTGTCTTGTTAGTAATTGTTACGTCCCTTTGTTATGATTATTAAAATTGCGTCCCTTGAGTTATCACTGGGTCATCCGTGATGTGTTGTTAATAAATTTAATTAAAGTGTTTTTTATTTGGTTTTGCAGTCTATTAATTAATAATACAATCAACAACACGTTTAAAAGTGTAAATTATTTATTTTAGCTTTTAAAATTGGATCAAAACGTAAAAAAACTACGCTTGTTACGCAACAGGAAAATGTGACCGCCGGCAAGAAAAAAAAGGGGAAAAAAAGATCGCAAGCAGGCACGTCACTAAAACATGAATATCTCAAATACTATGCGTAGGAATACAAAATGATTTATAAATATTAGAGTAGAATGGCAGCGGAATAACACGGTACTTTCAGTTTGTTTCTGTGTGAAACGGGTACAAAATAGCGCCCGATGAAAATCGGGAGTTCGGATTTTTTTGCTATGTGTGACCGCGTTAGGAAATCTACTCTATGTTTTGAAAAATACATAAATGTTTCCACTTGGGCACTAACATTTTTTTTATTTCAAATATTTTATTTTTTATTAAGATTAATAGTATTTGTGCAAGGAGCTGGAGAGCCGCTTCTTGATATCAAAAGAGCCGCATGCGGCTCGCGAGCCGCAGGTTGCCGACCCCTGGTATACCCTGATCTCGACAGACCGGCGCCTTATATGAGCTATATTACGAAAAAACGTTTGTCGAACGACCTCCCTTGATATTCTGTGAGGAGGTAGAGGAACGCCTAGGGGTGTTATAAAAAACTCGGCATATCTGGGAAAACTTCGTAAAGTGGTCAAAACTGACCAGCAGGTAATTGTCGGAAAAGATCAACATGGAGTCTATTGTTTGCTAAAATAAAAACTAAAATAAGAACAAGGAAGAGTGGAAGTAGAGATGGAGGTAATATTGCTTGGTGAGCCATCAATAAAACAAAAAAAACAACAATATTTACAGAAAGAGGACAGGGTAAAAAATGTCATAACATAAAGAGAAAACAGAACTAGACTTGAAATTCTACGTGGCATAGCATACAATTTATCATACTAGGCACTATTTTTTTCTAGTTTGTAATATAACTTTATCAGTATAACTGGTTTTTGATAATAAATTAAACAAGTCTGTAATTGTAGTTTGCTGTTTTATAAAACTTGTCGGCCTTTTGTCCGTGTCTGCCTTTTGTCCGGAGTTCCCTGCATTTGCAACTTTTATATAATTAATTCTTAATTTATTAATTTTCTTAATTGTTTTCCAGCTTCAGTTTTTTAATAGTTTTTTTTGTACCCTACATGATTGTATCCCACAATATGTCTGTCTGCATACTGACATTGATTGTATCCCACAATACAATATGTCTACCTGCGTACTGACATTGATTGTATCCCCCAGCAAGGAATGGCTCAGTGTGTGGGCACCAAGGTTAAGTGTGGGGCCGCTGTTTTTGTGAGAACTCTACACACATTTGTTGTGCTTGGAGTGCCAACAACTTTACTTTTCAAGAACTCAAGTAAGTCTATTTTTGCTTTATACATCTGTAGTTTTCTTATCAAAATATCAATTCTAGTTTTTGCTATCAATTTTAAGATTTTAAACTTTAACAAACATCTTATTATCTTCTTATTTTAACACATGTTCCTCACACAACACTTGTGCCCATGCTACAATGTTGCTCACACAACAAATGTCTCTCACGCTACAAATGTTCCTCATGCTACAAATGTTCCTCATGCTACAAATGTTCCTCACGCTACAAATGTTCCTCATGCTACAAATGTTCCTCATGCTACAAATGTTCCTCACGCTACAAATGTTCCTCACACTACAAATGTTCCTCACTCTACAAATGTTCCTCACGCTACAAATATTCCTGATGCTACAAATGTTCCTCACGCTACAAATGTTCCTCACTCTACACATGTTCCTCACACTACAAATGTTCCTGACGCTACAAATATTCCTGATGCTACAAATGTTCCTCACGCTACAAATGTTCCTCACGCTACAAATGTTCCTCACTCTACAAATGTTCCTCACTCTACACATGTTCCTCACACTACAAATGTCCCTCACTCTACAAATGTTTTACGCTACAAATGTTCCTCACGCTACAAATGTCTCTCACGCTACAAATGTCTCTCACGCTACAAATGTACCTCACGCTACAAATGTTCCTCACGCTACAAATGTTCCTCACGCTACAAATGTTCCTCACTCTACAAATGTTCCTCATGCTACAAATGTTCCTCACTCTACAAATGTTCCTCACTCTACAAATGTTCCTCACGCTACAAATGTTCCTGATGCTACAAATGTCTCTCACGCTACAAATGTACCTCACGCTACAAATGTACCTCACGCTACAAATGTTCCTGACGCTACAAATGTTCCTCACTCTACAAATGTTCCTCACTCTACAAATGTTTCTCATGCTACAAATTTTCCTCACGCTACAAATGTTCCTCACGCTACAAATGTTCCTCACGCTACAAATGTTCCTCACGCTACAAATGTTCCTCACGCTACAAATGTTCCTCACGCTACAAATGTTCCTCAACAAATGTTCCTGATGCTACAAATGTTCCTCATGCTACAAATGTTCCTCAACAAATGTTCCTCATGCTACAAATGTTCCTCATGCTACAAATGTTCCTCACGCTACAAATGTTCCTCATGCTACAAATGTTCCTCACGCTACAAATGTTCCTCATGCTACAAATGTTCCTGATGCTACAAATGTTCCTGATGCTACAAATGTTCCTCAACAAATGTTCCTCATGCTACAAATGTTCCTTCCTTCAGTCCTCCAGCACAGTTTGCTATCTGGTGAACATGTGGTTGTTGGTGTGCTGTACATCTTAATGATGCTGTGGTCCCTGGCTATGTATTACCTGACCTGCCTCACCAACCCTGGCTACATTGTCATCAGTAAACAGAACAAAGCCTCCATGGTAAGTTTGTCTCTCTGCCTTACAACAGAAGCTGACCATTTGTCTCACATTTACAATAGGTGGGGTCAGTAAACAGAACAAAGCCTCCATGGTAAGTTTGTCTCTCTACCTTACAACAGAAGCTGACCATTTGTCTCACATTTACAATAGGTGGGGTCAGTAAACAGAACAAAGCCTCCATGGTAAGTTTGTCTCTCTGCCTTACAACAGAAGCTGACCATTTGTCTCACATTTACAATAGGTGGGGTCAGTAAACAGAACAAATCCTCCATGGTAAGTTTGTCTCTCTGCCTTACAACAGAAGCTGACCATTTGTCTCACATTTACATGTATTTGTTGTGATGTTTAGACCCACCACCTCCAGATGAAAGAGACAGCCACCAGTGATGATGACTTTGATATGGCTGATGAAGACATGGAGGTAGCCAGACCTGCGGATGATGTGGAGGATGGGACTGAGGAGAATGGTCACATGCTGTCCAGCAAGCCAGGCATCAAGTATCGGGTGTGTGACTACTGTGAGATCATGGTTGGTTGTTTTTTCTTGCCATTTTTAACTTTTATTTCCAGTCTAGGTATAAAAATGTGTCTACTTTCTTTACAGTCTGGGTATAAAATGTGTTTACTTTCTTTACAGTCTGGGTATAAAATGTGTTTACTTTCTTTACAGTATGGGTATAAAATGTGTTTACTTTCTTTACAGTCTGGGTATAAAATGTGTTTACTTTCTTTACAGCCAAGTAAAAAAGTTGTTAACCAAGACTTTTTTTTTTCCTAAAACAAATATTTTTTTTTAAATTGAAGAAAAAAAAGTTATCTGCATGAAAATATTCTAAAAATATTATGTTAGTCTAAATAGCTTAATAATTGGCATAGCAACATTTTAAAACAATTTTAATGGTAGAAAAAGATAAAAAGTACATGTATTATTTCAGTTTTTAAAAAAATTTTGTATGCTAAAAAAATTCATTGAAGCCCCAGTGGTAAAGCAAGAATTTTTTTTTTTTAGTGTTGTTTTCCACATGCCAGCAGCTTCCAAATGTTGTTGCCAGGAGACTTGGGGAAATAAGTTTGAGCACAACCAACTGTATCCCTATTAAAAAATCTCTAGTGTGATTTGGAGCATAGGACTCTAAAGCGTTATTGGCCCTTTCACCTGTTGATAACTAAATTGTGTCTAAAGAGTATTTTAAACTGACTGACTAGACAAGTTAAAATAACCAGGTCTGAGTTTTGTTGAGGTGATTTGAAAGCACATTTGGCCAAACAAAATGAAGTACCTGAGTTTTGTTGGGGTGATTTGAAAGCACATATGGCCAAACAAAATGAAGTACCTGAGTTTTGTTGGGGTGATTTGAAAGCACATATGGCCAAACAAAATGAAGTACCTGAGTTTTGTTGGGGTGATTTGAAAGCACATATGGCCAAACAAAATAAACTACCTGAGTTTTTTCCAGCAACCAATGAGGGCCAAGCACTGTGAGGACTGCAACAAGTGTGTCAGGAAGTTTGACCACCACTGCCCATGGCTGGAGGCGTGTATAGGGGAGAGAAATCACCGCTACTTTTGGCTGTTCCTCCTCTCAACATTTGTGCTCATTGCCTGCACCTTCTACATCACATGGTCAGGAATTTTTGCATTTCTTCTATTTTTTTTTTTTTACAAGTTTTAATACAACTTGCTTCCTCTGTCTTCCTCCTGTCTGTCTAGACTGAAACGGGTGAGCAAAATTTTAGGCACTTCTAACTGATCAATTTCTCTGAAATTTGGCACTTGAGGTCAAGATCCAATGAAAATACAATTTGACATTAAATTAGACTTAATTAGATGACTAATTAATTTTGAGTGAATTTATAAAAATTTATCATGTTCATTAGGTGCACAATAGTTTTTAGTCATGTATTAAAATTTTTGAAGTACTAAAAAAAGCATGGGTTTTTTTTTGTCATGAAACTACTGTATTAAAGATTTTAGAGTACTGAAAAAAATGCATTTAAAAAATGCATAAAAATAAAAACAAGCATTTATGTAAAAATGCACTAAAAAGAAAATTAAAAATTGTGTAAATATTAAACAATGAAGTACTATTTGAATAACTAGGAAGAAAAGCGTGGGTGTTGATAAATTTACGCACTGAATACATTTACTATGGACACTGACCTTCCTATTCCCTCTCCTAATAGACACTGACCTTCCGAGAGGCGTCAAAACGGCCAATCACAAAACGGCCCTGTCAAAACGGCCCCAACATGAGAGCCCCGTCAAATTGACCCAGTCAAAATGGCCAGCGACATATGGACCCCGTCATAAAGGCTCCAGACAAAAGGGCTCCAGTCAATAAGGCTCCTGACAAATAGGCTCCTGCCATTTAGTTTCTCCACAAAACTGTCCCCGTCATTACGACTCCCGACAAATGGCTAGCGTCATTTTGGCTCTTGACAAAAAGGCTCCTGTCAATTTGGCTCCAGACAAAAGGACCACTGACAATACGGTTTCTGTAGAGACTAAGTCTCCCGGCAAAGCAGTCTAATTGAATATGACTGCTGCCAGTGGGACCCCTGCATCAATATTCTTTAGAGTTAGCTTATCCAACACTCTTAAGTAATACAACGTATGCATCTCTTGTTCGGCAGGCCTTATTTTTATATTAGTTTATCTATTATAAGAAATAGTATGTTTTAATTTAAGGGTCATCTATCTGTGACTTCCATAATTGAGTCGGTTATAGGCTGTTCCAACTCATTGTGTGGGTAGAAGGGTCCATGCTGTACCTTGCTACCTCCAGTATGCTTGTAGGTAATCAAAACAAAATGTCGTTATCCTGTAAACATCATGTATATCGTACATTTTCACTTCTGTGCTCGCTTTTATGCAACAGATCTTTACTGTTGTAAATTAAACATTATCAAAATTTTAGAATTGATAGATTTTAGCTGTTAAGGGCTTGATTTGTTTGAGAAATGATGTTGTTAGTTCATGAAAAACAATTTTATTCAGGCATTAAAAAGAGGTTATAGTAGTAGTGGAGGTAGGACAAAATTGTTACTTTAATGCCAGTAGCTGTCATACCATTCATTTGTCGGGAGCCAAAATGTCGGGAGCCCATTAGTCGGTAGCCAATAATGCCAATATGTTCATGAGCCCATTTGTTGGGAGCCCATTTGTTGTGAGCCCTTATGTCGGGAGCCAATATGTCGGGAGCCAGTATGTCCTGAGCCTATTTGTCGGGAGCCAATATGTTGAGTGTCCAATTGTCGGGAGCCTAAATGTTGGGAGCTCATTTGTCGGGAGCCTATATGTCGCGAGTCATAACGGGAGCCCATTTGACGGGAGCCAAGAAGTCTGGGCCCTTTTGACTGGTTCGTTTTGTCGGGGGTCGATTTGACAGGGTCATATTAACGGGACCGTTTTGACAGGGCACCCTGACCTTCATATTCCCTTACCTAATGGACACTGACCTTCATATTCCATCTCCTTAGTAACCATCATATTCTCTCTCTTGTAGGAATGCCTTTGAATTCCGCTTGTTTTGGTCTGACTGGATAGAAACCAATGCCATCCTGTTTATTGATGTTTTCATCCTCTTCATTGGTGGGATGGTGGTCATGGGGCTACTGGGCTTTCATAGCTACCTCATGTTTAAGGTAATTTCCCCCCACCCCCATGAAACAATAAAGGTCAAGCAGAACTTGTTACCTCCTTAATTTTAAATCGTTAAAAAACTAAATTATCTGCCCCTAATAACCGTCAATTTTTTTTTTGACCCGGCTCTGCGATTGTAAACATTTGGTGTGAACAAGGGTTAGATAGTCAGCTTTTGTGCATGGTGGTGCCCAGGCAGAGAATTACAGAGATGACATGTTTTTTTATCTATTGCAGGGTTTGACAACCTGGGAGGCTGCTTCAAGGGAGAGAATCACCTACCTCAAGTACCTGGATGAGGATTATAACCCCTTTAATGAGGGCTTGTGTAGAAACTTGTACCAGTTTCTATTTGCTTGCAGATTCAGAAAGTGGGAAAAGGTGTATGCGCAGAAAGCTAGGGGGGCTAATGGGCTTGTATAAAAATAAAGGGGGGGGGGGGGCTAATGGGCTTGTATAGAAATAAAGGGGGGGGGCCTAATGGGCTTTTATTAAAAATAAGGGGGGGGGGGGGGGCCTAATGGGCTTTTATTAAAAAATAAGGGGGGGGGGCCTAATGGGCTTTTATTAAAAAATAAGGGGGGGGGGCCTAATGGGCTTTTATTAAAAAATAAGGGGGGGGGGGGCCTAATGGGCTTGTATAGAAATAAAGGGGGGGGGGGGCCTAATGGGCTTTAATAAAAAAGGGGGTGGGGGTAATGTTTGGATGTTTCAATTACTACTTTTTCATTAGGCAACAATAATGTATTTCAGAACTGTTGAACACATTTTCATTGCTAATTATGTCCAGCCCTGTCTGAATAATTGTTAATTTAAGAGTTTTAAAACTCAATATTTTCTGTAGTGTTGGCCCATTTGAAGCTGGCTTCTAGCTTGTTTAGCTAAATGGTTAGATCAGCATTCCAATTGTTGATGGGATTTTACCAATCTTTTGCTTTATACTGTTATTTATGTCAAGCTACAATTTATTAAGGTGATATTGGACTCAAAACATTTTTTTATCACTGATTGTACCAAGAAATTTTTTTTAAAGATTGTTTTCCTGAATTGTTGTAAAAATGTTAGACACATGATTGTTGTACCTGTATGTCATGACTCATAAATTGCTTTCATGTATCCTTTTGCTCTTAAATTTATGAGGTTTTGTTTAGTTAATTTATGTTTGAGGCAAATCTTGTAACTCAATATATTTAGTTATTGGTGGTGTCAAGTTCATTTAGAACAATTCATCTTTTGGCATGTTTTTTTTTTTCTACTGCTAATTTAAAACTTCCACTGTGTAATGAGATCAAGAGCAGACAATTTGTGCTGGTCATAAAATGTCAACACCTTTACAGAAAAGGCAATGTATTGTTAGAACTGGCCTTCAATATGCTGTCAGTAGAATATTATACACTACTACAGTTTTTGCTCTCCATTTGTGCAATAAAAACAAATTGTAGTCTTTGTCAATAAATGACGTTCAATTGAGCACCTAGTTGATTTTTTGTTTAAAAATTGATTAAACAGGCACAGCTTGAAAAAAAAGGATGTTTATTTTTTAAATGATCAAGTAAAACACATACATGATTGTAAACAAAACATCAAAGTACAGATCCCCTCCCTACATAAACAGCATCAAAGTACAGACAACCCCTACATTAACAATCATATGTACATTCTAGTGAGTCTATATACATCATTAGAGGCTAACTTTACAGTCTGACATGAACTGACACCCCCCACCCCCCTAATTCTAAGCCAATCTAGCAGGAATCCTAAGGTTCACCCACCAGGTGACAGTCTCATGTTCAGGTCCTGCCACGCCTACATTTTAAATGGCTACACAGAATCAGCAAAATGATACAGAAACACTTCAAGTCGACTATGAGTTTCATAATGAATGAATAAATAGGTGAATGATTCAATGAATGGATACCCCCATGAGAAACTTATGGCTTTTCTCTGGATCACTTGTATAATGATCTTGACATCAACCATGGCTAGAACACTGATAGCACCCACCTGTTTGTACACAACTCCACTACTATTTACATAGATAGATACATTCAAACAAAACAGAGGGAACATCTTGCTGCCACTCATGTCATTCAACAGACTGTACACAGTTTATACAAATCTTCAATTCTACTCGCCTCAAATTTCTAAAACTGAAAGCTAGATCAAGCACAGGAAATCCATGGTGCTCTTACAGCTTAGGTTTGAAGGTCTGGAGAGATTTGAAAATGGTGGTGTGCATTTAAAAGTACAAGGAGCAAACATTAACCCCCCCCCCCCCCCCCCAACAGCCACATGTACCCCTAATGTTTAGCAAAAGCCAGGTGAAGGACAATATGTAAAGACAGCAGCTCCCAGATAGACCTCTCACACCCCCCCCCCCCCTACACAGAGATGGTACACAACTCAGTGCTATCAACCAGAAATGACTTATTGGCTGTAAGATGGTGTTCATGCTACGTGTCACTCTTCCACAATTTGATTGTTTTATCATTCTCCAGGGCAGCTGAGGCTATGATGTTTTCTGTTGGGTGGCATGCACAGCTCAGTACAACATCTGAAAGTACAAGCTTGACCAATAGATATACAACACACAATTGTCACAATCTTGAACAATAGATATACAACACACAATTGTCACAAGCTTGAACAATAGATATACAACACACAATTGTCACAAGCTTGACCAATAGATATACAACACACACAATTGTCACAAACAACTTTTGGACTGGTCAGAACTTTCAAAACATTTGACATTTTTATAAAACTACAATTGGTTGTAAAGAAAGTGTACCCTAGATCTAGCTAGCTACAATGCCTACTCACAGACCCCTCAAATTTGACCCACATCCTGATCATAATTATCCTCGCATAGTTTATTATTAACGTATATTTAAATAGCTGACTTTTTATAGAGTAGATTTTGGTTTATACTTTAACCAAGATTGTCTATGTGCAACAGTCTTTCAATGATTGACCTAGATACCATTCATCAATGACGCAGCCACAGCACACATGCAGGGTCAACCAAAGTTCACAGCAAGGACCAAAGGACTCCCACCAGCCATAACATTGGCAGGTAGGTGTGGGGAGATTGGTCCAGTATGGAGCTTGTAGACAGAAGCGGATAACAGATAGGGGACTAATAGTTACAAGTAAAACATTGCTCATTGCTTTAGAGAATGTTCATTGTTACTGAAGGCAAAGGCGTTACCTTTGCAGCTAAATTATAATTCAGTAACCTGGGTGTCAAAATTGTTAAGATAAAGACAAAACCGTATACATAGGTAGACCTACTTAGAATAACTGAGCACATCTGGCAATGTAATCTTGACCCTTAGAATAACTGAGCACATCTGAGTGAGCCTGACTAACCTGTATGTCCAGCCAATTTTTGAACAACTTCTTTGGTTTGAAGATTCCAGATGTAGACCATGTTATCCTCAGACCCTGACACTATCCACTGCAAGGGAAACAAAACATTTGCAATCTGCCTTGTATTGGTCACTAAAGTATGTTAATAGATTTCACAAGCAACCAATGCTTTTATGATTTAAGAAAGTAGTTGGCAGTGGAAGTGGTTTAAAAATTGAGTTACATTTGCCACAAACACTGTAAATAAAAGTTTATAAAAGAGGAGAGCAATCACTCCATCTATGCTTTAAGAATGGTCTGTTATTAAAAATGTTTTTTTAATCAGTTTTTTATCCATACATTGTAAGCATACATCATACCATGAAATCAGTAGGCCTACAGCACACATACATCATACCAATGAAATCATTTATTTCTGTTAATTTATTGACCAAATTATGTAAGCACAAAATATGGCAAAGTTTGCCAAAGTTATGACAAACTTACTGTCACTATTCAGAAGTGTCACACCCCAGCACATACTATGTCAAGCCAAAAAATAAAAATGGAGCTCTAATTAAAACTTACCTTCCCACCAGTGACTGAGAAGTTGGCAAAAACACAATACTTTTCATTTTTGTGGCCTAGGTATGTCTTTAAACACTGAGGAAACGAACAATTCAAGAATGTCTCAAACGTGTCTAAAATATATCTCTTGCATAATATCTTAACTCTTTAAGACCGTAACGAAGCTCCCAGCATCCGATAAATATTTCTCTATTTAATTCATTGTTTTTCAGAATCCAAGTTTTTAATCGTAAATCTAGGTCATGATAACGCTAGAGCGGCCATTTTTCGTTGTATTTACTTCTTGTAGTTTTCTCGTTAGATCGATTTTGTATTTTATAGAATTTATTTTGTAACACAACTCGGAAAACGGCATTTTTTAACACTGCGGAATGCCGTTTAGCGGCCGCGTCTAAAAGTTTACGCCGCCGCATTATAAAATTAACGAAAATTAAAGTATTTATACTTTCGTTTTCTATGAATAAGAACTCATGAAAAGTTATTCTTATTATTAATTTTTCCGACAGAAGCGTAATTTTTGCAAGGAAAAATCAACTCTTTATTTTTTCTTCTTTAAAACTAAGTAATTATCTTTCTTCAGTAAATAATTCCTTAAAGTTTATATCAGTGTGTAGGGTATTCAATTACGATTAATTTTTATCAATCATGTGTGGGGTTTAAATTAACGGGTAAAAAGATATGGGTCATTTAGCCGCACGGGTACTGAAAAAAAATGAGTGAAAAAAAATAATTCCGGTAAAACGTGAAAATAATTACGGGCTTAAAGAGTTAAGGCTAAATTATCAGTAACAAAGCAAGAAGAGGAGAGTCACCTTTCCTTTTGAGTAGTCCCATAGCTTGAGTGTACTGAAGATAGAAACAAAGAAATTATAAGGCCTGGGGGTTCAACAAACAAACACTAATATGGAAGGATAAAACAAAGATGTAACCAGCATTCACTCACTTGTCAAGTGTTGCTGCCAGAATATATTTCCCATTGGGTGAGAACTTGACAAATGAAACAGGTGGGTTATCATCATCTGAAGGGGAAAAATAGACAATCAACAATATGGCAGACCACAACACAACCAGTGCTACACAAGTCATGATCCAAGAGCTACACAAGTCATGATCCAAGCGCTACACAAGTCATGATACAAGAGCAACACAAGTCATGATACAAGAGGTCATGATACAAGAGCTTCACAAGTCATGATAGGTCATGATACAAGAGGTCAGAAGTCATGATACAAGAGGTTATGATACAAGAGCTTCACAAGTCATGATACAAGAGGTTATGATACAAGAGCTTCACAAGTCATGATACAAGAGGTTATGATACAAGAGGTTATGATACAAGAGATCAGAAGTCATGATACAAGAGCTACACAAGTCATGATACAAGAGGTCAGAAGTCATGATACAAGAGCTACACAAGTCATGATACAAGAGGTCAGAAGTCATGATACAAGAGGTCAGAAGTCATGATACAAGAGCTACACAAGTCATGATACAAGAGCTACACAAGTCATGATACAAGAGCTACACAAGTCATGATACAAGAGGTCAGAAGTCATGATACAAGAGGTCAAAAGTCATGATACAAGAGCTACACAAGTCATGATACAAGAGCTACACAAGTCATGATACAAGAGGTCAGAAGTCATGATACAAGAGCTACACAAGTCATGATACAAGACGTCAGAAGTCATGATACAAGAGGTCAGAAGTCATGATACAAGAGGTCATGATACAAGAGGTCATGATACAAGAGATCAGGTGATGTGTGGTTGGGCCAGGTGTGCCTGTACTTACCCATCAGAGTCTTCAAACACTGGCCTGAGGCTGTATCCCATATGCGACTGGTGGACACAAATATTGCATGTGGTTACTCACAATGTGAAATCATCTTTACATATTAATAACTATACTAGTTGCCATGTGGTTACTCACAATGTTAAATCATCTTTACATATTAATAACTATACTAGTTGCCATGTGGTTACTCACAATGTTAAATCATCTTTACATATTAATAACTATACTAGTTGCCATGTGGTTACTCACAATGTTAAATCATCTTTACATATTAATAACTATACTAGTTGCCATGTGGTTACTCACAATGTGAAATCATCTTTACATATTAATAACTATACTAGTTGCCATGTGGTTACTCACAATGTTAAATCATCTTTACATATTAATAACTTTACTAGTTGCCATGCGGTTACTCACAATGTGAAATCATCTTTACATATTAATAACTATACTAGTTGCCATGTGGTTACTCACAATGTTAAATCATCTTTACATATTAATAACTTTACTAGTTGCCATGCGGTTACTCACAATGTGAAATCATCTTTACATATTAATAACTATACTAGTTGCCATGTGGTTACTCACAATGTTAAATCATCTTTACATATTAATAACTATACTAGTTGCCATGTGGTTACTCACAATGTTAAATCATCTTTACATATTAATAACTATACTAGTTGCCATGTGGTTACTCACAATGTTAAATCATCTTTACATATTAATAACTATACTAGTTGCCATGTGGTTACTCACAATGTGAAATCATCTTTACATATTAATAACTATACTAGTTGCCATGTGGTTACTCACAATGTTAAATCATCTTTACATATTAATAACTTTACTAGTTGCCATGCGGTTACTCACAATGTGAAATCATCTTTACATATTAATAACTATACTAGTTGCCATGTGGTTACTCACAATGTTAAATCATCTTTACATATTAATAACTTTACTAGTTGCCATGCGGTTACTCACAATGTGAAATCATCTTTACATATTAATAACTATACTAGTTGCCATGTGGTTACTCACAATGTTAAATCATCTTTACATATTAATAACTATACTAGTTGCCATGTGGTTACTCACAATGTTAAATCATCTGTACATATTAATAACTATACTAGTTGCCATGTGGTTACTCACAATGTTAAATCATCTTTAAATATTAATAACTATACTAGTTGCCATGCGGTTACTCACAATGTTAAATCATCTTTACATATTAATAACTATACTAGTTGCCATGTGGTTACTCACAATGTTAAATCATCTTTACATATTAATAACTATACTAGTTGCCATGTGGTTACTCACAATGTTAAATCATCTTTACATATTAATAACTATACTAGTTGCCATGTGGTTACTCACAATGTGAAATCATCTTTACATATTAATAACTATACTAGTTGCCATGCGGTTACTCACAATGTTAAATCATCTTTACATATTAATAACTATACTAGTTGCCATGCGGTTACTCACAATGTTAAATCATCTTTACATATTAATAACTATACTAGTTGCCATGTGGTTACTCACAATGTTAAATCATCTTTACATATTAATAACTATACTAGTTGCCATGTGGTTACTCACAATGTGAAATCATCTTTACATATTAATAACTATACTAGTTGCCATGTGGTTACTCACAATGTTAAATCATCTTTACATATTAATAACTATACTAGTTGCCATGTGGTTACTCACAATGTTAAATCATCTTTACATATTAATAACTATACTAGTTGCCATGTGGTTACTCACAATGTTAAATCATCTTTACATATTAATAACTATACTAGTTGCCATGTGGTTACTCACAATGTTAAATCATCTTTACATATTAATAACTATACTAGTTGCCATGTGGTTACTCACAATGTGAAATCATCTTTACATATTAATAACTATACTAGTTGCCATGTGGTTACTCACAATGTTAAATCATCTTTACATATTAATAACTATACTAGTTGCCATGTGGTTACTCACAATGTTAAATCATCTTTACATATTAATAACTATACTAGTTGCCATGTGGTTACTCACAATGTTAAATCATCTTTACATATTAACCATTAATGTCCCGTAACGCCCGCTGCCGCCCGACACCGTTAATGTCCCGTAACGCCCGCTTAAAATACGCATAGAAAAATTAAATTTGTTTCATTAAAATTTGGCCTACAAATCCTAATTTTTAACTAAACAGGAAGTCGGATAGTTTCAGCGTCCTTTTCTGGTCTTATAATTTCAATGGCGCTTTTGAAAGATAAAAAATAATAGTTTTTTTCTATCTCGAAATTTTAGACTCATCTGTCCTTTTTTTAGTAGATTTAATATTAAAAATAAAATAAAATAATGCCTCTAAACGTATCTAGGCATGTATTTTATGAATTATTTATCTTAAACATAACCAAATTGATATTTAACTGTTAAATTCGATGCATAGTTGTTTAGACAAAAATAAATAAAGTTGACTACCGAAAATGACCTGTTTTGAATTTTCTCCGACATTTTTTATTTTTTTACTGTACTTTTACCGAATATAATATATTCTATTTAATACTGTTGGAAAGCCAGGTTTATTCTTAACATTAAGCAGTAGTTTTTATCTTAAATTTCAATTTCATTTAGACAAAAACAAATATTTTGTGAAACTATTTACTTGATCATACAGAGTTATGCTCCTTACATTGGGCCGTCATGGGTGGAGTTTTGGTAGAATGAATGGGACATTAATGGTTAATAACTATACTAGTTGCCATGACTTTATCTAACCTAGAGGCCATCACAGACCAACTTACCAGAGGCCATCATAGCTACTTGAGACAATCAAGGAACCGTCTCTGTTGAAGTGGACCTGCAACAGACCATAAGTATCAACAGGTGTCACCCTCACATTAGACCATAGCCTCCTCATTTACATATCAGGTGGTGTTGTTTTTTTAAATATTTTTCTGGATTTGTTATTTAGTATTGGTTAATTGGTAAATTTTTTAACGTTATACATTTAAATTTAAGACAATATTCCTGCATAATTTATTATTTTTTTCATGGATGTGCATATCTATGTTTTCTAAGAAGTGACAGAGTTGAAAATGTGATGTGGCTTAGAGTTAGTGAAACCATGTGTATGTCTGGACTGTGTTCAGATGGAGGAATGTGATGTGTCTTAGTGAAACCATGTGTATGTCTGGACTGTGTTCAGATGGAGGAATGTGATGTGGCTTAGAGTTAGTGAAACCATGTGTATGTCTGGACTGTGTTCAGATGGAGGAATGTGATGTGTCTTAGAGTTAGTGAAACCATGAATATGTCTGGACTGTGTTCAGATGGAGGAATGTGATGTGTCTTAGTGAAACCATGTGTATGTCTGGACTGTGTTCAGATGGAGGAATGTGATGTGGCTTAGAGTTAGTGAAACCATGTGTATGTCTGGACTGTGTTCAGATGGAGGAATGTGATGTGGCTTAGGGTTAGTGAAACCATGGGTATGTCTGGACTGTGTTCAGATGGAGGAATGTGATGTGGCTTAGAGTTAGTGAAACCATGAATATGTCTGGACTGTGTTCAGATGGAGGAATGTGATGTGGCTTAGAGTTAGTGAAACCATGAATATGTCTGGACTGTGTTCAGATGGAGGAATGTGATGTGGCTTAGGGTTAGTGAAACCATGTGTATGTCTGGACTGTGTTCAGATGGAGGAATGTGATGTGTCTTAGTGAAACCATGAGTATGTCTGGACTGTGTTCAGATGGAGGAATGTGATGTGGCTTAGGGTTAGTGAAACCATGTGTATGTCTGGACTGTGTTCAGATGGAGGAATGTGATGTGGCTTAGAGTTAGTGAAACCACGTGTATGTCTGGACTGTGTTCAGATGGAGGAATGTGATGTGGCTTAGAGTTAGTGAAACCATGAATATGTCTGGACTGTGTTCAGATGGAGGAATGTGATGTGGCTTAGAGTTAGTGAAACCATGAATATGTCTGGACTGTGTTCAGATGGAGGAATGTGATGTGGCTTAGGGTTAGTGAAACCATGGGTATGTCTGGACTGTGTTCAGATGGAGGAATGTGATGTGGCTTAGAGTTAGTGAAACCATGTGTATGTCTGGACTGTGTTCAGATGGAGGAATGTGATGTGGCTTAGAGTTAGTGAAACCATGAATATGTCTGGACTGTGTTCAGATGGAGGAATGTGATGTGGCTTAGAGTTAGTGAAACCATGAATATGTCTGGACTGTGTTCAGATGGAGGAATGTGATGTGGCTTAGGGTTAGTGAAACCATGGGTATGTCTGGACTGTGTTCAGATGGAGGAATGTGATGTGGCTTAGAGTTAGTGAAACCATGTGTATGTCTGGACTGTGTTCAGATGGAGGAATGTGATGTGGCTTAGAGTTAGTGAAACCATGTGTATGTCTGGACTGTGTTCAGATGGAGGAATGTGATGTGGCTTAGAGTTAGTGAAACCATGAATATGTCTGGACTGTGTTCAGATGGAGGAATGTGATGTGGCTTAGAGTTAGTGAAACCATGAATATGTCTGGACTGTGTTCAGATGGAGGAATGTGATGTGGCTTAGGGTTAGTGAAACCATGGGTATGTCTGGACTGTGTTCAGATGGAGGAATGTGATGTGGCTTAGAGTTAGTGAAACCATGTGTATGTCTGGACTGTGTTCAGATGGAGGAATGTGATGTGGCTTAGAGTTAGTGAAACCATGAATATGTCTGGACTGTGTTCAGATGGAGGAATGTGATGTGGCTTAGAGTTAGTGAAACCATGAATATGTCTGGACTGTGTTCAGATGGAGGAATGTGATGTGGCTTAGAGTTAGTGAAACCATGAGTATGTCTGGACTGTGTTCAGATGGAGGAATGTGATGTGGCTTAGGGTTAGTGAAACCATGGGTATGTCTGGACTGTGTTCAGATGGAGGAATGTGATGTGGCTTAGAGTTAGTGAAACCATGAATATGTCTGGACTGTGTTCAGATGGAGGAATGTGATGTGGCTTAGGGTTAGTGAAACCATGGGTATGTCTGGACTGTGTTCAGATGGAGGAATGTGATGTGGCTTAGAGTTAGTGAAACCATGTGTATGTCTGGACTGTGTTCAGATGGAGGAATGTGATGTGGCTTAGAGTTAGTGAAACCATGAATATGTCTGGACTGTGTTCAGATGGAGGAATGTGATGTGGCTTAGGGTTAGTGAAACCATGAATATGTCTGGACTGTGTTCAGATGGAGGAATGTGATGTGGCTTAGAGTTAGTGAAACCATGAATATGTCTGGACTGTGTTCAGATGGAGGAATGTGATGTGGCTTAGGGTTAGTGAAACCATGAGTATGTCTGGACTGTGTTCAGATGGAGGAATGTGATGTGGCTTAGTGAAACCATGTGTATGTCTGGACTGTGTTCAGATGGAGGAATGTGATGTGGCTTAGTGAAACCATGAGTATGTCTGGACTGTGTTCAGATGGAGGAATGTGATGTGGCTTAGGGTTAGTGAAACCATGTGTATGTCTGGACTGTGTTCAGATGGAGGAATGTGATGTGGCTTAGGGTTAGTGAAACCATGAATATGTCTGGACTGTGTTCAGATGGAGGAATGTGTCTGATCTAAACTTCTTACTGCGGTCACTGGATCTGAGTGGGCGGGTAACGTCTTCAGACATTTGCCAGTCTTCACATCCCAAATACGAACACTCTCATCAAACTGAAACAAAATCAAGCCTTGGGCTAGAAGCTGTTGTACAGGTTCATAAATGTGGTTAGAGTCTCAAGTCCATACAGAGAGCATATAAGCAATGGGATACTTACAGAACCAGAGACAATAAGATTACTTTGTGGATTAAAATTACAGCAGAAAACATAATTGCTGTGTCCCTTCAGCGTCTTTAAACACTTGCCCTGAAACATCACATTATAGTGGAATCACAACATTTGTGTCAAGCCAGTTATGTTATTCTAATTAGTCTAACGAGCTGACCCGCGGTTAACCATATGCCGTTATCTAGTTATTTTCTGCTTATCGGCAATTCATAATTTGTGAATTCGACAACCCCTTCGATTAAATACTAAATTATCTGCCCCTAATAGCCATCACAAATTCGATCCAGCTCTAAACATTCGTCGTGAACCAAAGCTAACCAGACTTGTGTGGAAGGGTAGCTATATGCCTGGAAAGCAAGAGAGGGGAAGCGAGGCGTGCTTACGTGGTGGTGTCCCGCATGGTCCCCATGTAGAGAATTATTTATATAGATTGCATAGCATTAGTCAGTTATAAAACTGAGGAGAAAACTGACCGTAGCGAAGTCCCAAATTTTAAGGGTTTTATCATCCGATGCACTGACCAGTAACTTGCTGTCTGTTGACCATGCGACATCACTCAGACCCTAAGCCAACAACAAATCAGAAGGTAAGTCATGATACAAGATATTAAAAGATAACCAATGAAACAAGATGTAGTGATTGATATTTGTAATAACAGTTAGGCTTTAGACCAATGGTGTATTTAAGAGAGAATTCGTGATTAAGAAAAAACATTACCAGTTTGTGACCAGAAATAGTTTTCTCAAATTTCCCATCGTAAGCACCCCAAATTTTGATTAGTTTATCAGCAGCTGAGAGGAAGTTTTAAACATTTATAGCATTAATTATACGAGAAGCATTCAAAATCAACTGGCATCAGCTTAATTCCCATGCATTCAAATCTAACTTTCACCCATCAGTTACATGACTTGCAGCTAGAAAAAGGATGTCAGGGGTTTAGTTGAACTTACAAGAACTGGCCAACCATTCTCCGTTTGGGCTGAACTTGACAGAAGACAAAGCTTTAGTGTGGCCAGCTAGGGTAAACTTGAGAGAGTAGTTGGGTTTCTGATGACAAAATACCAGAGATGGATCAATGGTAATGACAAGGTAATATTAAGAGATGTACAAATGCTTACAAGACTGACCAACTGGACCAGAGATGTAAAAATGCTTACAAGACTTTGTGAGCTTGACTTTGTGCCTCCTGAGCCTTGTGAGGTTGTGGTGGTGGTGTTAGAAGCAGAGCCAGAAAGTGAAGGTTTCACATCCAAAGACTCCACTTTTGTAGAGTTTGTCTCCTCAGACATGATGGCTTACCCTAGTGAACAAAGGAAGATAAATTAGCTATATAATGCTTTAGGGTTAGTATAAGGGAGTAGTAGATGGATCAAGTTATAAATTGATTCCTGATAGAATATTTTAGATTGACAAAGAAACAAAATTGAGCACCAGCTTGATAAATGCAACCAAGCTGGACCAAATACATATGAGAGTGCTAGTGGGGTATGAGGCTATGTTCTGGAGGCTTATCCAGATGAGAAAACCTGACTTGTAACATAATCCTAACTTCGGTTAGTTTGAGTGCATTAATAGCATTCTTAAAGAAATTAGAATGCAGAATTATGTTTTGTATTTGAAATCTGTTTGCCACAACAAAAAAGCTTAAGATGATCAAATTAAAATGGGAGAATTGTTATACAGGTGTCTGATAATGAATCTTCTTTAAAAAATGGGTTTTAGGCTACTGGTAGTTAACTAAATAGTAAATAGTAGTAAATACACACATTGCTGGCTCATGTCAATGCTAACCATCCATGTCCCTAACCCCACACACCTATTTTATGGAAGAGTCTATTATCGGACACCAGTATCTATACTAGATCTATAATCATCCACCTATAGATTTATAGATCAAGATACAAGAAGTAAAGCAGTTGTAGATAAAGTTGCTAGAATCTAGCATGAAAACAAACCAGTGTGTGTGAGTACTAGTGTGTACTGTGTTGTGGTTGGTCTGTCTGACAAAGTCACAACCTAGTCCAGATTTCTAGATAGTCTCTTAAGTCTCAAGCGGCTAGCTAGATGTTCTAGATCTAGATTGTCTAAGCCCTAGATCCTCTAGATCTACTTTGTTGTTTTTATTATTTTCTTTCAGGCAACCAGGAGAGGATGCAGATCTTATTATTCTGAGATTATAATAAAAATTTCCTACAAACCCAAATTTGTAACAAATCCCAATGAATCTAGAATCTAGCCCTGTAGTTTGATCTTTATCTAGATCTAGATCTAAACTCAAGAAGAGAGCAAGCTTATTTCTAGATTTTCAGTAGCGTTCAGTATGGAGTATGGAGTCAGAAATCAGAAAGGATGTGCTGAGCGACAGGCCAGGATAAAGGCCGCGATCCGACTGATCACACAAGTCTAGTAGACTACACGAGCTCCATCTATTCAAACTACTGCAGCTTATCTTAATTTTGAAACTTTTAGCATACCTTAAATCCAAAAGTCTTCTTGTCTCTGTTTATAAAATGAAATGGCTGAATTGAGTTGGAAAATATTATGCAAATTTCAGAAATTGAGGATTGATCCTGGATAGCTACTGGTTTTCGTAAACTCTACCAAAGTGCCAAAACACTAGATTTCTAGTAAGCATGTGGGAAAACAAATTCTGCGCATGCGCAGTTGAGACTCGTACTGCCTCGCCGCGTTAGCGAGTGGTTCCTAATATTTACCCTGGTCTTTGTGCTTTCAAATTATGGTACCTGGTGGTTTTTATTTTCTGAACATTTTTTTAAAGATCTAGATTCAAGTACCTTCAATACGTCCTTAGGGGTCACTCATAAATGACGGCACGCTTTTTTTTTTACGATTTTTACCTCCCCCCTCCCCTCCGTCACACATCTTCACAAAAAGCCAGACCCCCCCCCCCCCTAAAATGACATCACACCTCAGCCTACAACCCACCTCAAAATTGCAGTTGAATTTTTCTTAAAACATCGATATTTTTCCAAAATCGTGTCTGAACTCTGTCAACATAGAGTATTTTATTCAATTCCTATTATAATTTATTAAAACAGTTTTCTAAAACGCGAAATAAAAGCTAAAACATGTTTTCTAAACTTGCTTTTTAATTATGCGAAAGTTTGACGTCACACCATCTGACCCCCCCCCCCCCCCCCACATCACACACCGTCACAAAATCACGGACCCCTCCTTCTCCCCCCTACGAGTGTAACGTCATTTATGGACGACCCCTTAATTGGAACGTTTTGCAAAAAAACAGAGAACAATTGGATAAGCCATGCATGGGTTCCCAACCTGGGGGTCGCGACCCCCTTGGGGGTCGCGAAGGGCTTTCTGGGGGGTCGCCAACTGGTAGACTTAACTCTAGCAATGAATAAAAAAACATAAATATTTAGAAAAATATTTGAAATTCGGCATTACTAACATCATTGGAAATGGAACAGAGAATAAACAATTTGTACTGAGCAAAGTTGTTCATACTTTAACGACATGGTGTGGTTAGAGAGAGTATCATACCTAGCAGATATATTCGAACATCAACATAAGCTTAACCTGATAAAGGAACGAATATTATCTCTTTTCATGATAATCTCTTGGCTTTTTTTTAAAGCTGCAAAATTGGCGAGGAAAAATAACTATTTGAAATACTGCCATGTTTGAGAAACTCTGCAGTGTGGTGTGATAGATAAAAATGTTTAAAGGATTCTGTGCATCTTGAATCTCTTGACAACGAACTGCGGCGTTTTTTTCCCCGAGCATTGTCATTCATTCTCTGCTTTCTTGATGTTACCAACATTGCCGATGAATAACAAGATGAATTCCTAAATATGCAAAATTTAATTGTTAATGCTAGTTAATGCTTGTTAATAGCATGTAATTTTGCTCATCGTATTAAAACAGTTATCAAGAATAATTCATATTGAAAGTCTACTAGAAAATATTAATTTAGTGGTTATTATTTTCATTACTCATTTCGACTTGTTAATTATATGGGGGTCGCGGGTCACTTACGTTTTATGAAAGGGGGTCGCCACTCGAAAAAGGTTGGGAACCACTGGGATAAGCAATCCAGGAGATGAAAATAACAAAAGATGAAAATAACAAAAGATGAAAATAACAAAAGATGAAAATAACAAAAGAGATGAAAATAACAAAAGAGATGAAAATAACAAAATGAGCCTTATTGACAGTATTTCTTTCAGACTTTTTCTTCGGGGTTGGGGGGGGGGGGGCACTTAAAATTTTCTATAAAATTTTTCTATAAAAATTATTTTTCGTTACGGGGGGGGGGGGGGCAGACTAAATGGCGGGCATTGGTAAAAGTATATATTTTCTATAAAAATTATATTTCGTTACGGGGGGGGGGGGTAGACGTTCTTCGCTATGTTCAAGTTGAGGACATCGCCTATTGAAGATAGTCTTAGGCTCTGCGAACAGAAAGCTTTATTATATTTACTCAATTGGGTCGCTTGTGTAGCGCGCATCAGACTCTAAACACATGTGTGCTGCATACATTGGTGGTTCCGGTCTTTTACTCCCCCATTAAGGTTAAGCCTCGATTTCTATACCTACCCTTTGTTTTAGTCAAACGGTTGACAACTGATGGGCGAGGAGAAACGTGAAAATACGTGAATGTGACAAGCCGACAACTTGTATACACACACTGGCCCATAGTTTGACTCTCGTAGACTGTAGATAAACTACTCACGTCCTAGCATCGAATGGTATCTCATGTGCACTGTTCCAATGTAATGTCACCCCAATCCACTGCGGTGGACGGTGTATTTCGTTCTGATCAGTGCATAATTTGTCTGTGAAAATGGCGACCGGTTTCACCTCCCTCCTCCCATTTTGCCTAATGGCGTCAGTGTGAGCCCACATCGTATCACGATACCTTATATTAATCCACTTATTAATTCAAGAGGAAAAAGCATAGTTTTTTTTTATAGAAGTGGTGTCATCCCCACCAGGGGCATTGATTGATATAGGACCGATCAGTTACTGAAAATATTCAAGACTTTTTTCTTATGTAAATGTTGCAGTTGGTGTCACCCCAGCCGGTGATAGCTTTAAATTTGGGCAAACTAATCTACAGTTGGATGTAGCATTGTTGCCAGTATCATCGTGTCAACATTGTGATATCTAGGTCAGCAAATGCCCTAGTTGTGACACTGTCATCGTGTCAACATTGTGATATCTAGGTCAGCAAATGCCTTAGTTGTGTCAGTGTCATCGTGTCAACATTTTGATATCTAGGTCAGCAAATGCCCTAGTTGTGACACTGTCATCGTGTCAACATTGTGATATCTAGGTCAGCAAATGCCCTAGTTGTGTCAGTGTCATCGTGTCAACATTTTGATATCTAGGTCAGCAAATGCCCTAGTTGTGACACTAATATAGTGTCAACATTTTGATATCTAGGTCAGCAAATGCCCTAGTTGTGACACTGTCATCGTGTCAACATTTTGATATCTAGGTCAGCAAATGCCCTAGTTGTGACACTGTCATCGTGTCAACATTGTGATATCTAGGTCAGCAAATGCCTTAGTTGTGTCAGTGTCATCGTGTCAACATTTTGATATCTATGTCAGCAAATGCCCTAGTTGTGCCACTGTCATTGTGTCAACATTGTGATATCTAGGTCAGCAAATGCCCTAGTTGTGACACTGTCACCGTGTCAACATTTTGATATCTAGGTCAGCAAATGCCCTAGTTGTGACACTGTCATCGTGTCAACATTTTGATATCTAGGCCTAGATATGGGCTAAACAAGCGATGAGTCCAACGTTTGCAAGCCGTCAACTGCATCATTGTCCGAAAACAACAACCACCCCATGGACTTGATAATCAAGATATCCCGCTTTAGCCGATATGGTGGGGTGGGGTTAGAGACATGAGCATACCCCCGGGCAAGAGTAAACACGCGTTAAATGGCCAATAATACACGGGAAAGATCTATGGCCGGCCACAGAATATATTCGCCTTTTTCCCTACAATAGGTCATGTTTAGCATATGCTCCATTTGGTACACTATGTCCTAGGTGTCTTTGTTGAGGCACTATGTCCTAGGTGTCTTTGTTGAGGCACTATGTCCTAGGTGTCTTTGTTGAGGCACTATGTCCTAGGTGTCTTTGTTGGTACATAATGCCTCTAGGTGTCTTTGTTGGGGCACTATGTCCTAGGTGTCTTTGTTGGGGCATCAAATCATGGCTAAACTGGCCGTACAATACCATTATTATTATATCCTATAGAGATTTCTAGTGTACCCGTCGCGCACGTTGCTGCGATCTCAGAAGAAATGCTGACAAAACATTTTAAGAGGATTTCATCAATGCGTCACGAATCATGTATTTTTAGACGAGTGACCTTGTTTTCCAAAACTTAGTGATTTAAATGTTAACAATGCCGGCTCTATATTTCCTGGATCCTAGATCAAGATGTCAGATTTGTTGCAGCACCTAAATGTGGTATGTAACCACTTGTCTTAGGCATGATTTGTTGCAGCACCTAAATGTGGTATGTAACCACTTGTCTTAGGTATGATTTGTTGCAGCACCTAAATGTGGTATGTAACCACTTGTCTTAGGCATGATTTGTTGTAGCACCTACATGTGGTAGGTAACCACTTGTCTTAGGCATGATTTGTTGCAGCACCTAAATGTGGTAGGTAACCACTTGTCTTAGGTATGATTTGTTGCAGCACCTAAATGTGGTATGTAACCACTTGTCTTAGGCATGATTTGTTGTAGCACCTACATGTGGTAGGTAACCACTTGTCTTAGGCATGATTTGTTGCAGCACCTAAATGTGGTAGGTAACCACTTGTCTTAGGCATGATTTGTTGCAGCACCTAAATGTGGTATGTAACCACTTGTCTTACGCATGATTTGTTGCAGCACCTAAATGTGGTATGTAACCACTTGTCTTACGCATGATTTGTTGCAGCACCTAAATGTGGTATGTAACCACTTGTCTTAGGTATGATTTGTTGCAGCACCTAAATGTGGTATGTAACCACTTGTCTTAGGCATGATTTGTTGCAGCACCTACATGTGGTATGTAACCACTTGTCTTAGGCATGATTTGTTGCAGCACCTAAATGTGGTATGTAACCACTTGTCTTAGGTATGATTTGTTGCAGCACCTAAATGTGGTATGTAACCACTTGTCTTAGGCATGATTTGTTGCAGCACCTACATGTGGTATGTAACCACTTGTCTTAGGCATGATTTGTTGCAGCACCTAAATGTGGTATGTAACCACTTGTCTTAGGCATGATTTGTTGCAGCACCTAAATGTGGTATGTAACCACTTGTCTTAGGTATGATTTGTTGCAGCACCTAAATGTGGTATGTAACCACTTGTCTTAGGCATGATTTGTTGCAGCACCTACATGTGGTATGTAACCACTTGTCTTAGGCATGATTTGTTGCAGCACCTAAATGTGGTATGTAACCACTTGTCTTAGGCATGATTTGTTGCAGCACCTAAATGTGGTGTGTAACCACTTGTCTTAGGCATGATTTGTTGCAGCACCTAAATGTGGTAGGTAACCACTTGTCTTAGGCATGATTTGTTGCAGCACCTAAATGTGGTAGGTAACCACTTGTCTTAGGCATGATTTGTTGCAGCACCTAAATGTGGTAGGTAACCACTTGTCTTAGGCATGATTTGTTGCAGCACCTAAATGTGGTAGGTAACCACTTGTCTTAGGCATGATTTGTTGCAGCACCTAAATGTGGTATGTAACCACTTGTCTTAGGCATGATTTGTTGCAGCACCTAAATGTGGTATGTAACCACTTGTCTTAGGCTTTGAGTGTAACGGGCGGCTCTTACTGACCAAACGGTAGTCCTGTACATGTGGCCTGATGTCATGTTCCCCTTGGCCTGATGTCATGTTCCCGTTGGTTTGATGTAAAGTTCCCCTTGGCCTGATGTAATGTTCCCTTTGGCCTAATGCAGGGGTCTCCAAACTTTTCAGTCCGAGGGCCGCATTAACTATCACATTTCAGTTCGGGGCCAGTTTCTCCGGGCATGTCTTTGAATTTTCTGGGCAAAAATCCTCAGCCATCACCAACAAACGTTTTTTCCGTGGACCAAAAGATCTCCGCGGGCCGGATGAGAGGACCTCGCGGGCCGCATCCGGCCCTCGGGCCGTAGTTTGGAGACCCCTGGCCTAATGTAATGCCCCCCCCCCCCCCCCCCGAAAGTGTTTAAAGAGCCTCCCTCGGATAAAAATGTCTGAAAGAAACACTGCGTGGTATGGGGAGTTTGTGTGTGAAGAAAGGGTGGAATACGGTTAGGGTGGACATGGCAGCTTGTATAATAATTTGATAGGCTCGCCATCTGTTTGTATGAAACTCGACGTAAATAAGCTACAATGATGAATGAACAGGTTTTCAATGGATGAGATATTTGTTCATGTTTTCATGAAACGTTATTCTTAGGACTTGACCTAGACAACAGGGGAGTCTTACAAAACATAAGATTAAATTTACTAAACATTTTTTTTTGCTTGTGACCCGAAGTTTTATTATTAAAACGTTTGTATGTTTTTTTTTGTTTGTTTGTTACAAATATGGAATAGGGATTGTGTTAGGTTTTGATTTTAAAAGGAATACGGACAGTGTTTCTTCCAGACTTTTTTCTCGGGGGGGGGGGGGGGGCACTTGAAATTTTCGGGTGGGGGGGGGGGGCGGTAGACTTTCTTCGGGGGGGGGGCGGACACTGTTAAAAGTAAATATTTTCTATATAAATTAAATAAATTTATTTCGTTCGGGGGGGGGGGGGGGGGGGGGCGGTACAAATTTTTTCGGGGGCTCCGCCCCCCCCCCCCCCCCCCCCAGAAGAGATGCCTGGAAGAAACTCTGAATACGGATAATACTCTGTTCTGTCTTGCCACAGATTATAGGAACAAAAAGTCACAGGAAAAAAAACACAGAAAAAAAAGTCACAGGAAAATAGTCATTATAGGAAAAAAAAAGTTACAAATATATATTTGCATAGAATTTGTTAATACTTTTATGTATTAAATATTCAGAAAGTACAAATCGACTTAGATTTATTAAATATAATGAAATGTGCGTAGGTTGTATGCGTATAGTGAAATTTATAACACGATATTTAGTGTGAATTATTTACGCTTTAATTCCTTTATACATATAAGATTTAATAGAATTTAATAAAATGTTCTAACCTTCTCTTTTTCATAGTATTTGTTAAATACTAACTTTAAATTAGCACGAAAAGGCATTAGGAACGTCGTTAATGTGACTTGCTGTCCTCAACTCACTGCAACAATAGGTCAACCACCTGTACTGCCCACATTTATCACGCTCATAACAAAGGAGAGGATCAATGCAGAAACCCGGCACGGTACAAAGGCTGTCATTGACGCAAAACGTCAACAACAAACAATATGGACGGACAAGGCCGACCAAGGAGAAGCCGACCAAGGAATGGCAAAACAAAACAAAAAAACATCCAAAACACAATGATGTGCCTAAAATTCGTCTATAATTAACATTTATACAGCGTATTTAACTAACTTCATTACAAAAGTTGTGGTTGCTATATAAACTATAAAGGTTACAGTATTTTTACTTGTTAGTGTTATAATATAAACTTCAATGCTTTTATCGTTTATAAAAATGCTAAAAACAACAACTCACATCAATACACGCACACAATTCTCAATAATTAAAATAAAAATAAATTATTAAAAGATTTTTGTGACTTTTTTCTGTGACTTTATTTCTGTGACTATTTTTCCGAAATTTTTTTCCTTTGTGACTTTTTTACTTTCTCGTATATACGAAGTATAGAGAAAGTCTTGTAATCGTGCAAAAAAAAAAAAAAAAAAAAAAAAAATCGAGATTTTTTACAAATCTCGACGTTCTACACCTCACTGATATGGAAAAACATAATTTTGCAATCTTGTCCGTATGTCTGTTTGTGTGTCTGTCTGTGTGTCTGTCTGTGTGTAAACACGATAACTTGAGTACCGTTAAAGCTAGGTTGATGAAATTTCATATATAAGTATTTTATCAAAATCGTAGATCCATATCAACTTTTTGAGCGATTTCCGATAACCGGAAGTGGTACTTTTTCTGGTTTGAATTTTTCAAAAGCCTATCACTTGAGTACTATTTCAGATAGATGAATGAAATTTCACATGTAAGTAAAACGCATGTAAATTTATAAAGTACTAATAATATTGCGCACTATTATGAACATCTTTATTTTGCGTTCACTTGGTGCGCAATTCTTTTTTGTATTCTACTTATAAAAGTTGAAAAATTAAAAATGGATTAAAAATCATTTCTCTATCCCGTGTCACCGTAGTGTTATATAAGAATATATATTTTTTAAAATAGAATAGTGCAAAATGATATAAACGCTTGTTTTATAGAAGAATATTCGAGAAAGTTTAGGGGAGATCACTCCCGGTTTATTTTTCCTGTGACTTTTTTACTTTCTAGTATATACGAAGTATAGAGAAAGTATTGTTATCGTGCACAAAAATAACATGAAATTTTGACAGTTTTCACCGTTTTACTCCTCAGTCCTTCATCACATCCGGAGTAAAGAGGACTTATTTTAATCAGGCAAAAATTATAAATACAAATATATAAACATTTTGGCGTTTTATGCGTTATCGAGTCGTAAAAACTGGACTTTGCAATTCTGTCCGTATGTCTGTGTGTGTGTGTGTCTGTGTGTAAACACCATAACTTGAGTACCGTTACAGCTAGGTTGATGAAATTTCATATATAAATATTTTATCAAAATCGTAGATCCTGATCAACTTTTGAGCGATTTCCGATAACCGGAAGTGGTACTTTTTCTACTTTGAATTTTTAAAAAGCCTATCACTTGAGTACTATTTCAGATAGATGAATGAAATTTCACATGTAAGTAAAATATCTAATTATCTACCTTCTGTCAAATTCTAGGTAATTTCCGTTGATTAAAAGTACTAATTTACGCTACAGCACTGATTACAAAGCGTTTCATCCAGTGTTTCTTCCAGACTTTTTTCTCCGGGGGAGCACTTGATATTTTCGGGGGAGGTGGGGGGGGGGTGGTCAACATTTTCCGGGGGGGGGGGCGGACACTAATAAAAGTATATGTTTGTTATATAAATTCCATCTCGTTCGGGGGGCGGTAGACTTGATTCGGGGGGGGGGGGGGGGTTAGGATTAGGCTTCACACCCCCCTCCCCCCCCCCCCCCCCGAAGAGATGCCTGGAAGAAACTCTGGTTTCATTGCACGCATTGACCACTTAAAATAAAACTTCAAATCTAGATCTAGACCAACTAGGTTTCGATTATGATCAATATAGGATAACTATATACGGTCTAGCCTTGTTCCCAAGTCCTAGGAACAATTTCCACTTTGGCATACGCCCACTTTACGCGGGCTTATTTTGTAATTATGCACACTGAGCGGCAAAGTATCCAACCAAGTTGGTTGGATAAAAAGATAATAGTCTAGTAAATAGGCCCCTAGGCCTAGATCTATCTGTAGTTTGTCTACAACATAGGCTAGACTAAGTTATCCAGACAGATTTTTAAGTATTTAAAAATAGCAACAGACGTTTGTTGAAATTAGATTTTATAAGCTTTGTCTAGACTTGTATTAGTTAGGCCTAGAATCTAGATTAGATCTAGTTTGAATATAAATAGTTGGGGATAGGCTAATCTGCGATCCTAGCCTAAGCCTAGGTTTATTATTTGCATCACGTGACAAATTTAGCCAATAAGTTTTGTGCAAGTAGTGTTGTACATTCTGTGTAACACGGTCGATCACTTATCTCTGGGCATAGTGTTGTTACACCAAAATTTCTCGTTTTAGTGGGTCTATGTTGATTCAAGCATGTTAATAAAGACATAAATCATACTATGATCTTGTTGGTAATTGAAATAATATATTTTTTTGTTATAAATTACCATTAAAGCGCCACGAAATGTGCCAAATAGTCACTTTTTTGTACCATGTGACCTAAGTTAGCCAATGAAATTCGTGAGTTTCGAACTGGCTACATCCTCCTCCAAGCTAGACGGGTAAATGTAATGCTCTTTGCTAATGTGAATGGTTTACCTGAAAATCTGACGAATGCTATGGACCCAAAGAGCCATCCGGCACTACCAGGGTACCAGCAAACCGTCCTAAGTGTTAATCCAGGGTATTTAAGAATTATTTTCACTTAATAATATCTAAATATTTAAAGATTTTAAAAATTAAGTTCAACAGTGTTCAACGACCTACCCGCCATGACGGGTAGACGCTGTCTGATGAAACTTAAAAGCGCATTTTTTACATAGTATATCATTAAAAGTACACGGCACGCATTTATTTATATGCACAAGCCGTATGCGTTTCTTTAATGTATTAAAGGGATAAGAAATCCTCATGATACTTTGTTTTGTTTACGTTTGTTGAGCTAAAACAAGCTTTCCAATAGTGAAATAATAACTAACAATGTCAAAATGGCTGTCCACAGACAAGGAAATATTTCCGTCAACAGCTTATCTATATTTTCAATATAAAATCTGCTCTAGATCTAGATCTATATCTTCATGTTACTAATCTTTCCAATTTCTCTGCACTTAGATCTAGATCTAGAATAGATCTAGAATCTAGTATCAATGCTTTACTCTCAAAAATGCAATAGGCCTATTAAATATAAAATGATTTGATATCTTGAGTTCTAAATTGGGCCAAACAGTGGCAGGAGTAATAATTTATTAGAGCTAGATCTAGATATCTAGAAAGGCTTAGACTTGAACCCTAAAATCTAGACGTAGACTCGAGTCTAGATCTAGACTTAGTGGCGAATGGTAGGGTTAGCATTGACATAAGCAATCCATGTGTGTATTTCAGTTAACTGCCAGTAACCTAACTTTCCTTATTTAAGAAGAATCTATTCTCTGACATTGCAAAAAAAATCCCCTAGTTTTTTTCTTCTCTCAATGACTACTGCATCAACCATTTAAAAATTGGCCAATTCTAGCCGGAATAAGATACTCATGCGCAATGGAGAGAAACTACGACTTGCTTTTAGCTGCGATGTTTTCGATGGTACTGCGCATGCGTGTGTTTACAACCGTAGAACCCTAACACCAACCCTAATCCTATCCTTAACCCTATCCCTAACCCTAGCCCTAATCCTAACCCTATCCCTAATCCTACCCCTAACCCTCATTCTAACCCTAGCCATAGGTCACTGCGCATGCGCAGAACTATCTTTTGCCGACTAAGTGGAGACGTTGGGGAGAAAAATCTTCCGAGTAGACACTTCGTTAAAAATTTAGGTTGAATTAGAAATGAGTAGTCAAGATACACAAGATAAAAACAGGTATTTGTTAAATTGAAAAACACTTGCTCTAGGAATGCAAGTTATACCCTGATAAGATTTCACTTGTCTAAACTGCTTGTAAAATATGTTGAGTGGAATCTTTGTTGTTTTGTTCCTTTTAACGCATGGAGTTGTAACAGAAAATAATCAGTATTTATTTACCCTAGTTATGTGGCTTAAAAAGTAATTTTTTTTTAGATAAATGAAAGCTGGATGTCAGATTCTGAAAATAGTTAATGTTAGTTCTAGTATTGTAATCTAGTTTACTATACGGTTAGCAATAAGGGTTAGGTGTAAGGTAACATTATCATTAAATGTTAACTTGGACTCCACCATTGCCAGCAACCTCACACTTGACCAAGAGATAATAAAGAAAGTGGGCAAGGAAACTGCTATGGCCAAACTCTCCAGAAGTGCAGGCTGAATACCTTTCATATGGGATGCACAGAGGTTCAATAAACGATAGGCAAACAGACATAAACGTACATGTGGGAGCAGCTGGCCAAAGACAGAACCTATTGGAGACAGGTCTTGGTGTCCAGTACCCTCAAAGCCGAAGGAAATTGGGCAGTGGTAACCTTTCAGACTGAGAGAAGAAAATATCTGCACAAATTGTACCAATCACAATGACCTGCAATTGCTGGAGATTGCCATTCTAATATTGGTGTGAGCAGCCACAACACAGCCTGCACTAAAAAATCTTGATCTCCAGGTGCAAAATTCTATTGTCTCATGAGGCAAAATGAGCCATGTATACTAATAGATTAAACTTAATTCAATTTGAAAGAAAATAATATAACAAGAACAATGCACTTATGTTCAAATCTTATAACATTACTTTGGTGACCTGTTGCAAGTCTAGTACATAGCAAATCAGGTACATGTGAGCTTGGAGAGCAAGTCAAATAATCCTAATCAGTTTAAGATTGTTGTGCCAGTGACCACTGTAACAGTAATCAACCACTAATTTGGCAACATCTGAAGTTTTTCTTCTTCAGTCAAATCATAGCTGAGAGAGGAGTGTTTTTTCCATCAAAAATGTATCCTTAACCCATGAACTTGTGACCAATTTCTTCCAATCCAATATTTTTATTTATAAAACAAGGAAAAAATACAGAAATTAGTTATCTTTAGGCATTTAATAAAATTTTAAAAAATCATCCAAAATCCAACATTTATAAATGTTTTTTTACTACTACTAATAATTTAATTACAGTACTTCTAGGCCTAGCCTATTATTATAATTACTAGCCGTCGGTAACACGTGAATTATAAGTCTATATTTTTAATGTTATTTATTTTTAGAAGAATATTTTATAAAACAGTTATTGGTCAAAACGCAATTCGCTTTACTACAGGTTTATCGATATTAGTGACGATGCAATAAAATAACTTGATAGCTAAAAGTCCGACACATTTAAAACTACATAGGCTACTAATACCTATTAGAAAAAATAAAACCACATTATCTGTCTATATATATATATATATAATTCTCTTCTGGGAGACGCTAGAAAACAAGCTGTAAACACGCTCCCTACCACCCCCACCCCTACATGGTCTTAGTGAGCTGTGGTTCACGCTATGTTTACCTTCGTGGAGTCGGGTTTAGTGACGGCTATTAGGGGCAGATAATTTAGTTTGAAACGATTTTAAACGTGGGGGGGGGGGGAATGGTCCTTAACGAGCTACTTATAGTGTTTTAAAGAAATATTTTCAGTGTCAGCGTTGGTACTGTCGAATTCACAAATTATGAATTACTGAAAAGTAGAAAAAACAACTAAATAGTGGCGTATGTTATGCAGTGGGCCGGCTCGTATACATAATTAGTCAACACAACACCATATTAAATGCACACATTAATTAAAAGACTTAAATGATTCTGTTAAAAGCCCGGCTTTTCAATGGTATTTATGTTGCTTTTTAAAGTAATTTGTCTTAGTTTTGGCAGAGGAAATTGTATAAATTTCCTAAATTACGGTCTTGATAAGTAAATCTATAGATCAAACCAAATTTTAATGAAATAGTTCATTTCTTCGTATTCTATAATTGGAAGATGACGCCATTGGTTTTGTGTACTCTCCGTACTAAAACATGACATGTGACGTCATCGATTTCGGCATTCTTGTCCCAACTATAAACATTTTTCCGGTTGCATAATTAAAACTGTTTTTCTACATTCGAATATGCCTTTGTTTTTTATTTTTCTTCTTTAAATAAAATTGTGTTTATACATTTAAAACATCTACCATCTTATTTTCAACAAAAGTCCGTATCAAGTACTCAATATATCACTGAAGATTCTGATGTGATATCCTGCGAAAATATTTTGCGGACAGAGAGTGAGAGAAGTGATCCACATGAGCTTTTATATATTAGGATGCTTAGGACAACTTATTAGGGATTCAAATAAATAATAAATTGTATGCTTCTTTAAAAAATCCCAAGTTAAAGTAGGCTATATTTGTCTTTATTAAGCTGGCCTACATCTTTAAGTCTAACATTGTCAGCACAATTTTATTTCCAGTTCTGGTGATAACTTTAGGCTCCTGTGAGTTTATTTTCAATTAGTTAAAATGTTAACAGTATTTGTGGTAGGAATAGAACTATTTATAGGGCTTCCTATAAAATCTCACTTTTTTGTACTATGTCAAGGTAGTGAGTCATTTGGTCTATCTTGTGAACTTTATCTGACTCAAAAATGTGTTGTATCTATTATTATAAATCTTATTCATTGAAGGAGGTGAAATTAAAAAACTGAATTTGGCACCCTTAAAAAATAATTTTTGCTAGGAATTGAAAGAGTCTATATTAAAAGTGAAATAAATTATTGTATGAATATCATGTCTGATTAAGTTATGGACAGAAGTGGATTATTACCAGAAATCTATGCTATTGTTACTAAAAAAATAAGGGTAGACAGTCCTGTTATTTATAGAAGATAGGCTTAATGTTATCACTAGCCATTTTTATCTGTTAACTAAAAAGATTTCCCTCTCTACTAGCTCTAACGACAACTCTAACATGACTTCAGAACAAGGTTCAGTGGCTGCAAATGCTGCAGATGTAAGTAACTTATGTTACAAAGGCGCATTGTTAAATATTTATGTTGGTTTTTAAGTCAAATATTGGATTTAATGGTGACAATTTTTTTTTCAGATTTATGACTTTAACCATGAAGATGGTAACAGTGGTAATGAACAGCCACCCCCACCCCCACCTAAGCCTAAAGGTAGGCGTGGTAGAAATACTAACCAACTGCAGTTTATGTTAAAAACTGTTGTCAAAGCTGTTTGGAAACATCAGTTTGCCTGGCCTTTTCATCAGCCGGTTGATGCCGTTAAAATGCAACTACATGTAAGTCCATAATAGTCTGTTCAAGACGGCTTAGGTTAAAATGTGTGTATAAAGTTACTTAACCTCACAGGATTCTTATGAAAAAATGCATTTAGGACTTAATCTGGAAAATGGGATGTTTTTTTTTAAAAGTCTGGAATCTAGTATTAGAATCAAACTTTTCCACTAAGTTAATATTTTCAGACTCACTAAAAGCTATCCTTTAGCGAATTTACCCTAATATTTGCAAATGCTTTCTGTTAGGGGTAGACTAACCCTCCTTGAGTACATTTTTGGTACTGGGGGGGGGGGCAGGAATACTTATGCTATCTTTATCATTTAACACAACTTAACTAAAACATTCAACTTTTATTACAATCTAACTGTATAACTTCACTCCATTGAAGACCTAAACTACTTACTGTTAGTTTAAAACCTTAATTCAGATTAAAACCTCAATTCTTGTTTATCTACTGCTCAACTGGATTGGTCATCACAATTTCTCCATTGGATGGGATTTGTCTTTTGATTGGTTCCTACAAACTGAGCATTAGCTTATTTATAAGCTAACCTAACTCTATCCTTTACCTGTTTGGTTGTTACATTATGGGTGAACAATTATTTTAAACATTTTTACATTTTAAAGGATTATCATAAAATCATCAAAACTCCAATGGATCTTGGAACAATTAAGAAGAGACTTGAAACATATTACTACAATTCAGCAAAAGAAGCAATGCAGGATTTCAATACCATGTTCACAAACTGCTATGTTTATAATAAACCTGGTGATGTAAGTAAGGCTTTTACTCTATTACAAAAATGTATTTCCCTATTTTTACGGAAATCCATAGCTTCTCCGTGAGGAAAATTGTCCACAAATATTTTTTTGCCAACAGACTTACTCAGAAAAAAGTGTGGAAAAACATCCATCCGATCCTTTTTCTATTTTACTTTGCCAAAAAATAAAGGAAAAGGTGAATTTATTTGAAGGACTGTCTTACGTATGAAACAAATGTCAACACTCATCTCCGTAACATAACACCCCTCACCTTCTTCTGATAGTTGCGCTGATGAAAAGGCCTTCAATATACCTAGTGACCATGTGTCTAGGCTTTCTCAGTTCTCCCTATCGTTATTAAAGTATATGATTTTATTGTCCATCTATTTAGTTGAATAAAAACCCTACCTCTTTTTTAGGTTTGACACTAGCATGTATGATGTTTAAAGGGGGAGGGTTATTAATTCCTTCAGTAACAAAAAATACAAGTGTAAACTACTGTAATCTTGTTACATCAATTAATTTTATAATTGGGTTAAATTATTAAACTAAAAAGTCCATGAATTGTTTTAAAAACGTACTCATACTAGGTTGAGCAAATTTAATTTTTCTTAGATGTGCGGTTGCATCTTTGAAAATACAATTTGATTAAATACACTGGGAACATTTTAAACATGCCAGGTTTTCAAAATTGTTCTTAACTATTTTCAGGACATTACTTTAATGGCACAGGAATTGGAAAAATTATTTTTACAAAAAGTAGCTGATATGCCACCAGAGGCAAGTAAAACTTTACTATTGCACTTACATACACTACTTAGTTTAGTTTATCTTAAAACGATAGTTAATATATGATGTAAAATATTTGGGCTATTTAATTTGTCTAGTTGCCTTAGATTTTATTCTTGCAATTTGTCAGGAAATTGAACTGCCTATTGGTGGGAAAAAAGGTCGAGGAGCAAAAGCTGCTGCTGCTGCTGCTGCTAGATCTGCTCTTAAAAACATGAATTCATCTGACAAAGCCTCTATACCACCTCCAGTGCCAAGAAGTACTCCGCCACGTTCTGCAACAGCTCCAGCATACCAGTCACCTTCAAAGGCTGCACAAATTGCTGCTGCTTCAAGTGTTCCTACAGTTTCCGCAATGCAGGCTGCTTCTAAATTGGCGATGTCTACAACTGTGCCATTAGAAGATATTCAACCAGCTTCTGCACAAGCCCTTCCATCTGCTGTTTCATTACCTTCTCAGCCTGTAAAGGTAAGATTACCAACTAGTTAAACCCCATGCGCCTACTGTTGACCTAGACTATATGCATGTGGTGCTGTTCTTTGTTCTTCTCCTCCCTCCCCCCCCCCTCCCTTCCAAACTCATTGTTCAGTAAATAATGTTGTGTACATTTTTAAAATTTCCAAATGATTTTCATCTGAGATTACGCCTCTTTTATTTATTTTATTGTGGCTTTAGGGGGGAAGGCTCCGGTAAAAAAAACTTTATTAATACTAGTTTTTTTAAAAATGAATTTTCAAAATTTGTGTCCGTTCAAAACACTTAACTTTGGGGAATTTTGGGGCATTAAAACTAGTGTTTTGAACAGACACAAATTTTGAAAATTCATAAAAAATTAGTTTGAAGATATGCACCTAAAATTTTTTAGCTGATTGCCCCAAAATATGGAAGAAGATTATGACTTGATTGTTTATTGGGCTTAAAATGTAATATTTTGTGAATGGTGGAAAACCTACGAAGGGGTTAATTTTTCAAGATGGCAGCCGTTGTCATAGTTACCAAGATTTTTTCAAAATTTTTTTTTAGTGAAAATGCATATGCGGATGTATCTTAATAAAGCCGTAAAGAAATAACTGTTTTCTAACGAGTATTAAAAAAGTTTTTTTTACCGGAGCCTTCCCCCTTAATTCTGTGGTGCCTTGTTAGGTAATTTATTTTTATTTGGATTTTAGCCAAAGAAGAGCCTGAAAAGAAAAGCAGATACAACTACCCCCGGAACTTACATGGGCTCTACCAATATGCCACCAATGCTATATGATCCACCATATGAACCCATGAAAATAAGTGGCAAAGGACAACCAAATAGAAGAGAAAGTGTTAGACAGATTAAAAAACCAAAGCGAGACCTTCCCGATGAGCAGGGAAATGTAAGTGATGCAAGTGTAAGTTTTTGCGACAGTTCCTGTGGCATTTTTCTCTTTTAATTGTTATAGTGTTTCATAAACTGTACAAATTGTTTTTTTTTTTTTAATTTTAATTAAAACAAGGTGTTAAATTTCACTAGTCAGTACAAGTTTGTACCCTGTTTCATGGGTATTGGGCCAATGTGGGGATAAATTGACATCCCAGATGTTAATCCCAATTTAACCTATGGTTGTATTGATTCTAATCTGGTGACATTTTAAAATGATTTCAATAAAAGGTCCACCCGGGCATCGGGCCAGAGTCTTTAAGACCGTGATGTGCCCAAAATCAGTGGGGGATAAATTGACATCCCAGATGTTAATCCCAATTCAACCTTTAGTTGTATTGATTCTAATCTGGTGACATTTTAAAATGATTTCAATAAAAGGTCCACCCGGGCATCGGGCCAGAGTCATTACGACCGTGATGTGCCCAAAATCAGTGGGGGATAAATTGACATCCCAGATGTTAATCCCAATTCAACCTGTAGTTGTATTGATTCTAATCTGGTGACATTTTAAAATGATTTCATTAAAAAGTCCACCCGGGCATCGGGCCAGAGTCTTTAAGACCGTGATGTGCCCAAAATCAGTGGGGGATAAATTGACATCCCAGATGTTAATCCCAATTCAACCTGTAGTTGTATTGATTCTAATCTGGTGACATTTTAAAATGATTTCAATAAAAGGTCCACCCGGGCATCGGGCCAGAGTCTTTAAGACCGTGATGTGCCCAAAATCAGTGGGGGATAAATTGACATCCCAGATGTTAATCCCAATTCAACCTTAAGTTGTATTGATTCTAATCTGGTGACATTTTAAAATGATTTCAATAAAAGGTCCACCCGGGCATCGGGCCAGAGTCATTACGACCGTGATGTGCCCAAAATCAGTGGGGGATAAATTGACATCCCAGATGTTAATCCCAATTCAACCTGTAGTTGTATTGATTCTAATCTGGTGACATTTTAAAATGATTTCAATAAAAGGTCCACCCGGGCATCGGGCCAGAGTCTTTACGACCGTGATGTGCCCAAAATCAGTGGGGGATAAATTGACATCCCAGATGTTAATCCCAATTCAACCTGTAGTTGTATTGATTCTAATCTGGTGACATTTTAAAATGATTTCAATAAAAGGTCCACCCGGGCATCGGGCCAGAGTCTTTACGACCGTGATGTGCCCAAAATCAGTGGGGGATAAATTGACATCCCAGATGTTAATCCCAATTCAACCTGTAGTTGTATTGATTCTAATCTGGTGACATTTTAAAATGATTTCATTAAAAAGTCCACCCGGGCATCGGGCCAGAGTCTTTAAGACCGTGATGTGCCCAAAATCAGTGGGGGATAAATTGACATCCCAGATGTTAATCCCAATTCAACCTGTAGTTGTATTGATTCTAATCTGGTGACATTTTAAAATGATTTCAATAAAAGGTCCACCCGGGCATCGGGCCAGAGTCATTACGACCGTGATGTGCCCAAAATCAGTGGGGGATAAATTGACATCCCAGATGTTAATCCCAATTCAACCTGTAGTTGTATTGATTCTAATCTGGTGACATTTTAAAATGATTTCAATAAAAGGTCCACCCGGGCATCAGGCCAGAGTCATTACGACCGTGATGTGCCCAAAATCAGTGGGGGATAAATTGACATCCCAGATGTTAATCCCAATTCAACCTGTAGTTGTATTGATTCTAATCTGGTGACATTTTAAAATGATTTCAATAAAAGGTCCACCCGGGCATCGGGCCAGAGTCATTACGACCGTGATGTGCCCAAAATCAGTGGGGGATAAATTGACATCCCAGATGTTAATCCCAATTCAACCTGTAGTTGTATTGATTCTAATCTGGTGACATTTTAAAATGATTTCAATAAAAGGTCCACCCGGGCATCAGGCCAGAGTCATTACGACCGTGATGTGCCCAAAATCAGTGGGGGATAAATTGACATCCCAGATGTTAATCCCAATTTAACCTATGGTTGTATTGATTCTAATCTGGTGACATTTTAAAATGATTTCAATAAAAAGTCCACCCGGGCATCGGGCCAGAGTCTTTACGACCGTGATGTGCCCAAAATCAGTGGGGGATAAATTGACATCCCAGATGTTAATCCCAATTCAACCTGTAGTTGTATTGATTCTAATCTGGTGACATTTCAAAATGATTTCAATAAAAGGTCCACCTGGGCATAAAATACTTGATTTAATACAATGTGATTTGATGTGTAACTCCTTCTTTTGTAGGCGCAGCATAGTTCGAAAGGGAAAAAAGGCAAACTTACAGAACAGATGCGCTACTGTAGTTCTATAGTTAAAGAACTCATGACTAAAAAACATCAGGTAATAAAATTTTGAAAGCTCAATAAAAATTGAAAGCTTTTTTCTTTTTGTGAGGCTTTTGAAAATCCTCCCGGGCATCGGGCCAGAGTTTACGGACTGTGATGTGCCTAAAATCAGTGGAGGGTATATCATGACCAGATGTTAATCCCAACCAACCCAATGTTGAGTTGATTCAAATCTGGTTACATACTTTTTATATGCACACAGTATATATTAAGCCCATTAAAATTGAATATATTTTTGCAACAATCAGCTGATGACTTAATTCAGCTAATGAAAATATTCTTTTATCTTGTGTGCAATTTATGTTATTTGTTTTTTGATGGTATGTTGGATTTCTGTGCATGATTTGAAAGAAAACAAATACCTAAAAAATTTTAGTGTAATCATCTGATATGATTTTTGTTTCTTATTCCTTTGTATGCTTGAAATAGTTGATTCGTTTAAGTGGAAATTATAAAGTTTAATCTCTACCCTTTTTTTTCCAGACATATGCATGGCCATTTTTAAAACCAGTGGATGCTGAGGGTCTAGGGCTGCATGACTATTATGATATTATAAAAAAGCCTATGGATCTTGGTACAGTTAAGGTAAACAAGATATTCAAACCAGCTATTTATTGGTCTAAAAATTGGAAATCTGATCCTTATTACATCTCTTAGAGACAAGCCCAGTCTTAAATGTCTTCTTTTAGGGTTTACCTTCTGATACTGTTCATTCACTTCTGAATGATAAACCTTTAATTAAATCCAACTTATCCTATAATGCATTGTGCCAATACTTGTAAAGTTTCTGTATTTTTTATCTGATGCTTTCAGAACCTACGTGCTTAGCTAACGTTTCACTTTTTGCCTAATATGACTAATATATTGTTCTTATAGAAAAAAATGGAAGACAGAGAATATAGAAGTGCAAGTGATTTTGCTGAAGACGTTAGACAAATATTTCAAAATTGCTACAGGTACAATCCACCAGACAGTGATGTCGCGAAAATGGGAAGAAAACTTCAAGTACGAAAAATCATTCTTAATCATAAACACAATATTTCTTGTTTATTTAAGGAAAATATAGATTTACTAATATTTTGATTTTTCAATATAAGTTAAGGCTTTTTACAATTTTACCTGCAGGAAGTTTTTGAACTTAAGTATGCACGTATGCCAGAAGAACCTGTACAGACTGATCCAACACCTCCTTCATCTGTAGCATCAGGCTTGACCAGAGTAGGTGAAGGCAGCGGGCTGTCTTCTAGTGCAGAAAGTTCAGATGATGATAGTGAGGAAGAGAGAGAGAGGAAATTAAAAGATTTACAGGAGCAGGTATGTATTCTATAAATTTTCACATTTGTTCCCTAACTTTTATTTTGATTTTCCAAGTAAAGGAATAATTTTATAAATTTTCCAACTGCTTTTACAAAAACATTTACTGCTTGTCACCAATTTTTACAAATAATCATGATCATCCTTTTATTACTGCAATAAAAGTTTTTTTGTTAACTGCTTTTATACTTAACATATAAATGTTAGACATGTAATCAAAAGCTGCCACTATTTGATGTCACCTAGACACTAATTTCTCATGGAAACTGCTTATCATTCACAACTACAGAATGCTTTTTTTTTCCTGAAATCTCCTTTTTTTTTTAGAAAAAAAACGCATGGCGTCAACAATTCACTTGTAATTTTGTAAAAATAAAGAACAAGTTACATAAATTTTAACGGAGTGAATGCAACCTGCATGTCAATCATGACATGTCAATAACATAACAATTGTCAATGAGCTCAGATGGTCAATTTTCAATTGTAATATAGCACTATGTTTGACTGCTAGATAGAGATTACAATAAATGTAGGTGAAAATTCAGAATTTCTGAGGATTTCTGAATTTTTTCAGAATGCATTTTTAAGCTATTTTTAGTACAATTATATAACAAATACAGAAAATTGTATTTTAAAAGGTTGCTACTCTTTACTTAAAATGAAACATCACCTGAGCCTGGTTTCTTTAACTTTAATTTTGTGTGCATGTTAGTCTAGCTATAGCCTAATGTATCTACCGGTTTTTATAACTCTCCTTGTTTTTAAAGCTACCCCACCTACCAGTTTCTCTCTACTTCTGTTTTATTGCAACCTCAAATTAATATTGAAATCAATGCAAAAGATGACAATTAAGGTACTAACCCACCCCTCCTTGCAGCAACTAGCATAGGTGGCTGTTGTGACCTCGCCATTACCCCAAGTACATGTTTGGTACTGCTTGTTTGGGGAAAAACAAAAATGACTCAGCCAATCTCAATTGCTATGTTCCTCTGTTATAACCTGCTCTATAGGCTTACTGTTTTCAAAACTTGTGAACTCACTAATGAGTGTCTGGGGGTCTTTTTTCAAGCTACTGTAAGATTTTAACAAAAATATTTTTAATAGTAGCCTATTCGTAGTGTCTGCTTTTTTTGGAATAAATTATTTAAGGTAAAATAAAACAAATATAAAAAACATTAATAGTTAATAGCTTTTAAATGCATTAAAAATTAAAAAAAAAACTAATATGATTTATTTAATAAAAAGCATTGGTCGCTAAAATATGAAACCAATTCTTATATTAAAGAAAGCAAGTTCATTCAATAAAAATCAAGACAATGCTTGTTTTTATAAAGCTTTTGGCTATAAATTGGCTGTACTGAATAACTATTTTTCTTTGCAATGCTCAAGTTTTCCCCTGCATTAGTCCCAATTCAGAGTATTTAAAATTTGTATTGTTTTGTACATTTAGATGAAACACATGGCGGGCTAAAATTAATATCCTGATGAGTTTTTATATGGTTAATGATTTTTGGAATGGTACAAAAAAAACCATTAAATTTGCAGCAATGTTGTTATGGAATGTATTAATTTCATACAATGTGTAATTATTGCCTTTTTTTCAGCTCCAACAAACACTAATCACCCATTGTAAAATTCATGTTCATTTTATGAAATATGATTTGACACTAATTTAGGTAGACATTATTTAAATTACCCCAACTTTGTAAAAGACTTAAAATGTTTCCACTTACGACATTTATACTGGACTTGGCCTATTTAAATTGTATACTAAACATGTTAGAGTAAATGGAACATTCTGAGTTGCTGGGCACAAAACCATGCCCTTTTTTAAAATAACTTGCTTCCTCTGTATGTAGTCAGTCTGACATCATAGATTGAAATTTAGGCATTTCTGACATTTATTTCAAAGTTGGCAAGTGGGCCAAGACTTGAAGGCAATGCAATGTCATTAAATTGGACTTAATCGGATGACTAATTAATTTTTTATGTAGCTTTCAAATTAGTAGGCAGTCTTGTACTACCCTTTCCACACTATTATACGCACATTTTCATGTTCATTTGGTGAGCAACTCGGTTGAAAAAAAATAATTAAGTACTGAAAGAACAGTTGCGTAAAAATGTGTTAATAGCGAGCTTTTATATAATAAAAGGAACGACATTTTTTAAATATAATACTCAACTATTTAAATAACTAAAGAAATTTCTTTATAGTTAGGCCCACCTAGATCAGTCACAATAGTTTTTAGAAATATCTTGATCTGGAATTGAAAAATAACTTAAGAAATATGTAAATTACAAAAATGGTCGCTAGTAAATGTTTTGGTAGAAGTATTTTTAATTTCTTTTTGTTTACTTTTTTCCTCAAACATTCTAGCTGCAGAAAGTTCAAGAGCAGTTGGCCTCTCTCACTAAAGAACATGTACAAAGGTTAAAAGAAAAGAGTGAAAATAAAACAAAAAAGAAAAAGAAAAAAGACAAAACAAAAGATGAAGTAAAGAAAGAACTTATTGATACTGTTAATCCACCTCCACAAATACCAGTGGCCTCTTTGCCACCACCTGCTCTCAGTAAAGACACTCCTAAACCAAAGAAAAAATCAAAACAAAAATCTCCAGCTGCCAAAAAGCCCAGAAACAATAGCATTAATCGTGCTGGCTCAAATCGCAAGAAGTCAAATGTTTTGCCGGCTGGTCCTCCAAATGTACCACCATTTGACAGTGATGATGAAGACAATGCTAAGCCTATGACTTACGATGAAAAGCGACAACTTAGTCTTGATATTAACAAGCTGCCAGGTAATCAGAATAATTTGAATAATTATAGAATACATAACTAAACTTTTTTTAAAAATAACATGTATTTAAATTATTTTGTGTCATTTTAATAGGTGATAAGCTTGGTAGAGTAGTACACATTATTCAATCTAGAGAGCCGTCCTTGAGAGATTCAAATCCAGATGAGATTGAAATAGATTTTGAAACCCTTAAGCCTTCAACGTTGAGGGAGCTTGAAGAATACGTTATGACCTGTTTAAAAAAGAAACCAAGGAAAACATATAGTAAGTAAACATTCTTAACTCTTTACTCTGTATTTGTTCAGTCAAATTCTATCTTGTAACTTTTAAGTAGGTAGGCCTTATTTTAAATTCTTAACAATTACATGCAAAGCCTTCAGCATTTTTGTCGTTCGCAGGAATGATTATAGATAAATCCAAAATAATTAAAGATAGATCAACTGCTTTTAAATCAATCTGTTAAAGCTATGGTTTTTAATCATTGGGGGGGGGGGGGGGGAGGAGAAGGAATGAAACAGGCTTTTTAAAAAAAAAAAATTAAAGCTGACATGATGAAGTATTTAGCTGTACCCTAGAGACAGACTAGCTATTTATAAATGGCCTACTAAACACTATACCCAGGCCTATATATATTCTATTGTGTGCAATGTCACAAGACTTGTTTTATTTTTAACTTAGTAAAGCATCGCACATGTTCCTCTTTTTGGCTTCTAATTCCTCTTTTTACGTGTGACAGGTCCTACTTCTGGTCTCTAGGGGTAGGCGTGTTCGAATAAAAAATTTTCAATTTTAATGTGCTAAACAGGGTTCATTCTGGAAAAAAACCTAAAAAAAATATAGAAAAGGGAATTTCAGACTCTAAAATTGTCATGAAAATCTCATTTTTGGGCTGAATTTTGGGTGATATTTTCCGACTAACAAAAGGACTTCATTAGTGAATTTACTCCCATTGTTTCTCCCTTACACATCGCATTGCTACCGCCGCCATTTCCCGCTGCTATCCATTTATATTTGGATCTTCAAATTAATATTGAAATCTTAATATATGCTGACGATAAGAGCTTGACTAACCCAACTCGCCCATCCTTTTAACAACAGTCACTGATGTATAAACTTCTGTGAACTCAATGTGACTCTGCGTACATGTTGAGATGTCTGGACTACTGTTACACCCTTCCACAATGTCTTATGTGGGGAGTGTGCGGATATACTTATATCCTTCTATCATGATTGTTTGTATGGATTTGTGTTTTTTAGATTTTGCCATCTAACTGGTGGTAAAAAAAAAAGACTTCGAAAAAAAACACTTTAGCCTGGAAGTAATTATAAAATAATTGGCAAATCCAGATAAGTGATATAGAAATGTACCCTTAAACTCAATAAACTCTTAGTAATTAGCCTTGCACTTGACCTACTTTTTTTACAAGCTTCATAATGTTGGCTTTCAAAAACTACTACACTGATGCCTTTTTTTAACAATGTCTCATAGTCATATCACAAGTATAAACTTAACAGTTATTTTTGCGTATTCTATACCAATTTAGTTTTAACAATGGATGATTAGTGTTAGATGCAGACTTTCCGTTTGAACGTTTTTTTTTTGTTCATTTTGCTGAGAATATTTAGCAGAGCATGATATAAGTAAGCAAAATGTGAATTGCTGTATTTATAACTGTTGTAAACATACTCAAAAATCCCTAGAAAATTATATACTAGACCTACTAAATTTAATTTCACTAAATGCTAATGTAAAAAAAATTCTTCAAAAAAGAACTAGATGGAGACATCTAAACCCGCTCAATTTGCCCGCCGTGTATTTGGATGGGAAGAAATCTAGCAGACGACACAATTCTGCTAATTGGCAATAAAGTCACATCACTCCTAAAAATGAACCCACCGTATCAGTCATAGCATCGTAGCCATTTAAAAACGAACATTTCTTCACAAATTATAGTCTAGGCTACCGATTAATTTTGATTGTTAAAATTGGTATCAAATTAAAGGTAAATAAATGAAGTTCAATTACTTCATCTTGAGCAATTATGAAGTTTGGTGCCACCCTAGTTATAACTGGCCAATCTTCTGAAAACCCCAACTTATTAATAATTTGTTCTCAAAACCTGGCTGCTAAAATTTTAAAAAAAATTTTCAACATGAGAGTTCTGCCATTTCTTTTTGTTTAAATTTTCTGTGATAAAATATAAACCAAATTGTTTTTGGTTACTTTAAGGGCATGGACGGTGCTGAAAACCAAAATAACAAAAAATTATTTCTAAACCTAATGCTATGATATTTAGCTTAAGCTTATGACTTACAGCGTTAAGCCTAAAAATAAAAAAAATAACCGAAAATTGCTATGGTGATTGTGGCCATCGTGGAATTTTAAAATAATTTTAACATTGAAATAACTTACTTAAAGTATTAAAATTGATCAAAATTTTCTCGAGTTATTCTGTATGCATATACCAACAAAACTGATGGAACAAAATTTTTTAAAATTTGGTTTTTCTTTTACAGTTAAAAAGCATCAGATACATGCAGTCTTTAGTAAAGTCCAACAAAAACAGATTTTTACAACCATATTTATATTAATAACATAGTATATGTTTGTTAAAAATATTCATTGGGTTTGAATAAATTTGATACTATTGGTGGTTGAGTTTATTGTTCATTTCTTTACAGCTAAAAAGGCATCTGGCAAATCAAAGGAAGAAGTTCAAAGAGAGAAAAAACTTGAACTAGAAAAAAGATTAGAAGGTGTTCAGCAACAATTGGGTCAAACTAAAAAGTCAAAAAAAGGTTCATATTTTATTCAATCCAGTTTCGCTTTATTTAAAACTTGTATTAAACTGCCTATATGTCAGTGTTACTTGTAAACCTTAGTGTTTTCATTTTTTTGTTAGTTAAAAAAAAAATTAAGAATATAAGAGTAAAATTGTCCTCAGTATTCAGTTGAAATTACATAAAACTTATGCTTTACAGATGATGGTGCACCTGGAAGTGAAATGCCTGTGCAAAGTCGACTTAGTGCAAGTAGTAGTAGTACATCTGGCAGTGATTCGAGTAGTGACAGTAGTTCTTCCAGCTCTTCAGAATCTTCTGATTCTGAATCAGGTTAGCTAATCATGACATTCATGCAAATTCATTATTGGTTGCCATAATTACTTAAATTTGCTCATTATGAGGGTTTTATTTATGAGCAGTAATGATCTGAACAGTGTTCATTAAGTTTAGAATACCTCTTTTGATAGAATCTTAGGGATATTGGTGTGTAGATGTTTTTTAATCTAAGTTAAAAACTTGAAATAAAAAACTTTCAAATTAAAACAAAATCTAAAGCTTCCATTAGTTTAAAAAAATCAAAGTATGCGCACAATTTTTAACTTTTAGTTCGTTCATTGCTACCAAGTAGTTAAACAATTGGATCAATTCCTTCTTAACTTTTGTTTAGCAAGATTTATTTTTTCTTTTTAAACAAAATTCCTGAATGTGCTTAAAACCAAGTTAAGATTATTTGCAAATTAACAATCCATAGTATCCTTTGGCTAGTTCAATACAAAAGGACTGAATAAATATTTCTTGTTACGCTAAGGACACATCTGTGCAATAAACTAAGAGAAACCAGTTTTTATACTATCATATGAAAATATTGTTGTAAGACTAACTTTACCCTTGTTAAGTTTGTACGTAGAAAACTTCCAAGTCTGTATGTTTGAGAGAGATTGGTACTGCTTTGAGTGCAGTGTGTGCTAAGTAGAGGCCAGTCAAAATGGTTTATTTCACAGCCTTTTTAGATATCACTTTTTATTTATAGTTACCGTAAGATACATGAAAAAAAAACATCAGTCACCCTTTACACACTGTATTGTTTATTTTCATGCTCTTCATGCTTCTTGCATAATAGTTTATTTTTTGATAGATTGGTGCTACATGGTACATCCACATATTCTTTTTACAATTTGCAGTTCATTGACTTGGTTGTTAAAATGTTTTTTTTTTTCCCTCTGATAATGTAAAATATTTGTTGATTGTGGCAGGGCTTTTATTTGCTAACTAAACTGTATATACTGTTAATAGATTGTATTATTTTTGCTAATTTACAAAGCAGATAAAGCCCTATCACAGGTTAACTTGTCTTTATGAGCATGGTAGATTTGTCTGCTCTAATTAAAACACGAAAAAGTGATTATCAAAATTCATAGTTCTGGCCTCCACTTGGAAAAAACCGTTGCACTCAATCGCACATTCTCTACATAATATATTTATATATATATTGTACATTCCTTTTTTATTTTACAATATTACAGTCATTTTAAAAATATAAATGTACTTCTGTTTGTTCTTAAAAAGATAGTTTACACATTTTCACCACCCATGTGACTTTTAGAGCATTTAAAATTTACAGATTTTTAGAAATGCATTTTAAAAATGGCAAAGTTTGTACATTATTGGGAACACACTTCTCTTTGGCAGTTTTGCATGTTAAGCTTGAAATAGCTGCTTAAAGATTATTTTAAATTTTCATTCCTATCATGCTCATAAAGTATTATATATTGTAAAATGTGCAAGAAGTATTGAAGAGTATTGTATGGGCCTAATAGTTTCATTATTTTTGTACAGAATCCATTGTCTCATCCATAGTATCATTTTTTTACACTCATAAATAAACTTAATACAATTGTTTGTATTACCTGACTGGCTTCTACTTTGTTAGCATATGTATGAAATTTGACTGCTGGAATGAATGTGGTTGTGAAATCTCTCAATTCAATGCAATACTAAAATATATTACAGACCGTTAATATGCTTTATTTAACCTATCAAAAATATATAAATGATTTTAGTCACCTGTTTTACTCAGATTGAAGTGTATGACCCTAGACTCTGGGAGGTCTGAAGGATACAGTACTTCCTCAGAATTACCAAAATCACACTTTCTGACACTTATGTGTTAATCATTACAACATACTTGGATGCTTTTCTTTTCCCTCCTCTTTTTGGTATTTTTTACTTGTCATCTATATGGAGACAATAATGCTTTTAACTAAAGGGGTGGTGTGGAGGAGGGTATCCACAAATTAAAAAGCAAGTAATTTAACATTTCTAAACAACTTTTTAAGTACTGTATAACAAAAATTTTATGATAATTTTATTACACAAATGACCAGTAAATGTCTTGGTCTTGCACACTTAGAATCTTATCCATTGGCTTAAAGACACAAAAAAGAATGTATTAGTTGTTGAATAGCTCCTTTTACCTCAACTGTTTTATAAGCTTTTGAATACGCTAATTTTACCCATAACCTACTTCATGCACTATTGAGACCACATAATCTAAAAAAAATTATTTCATATTAAAAAATTTAAACACAAAGCATTACACAGGAAAATAGTAATAATTATTAACTTACAATTAAGATAATAAGAAAATCCAGAAAAAAGTTGTAATTAAATCCCACATGTTTGTGAAAATATTCAAAACTTGTTCAGGTACTATCAGAATCTTGATACTAGCAAGATTTGCCTTCAATAAATGCAGATAACATAATACCAGTGCATTCTCACTCCATGGAATGTGCCACACGTTATATTTCCTGCACTTAAAAATAAAAAATCTTTAAAAAAGGAATTACCTTGAAAATCTTGTAATGGATATTTTAACTATCTCTTGAATTCTCTAGTTGAAAGCATGTTTCATTATCCTATTTAAGTATTTAATTCTGTATTTGAATCTGTGCTATTGTAAAGTGTTTTTTGTCCAATCTTCAATATATATCTCTTCTTGGAGATGTTATAAAACACCAAGCTGTAAGCACGCCTAGCAGTCCCCTCTCGTCTCTCTAGGCATATCGCTCCCACCCCCACATGATCTGGTGAGCTGTGGTTCATGCTAAATGTATACAATCGTAGAGCCGGGTTAAGTGACGCCTATTAGGGGCAGATAATTTAGTTTGAAACGATTTTAAACTTAGGGAAGGTAACTAAGAGGAGGCTGCTTTCACGGATGGGGGGCGGGGAAAGGAGGGTTTTAGTGTTTTAAAGCAAATATTTTCAGTGACAGCATTGGTACTGTCGAATTCACAAATTATGAATTACTGAAAAGTAGAAAATAAAACTAAATAGCGCAGCGGGTCGGCTCGTTACAGTTAAGACAAGTCTTAGAAAGTTACCTTACTCAACTCAAGAAGATTGATTTTTACATTCATATCGTTTTAAGAATACTTTTGCTGGTTGAGTTGAACTTTATCACAAAATTGATTGGCTAAATTGCTTATTTTTACTTTCTCGTATACTGAGTACATGGGAATTATAGTTATTGTACAGAAAAATTAAATGAGGTTTTTTCAGTTTTTGCTGTTAAAGACCTTACTTTATCTTATGCAGAATATAAAGGATATCATGAAAAATCTAAATTGATGGGTTTTTTTTACCATCACATAAGTACCATTAGAGTAGGGTTGCTGAAATTTAATGTATAAATGTGTAGTTTTCTATTAACTAAAGAGAGATTCCGGTAAATATAAGTGGTATTTCCGGCTTTCTAAAGCATAGATCTTTGGTTGATGAAATTTTGTATATAAATATTATAACTTGCTAGTTTTCTATCAAATTTGGAGAGATTCTGTATATTACCCATCTGTACCCGTTACACGTGAATGACAGGTATGTTTTAAATGTTATACTTGTTTGGGAAAAATAATTTATCAAATAGTTATTGGTCAAAACGTTGAACGATATTAGTGTCAAAGCAAAGAAATAACTAAATAGCTAAAAATCCAACACATTTAAAATAACAGGCTGCCAATACCTATTAGAACAATTAAAACCAAATTATATACATTATTGATTAGTCAACAGAACACCATATTAAATGCACATGTTGATTTAGAGAGTGAAATGATTCTGTTAAAAACCCGGCTGTTCCATGATATTTATGTTGTAATTTGTTCTTGTTTTGGCAGAGAAAATTGTCTACATTTCATAGTGTACATCTTGATAAGTAGATCTATAGATCTAAATTAAATATGAATGAAATAGTCCATTTCTTCATTTCTAAAATTGGAAGATAACGCCATTAGTGTTGTGACTTTCCGTAGTATTAAACATGACATGTGACGTCATTGTTTTTGCGTTCTTGTCACAACCATAAACACTTTTCCGGTTTCATGATTAATAATGTTTCTACATTTGAATATGCCTTTATTATTTTCCTTCTTTAAATAAAATTTATTTAATGCATCCAACATATTATTTTCAACCAAAGCCGTATCTTAATTTCTTCATATGTTGCTGAGGATATGATGTCGTAGCGTCAGGAAATATGTTGCGGAGAGAGAGAAGTGCGCATATGGGCTTTTATATTTTAGCTTGGAAGTGGTATTTATACTTCTGGTTTTTCAAAAGCCTGTAACTACCATTTTAGTGGACGAAATTTAAAAGTATAAGATTGATTGCATGTTCCGTTCAACTTTTCAACAATTTTCAATATATGGAAGTGAAACTTTATTTCTGTTGGAACAGGACAAAACGAGTACTGTTTCAGTTAGGTCGGTAGACGAAATTATATACAGAAGTTTAAGATGTTATACATAGATTACTCCCAAAGTTTGATTGACCACCAATATTCAGAAGTTGTACTTTATTTCCTATTTCTAAAATACTGAAAACAAGTACTGTTTCAGGTGGATGAATTTCAAAAATAGGTATAAGATCTTATCCTCTAAAATTTTGAATGATTTCCGGTGATAGAAAGTGTTACTTCAAGCTAATTTTGATTTCTCAAAAAAAAAAAACAGTAAGAATTTTATACTTTTGGTGCTCAATTTTTTTCTACATTATTCCTCAGCTAATTTCATTTTCTCCTAATTTTTCCCCCCATTTGTAGATTTTTGCCAATTTTTTTTTACGAAGTTTTAGAAATTAAGGGGAAAATTAGGAAATGACCTCTATGGAAACAGCCCACATGCACATTCCACATATTACTAATAGTTATTTAAAATAGAGTGTTACAGTACTTGGGTCAAACAATCGAATATGCATTTCTTTTTAATTGGACTATTGCGCTAGATCTGATGGTGCTAGCTTAAATGTAGGTCAAGATTTTGAATTGCTGTGTATTTCAGAATTTTTAAGAATGCAATTTTTTTTTAAGTCCACATTTTCGGCTGATATATTTAGTTAAGTAGTTTTCAAAAACATGAAAAAATTTAGCTTAACTAATGCCTTTCTTTAAGTGAAACTTGAATCTCCCAAGCCTGGTTTCTTAACCATTGGCCGTCAAAGTGGGGCCATCAAAATGGTTAATTTTGGTTCAAATGTTTTTACAAGTATTCAAAAATTATTTTAAAATGAATATCAGACACTTTCTGATTTCAGCAAAATTGGGTGATTTAATTTTCCATCTCTTGAACTAAAACTTTCAAATTACAATATAAATCTAGTCTCTTTACAGTTAAAGACTGACATATTTACCATACTCATCTTTAAAAGAATATAACATAGTAAAGAATAATTGAAAACATAAGTGCAACTAGAACAGTAGTTTTAATTACCTTAATGTTAAGATTAAACTCAATTGCCAGAGTAACATTGTTACATTGTAAAAGTCAATATTTTTAAAAAAGGTGTTAATAAGGTAAAAATTAAAATGCAATTAGACTAGACTCCCAATGTTATTTTAGCAGGTTCAACAGTGGTGCAATGCAGTATACATGCAACCGTATGTAAAGAAAGTTCACATTTACTATTTTAGTATTTATCTTTCTAAAACAAAAGTAGGGACAAAGATATTTAAAAGTAAGATAATTAAAACTTTAATAAGTTCCTAAATTAAAAAAATGTAGTATTGTAGGCTATATATTTAAAAACATTGAAAATCACGTTCGCACTGAATTGTTTACTATTTACTGTTTGCTATGTCAGGTGTTCATGTACTTGAGGTTCATTGATTAAGTGAATCACAGGTTTTGTTTTGAAAATTTGTCTCCCAATCAAAAAAATAAAACTGGTAGGCCAGTTTGACGCATATACAAGGGACATGCTACTACCACCCGCGCATTCTGCTGAAGGAATATCTGCACAAATGCTGCGCATACACATGGGACGTCACATGCTACCTGTAAACGGGGGGGGGGGGGGGGGGGGGGCTCTGCCTTTTGTTATTTAAGAGTATAGGAGAAAGTTTTGGGAGATCACTCCCACTTTGTTTTTAGTCTAGATTTGAAGTTTAAGTTAGCTCGAAAAGTCTCAAAACAAAAATTATTTCACCTTTTGTGGTACTTATGAAAAGTAGATTAGAAGATATCAGTCTTTCAATAAATAATACAACATTCATTAGCCACAAACCATTTGTGGGTTTATAAGTTCACACAATAGACAACTAGCACACTCCTAGGTTCCACCCTGACAGGAACTATTACACATGAATGCTAAGTACATTTGTACAACTAATTGCATGTAAAATAGGACCAGGAACTGGAAATTGTCATAAGATAGGAAAAAAGTATTATAATTTTTAAACAGTCAAAATCCATAACCAGTTACGCATAATGTAGTCTGGGTGTGTGTGAAAACCATAAAAAGATCACTTGTCTCTTGATCTCTCCCTATGAAGTGATAGTGTGGTCATCACAAAAATCAATTAAAAATACTTATCCTGGGAAAACAAAAAAAAGTACACCTTATACTATTTCTATAAAATTTTTCTTTAAAGTACCCAAAGAAAAAAAGTTGTTGGAACTACTTTTTTTATATATCAATCAAATCAAGCCCAATTCATCTGCAGACATTTTAATGGCTTTTAATTTCCCTTATTATATTGCCTGGAGAAAATTAACAGCTAGTGCTAAAACAAATTCTGTTGGAAATGAAATTTATTTCTTCAGTCTGTCTGTATCTTTAAGATCTCATTACAATCAACTCTTGTACATTAATGTACTATACTGGCACATACCAGCACATCAGATTGTACCACTAAACAATCTCAGGGACATTTGGGTGTACTTGACTAGTTTCAATAACAATTTTCAGACAAGCACACCAAGTTTGTTGAATCCATAAATTAGTTTTAAGAGAACCATTTTGTATTGTTCGTTGGGTGAACCCTTCAGTTTCAATATTTTAATATTAAAGCTTACTGCTTGTAACTAGTCTATCAAACATTTAAGATTTTAATATAAAATAATTTTAATCAAATGAATAACCAGTAGAGAACACTTTAAGAACAAGTGTATTTCGCAGCTTGTGCACTACTTGATAAATTAGTAAACAGCATAAAGCTGTGCCTAAGTTTTTTTTATTTATTTAAGACTTCAGATCAGTTAGAAAACTCAGATGGATACATCAAGGTTATCCTGTTATTAAATAGCCAATAACAGATCAATTTTTTTTATAAGAATTCTGTTAGTGGAATAAAGTTATTATCATGATGCCATTGGTATCTTACAGAATCACCTAAGAAGAAACAAAAAGTTACCTCCAAAAAAGTTCACCCAGCAATGAAGGTGAGAAATAACCTTTTAAAGGTTAACTAATTTAAAGGTTAATAAAGCTACCTAGGATGTGGGTTATAAATCTTGTCATCTTATTTTCTGTAGTCTAGTCCACAATCCAAGATCTCTGTTGGAGCCACAAACAGCAGAGGTGTATCTCCACCAATAAATGTCACTTCACCTGTGATTCCTAATGCATTCCCTAAAGTTCAGCCTGTCCAAACAACTGCTTCTTCAGTCTCTGGTGTTCATGTTGCAAAAAGTGAGACTCATGCATTATTGAATGCTTCAGTTGGTGTTACAGACATTTTCAATACCTCCAATATGAGCTTTTCCAGCAATTCTAACACTTCACCCTTAAACTCTGGTGGTAAGTAGAGCAGTTTTTTTTTATTTATATAGAAGTTTCCCAAATAAGTAAATATGATCATGTCTAGTGTGGAGGACATAAGTAGAATCATCCAAAATCTGTTATGTATTATTGAAAGCCAGAATTTATGTAATGAATATTTGATAATTATTAGTGGGTGTTCCTAGCTACTAAAAATCATTTGTTTTGAATGTATTTACACTTATTACAAAAATACATCTCCATGAGGAGGATTTTCATACAGAAAAAAACTTCAATATTTTTCCACTGGCTGGCTTTTTTTTTTTTTTTTTTTTGAAAAAAAAAATTTCAGAAATTGCAGCTAATCCATTTTTCCTTTTTTTATCCGTCCTGTTTTTTGACTGTTTTGCGTGTATTACAGAAGCTTTCCGTCCACTCAGTAAATGGCCCACACCATTTGGGGGTTTGTGTAGGTTACGGCTTAAAACATACTATGGCTGTGTGAACAAAGAGTACCTCGCAATTTTACTATTTTTCATCAAAAGCGAGTCAGAAGTTCTAGGCAATCCTGAAAAAAAAATTATTGGAGAGATGGGTGGGGCTGTTGAACGAACTTTTGATGCCGTTTTTGTGTGGCTGTCTAGTTATTAATGATTATTGGTCAGGGTAAAATTCTGCTCTAATGTGACGTCATTTATGTGCTACAGCTTGGCTGTGCCTTATATATAACTTCACCAATGTGGTTGTTTAAAGGATTATCTTTAACAGGGTTGTAATTTTTCCGTTCTTACAGAACTCTGCTTTCTCCTAATAAAAAAAGACGGGGGGGGGGTGCTATTGTGCAGACCTAGAATATTTGATTCATGATTGTGTTGACTGTGAGACCTAAGATGCAACAGGGCGAGCACATTCTACAAGCAATTTTATTTAAATATCTAATATTAGCATTTCTTTTTTTACATTTTTGAAAGCAGAAATAAAATCCCTTGATCTAGGTCTTAACATGATTTTTTTTATATTAAAAAAAAATGATTGAATTTTTGCATACTTCATGATGGACTTGATCAAAATCTTCCTCAGCTAACTCGTTAAGCAGAAGTATAACACATGCAATGCCTGCTCAGCCTATGAAACAGCCCATTTCAGTAGCAACACCAAAGCCAAGACCCAGCAGTATGTTTCTTTTATCTTCATTAAACAATAATAATTTAATTATCACCTTAATTCTTAACAATTTTTGTTTTCTCTAAGATTTTTAAAAGCTTTGAATCATTTACTTTTTCTATCTTTTTAGAATATTTTACTGTTTTTTAAAGATTTTTTTTCAGCAATAGTAGATTCAGATATTTTACTATAAATATTTATTTTTTATTCCATGAATTTTGTAGTCAAATGTCTGTTCAAAACTCTAAAACTAAGTTAATTATTCCTAGTTCCCATGACTAGTACTCCAGTATCTGGTGCAGTGGATCGTCCATTTGCTGCTATGCCAGGACTAGAAAGCACGCCAGCTGCAAGTTTACCTGGAAGAAGACCATCTAAGGAAGGTTTGACTCCAAGTCAGACTGAACAACAATCTCAACAGCAACGACCTAGACTTGGATCGGGAATAAAAGGAACATCTCTGCCAAGAAAATTGGACAATGAAATGAGATTTTCTTTAAGTGATGAAGATTCAAGCCCATGTCCTAGTCCGCCCAAAGCTGCTCCACCAGCACCCCCTGGAGCAACAGTTTGTGAGTTAGTTTTCTGATTCAGGGATGTGCCTTTTATTATTTTTAGCAGAAATCGGATATTTTTTTTTCAGTTTCAGCTGCAATTTTCCTCTGCTACTTTCATTTTCTCATTTTATATTTTTCACTTTTTCCGTTCAAAATTTTAATGAAATTTGGTGAAGTATGATTTCTAAGACAACATTTCTATGTCAGTCTTGTGATAATGGTTTGAAAAAAAATTGGGTCTCCAGTCGATCTACTTACGTTAGAGAATTAAGTTACAGAATGGGTACAGCTTTTATAGTTTTTGAGATAATTAGTGCTTAAGTCAGGTCCTCAATGAGGCAGGAAAAGATATTTTAAAAAAAACTCCCTTTTCTAAAGCGTGTAACTTTCATCCTACAGACATAAATTTGGTATTCACATTCTTCTAATCATTAGTACTATGCAAAAAAAACAACTAAAGCCATTATTGTGTGACTGATTTGAAAAATCAGTTTGGAGTACCTAGTTGAACTAAAACTTTGAAATAACAATTGATCAAAATCTAGGCTATTTACTATGTAGCATTGGGGCAAATATATAATTAGTCATAGTAAAAATGTACTTTTTTAAACTAAATCCTACCATCAAACAGAAACAAGCATGCACAATTATTAATGAAAATTTACATAAAAGAACCACCTGTTTCATTATTTATTATAATTTTAAAACCGCTTTGCAAAAAAAATATATACATTTTTCATTTTTGTTTCACACTTGCTTCATTTTTCAGAGCTTATAATAACATATATTTAAATAGAAAATTTTCTCTTCTCCTATTAAAGATAGAAATATAAATTTGTTACCAATGGAATGCTAAATGATTTTTAGATAAAATACTCCAAATACAAATTTTCATGGTCTGGTCACATCCCTGAACTGATTTTTTTATTACTCGTTGTTTACTACATGCGTAATCCAGTTAATGAAAATAAAGTTTATTACGTCAAGGTGTAAAGTTAACAAATAAAACATGATTGGATAAGTATCTGAGAGGTGACATTTAAATTGTTTATTTCAGCAGCAAGTGGTGTGGGTGTAACTTATGGTATTGGCTCTAACCACCAGAACAATTCTATCAAGTCCAATGATGTTGAAAATAAAACACCTGTTGTTCCAACTGTTCCTCAAGTAGCTAGCAGGGTAATAAAAGCTAAATTAGACATAAACCATTCTTTTTGATATACTTGAATCTAGGGAAAAGTCATAAAAGCTATGTGAACTTTTCTGCAGGGAGAGATGAACAATGCCCAGTCTTGGAACACTTTAGCTGCGTCTTTTCAACAGTTTAAAAAAATGAGTGAGATTAAGACCCAAAAAGAAACTTACCTCAAGAAATTTGAAGAGCAGAAACAAAAACAAGCTAAAGAGAAACAAAGAATAGAGGAAGAGAAAAAAAGGTATGTTCTTTTTAACAATAGCAAAAATTATCTTTTTACTAAAAAGACTCTTTGATCAATAGGTTATGTAAACATTTGAGTCCTAAATTGTAATAATTTTTATTTACCAACAAAGCCCAAGTCTCAGATTATTTACCCTTTGTTAATCATTTATTTTTAAAATGTGAATTAAAAATCAAGCATTATAAAATAATTGCATGTTTAAAATCAAATGTGATCAGGACTGCCTACTTCCACCATAGGGCTTAAAAATTAAAGGATTTATTTATTTTTTAAAAAGCCATGTAGATTGCATTTTTTAAATATACTTTCAATTCATTAAGATTTGGGATTTTATGTAGAAGGCAAAATCCAAAATGGTGTAGCAATCACTTTAAAAAAGGAGTGGCACCCCCTGTGAATGTTACAGAGTAAAAAAAAAATTAGTTTAATAATTTTGTATTGTAGTTTTCAGGATTCATAAAATTTGGGAAATGAAAATTTCAGAAGGTACTTAAAAATGTATAGTACTCCTGAATATTCTATAATGCTTTGGGAAAATGTCATATTGAAAATATTGTTTTATTAATTATACAGAGAGTTAGAAGAACAAGAAGGCATTGAAGCTGCTCGCAAGCGTAAGCTTGAAGAAGATAAAGCTGAAGAAGAGAGGAAAAAGAGAGAGCGAATTGATCAGATGAGGAAAGCTGCTCAAATGAGAAGAGAAGCTGTAAGTAAACCTAAGAATAACTAATTAGTGTTACTGGGTGTGTTGGTAGTATGGTTAGTACAGGGGTCTGCAACCTGCGCCGCGCGAGCCGCATGCGACTCTTTTGATATCGAGATACGGCTCTCCAGCTCCTTGCACAAATACTAATAATCTTAATAAAAAAATAAAATATTTGAAATTAAAAAATGTTAGTGGCTCTTTAAAACCAGGGAAATTTTGAAAATTGTAACTTTTGACTCTTCCGCTTCAAAAGGTTGCTGACCCCTGGGTTAGTATGATACTTAAAACCCTTTTTACCACTAGCATAATTGGTGTTGAGTAACAACACAAGCACTGAACTGGTTTTGTTTTATTTAATATTTGTTCATACTTAGAGATCATTTGACTTTAATCCTTACAGCACTAGGAGTGTTCTTTTCCATTTACCTCCCCTCGTGCCTAGCCTTGTACATAGCAGTTCCTATCTTAGCCTGTTGCCTTACATTCTGAATTTTGAACCGCTTTTACCCTAGATAGATCTGTATTCAAATATTTTTTACATCTCGTTAATATCTAAGTTAATAGCTGATTATCATATGCTAAAGTTACGATAACATAAAATGTCTAATTTACCTCGTTTTAAAAATGTGTAAAATGTTACGAGCTGTATCCAGTATCTCACCCTTGTCACTGAAAAAAACATTGCTTGGCCAAACCATTTTTGGCAGAAGTTGAAATAAAATTGTTAGATTATAATAAAATATTTAAAACTAGGTATAAACATTTCTAACTGGAATCTGTTACTGCACAGGAAGTTTTTATCTAACTTAAGATGCTGACAGCTTAATGTTCAAAGAACATTGTCGTTAAATTTCTTATTAATTTTTCAATAATGCACCAATAATTCTCTACATGTCATAATCAATTTAAAAAAAATTTTTAGTCAAATTTATGTAACATGGTTGTATCTGTGGGAAGGAGGAAACTAACGTAACATTTCCAGGGCTGATGGAATAGTAGGCTAAAAGTATATATAGCTGTAAGAGCATGTCAAACTGTTATTGCAGCAGAGGTTGAAAACATTTTATTTTAACAATTTCAGACTGCAAACAGAATTGACATGAATGCACAGAATGATTTGATGGCATCATTTGAAGCTTCTTATCAAAACAGGGTGTGATAGCAACCAACCCAAGGCATTAAGTCTACAATAATTGAGCCAGATTTGCAGCTGTTGTGTGAATTTTAAGAAGCTAACCTTTATATCTTGGATATGCATCTTTTCTATATGAATGTCAATGAACTTGTAGTAAATGTAACATATCAAGAAATCATCTCATAAGTCATGGTACACATTTCTATTCTGATGATTGTGCAATTTTTATTACTTGGACTATGGTGCCTCCTTTTGTGACAATCTTAACAGTTAAAAACATAATTATTTTAACCTACATTGCTCTCATTTCAAGGTGCAGCTGACTTAAAAAACTTGTTTCTGTTATAAGGATGACCTAATTTTGCTAATATTAATTAGTAAATAGGTCTCTATTCTAGTGAACTCCCCATATTTTTTTTATGACCCTGAGCTTTTGAAGCATTAAAAAAAAGATATACTTAATTATGCTGCTACTAATTGTCTTTTGTACTTGATCCACTCTTTTCAGAAGACCTTGTATAAAAAGAGTTGCTCTTCCTTTAAGTGTGGTGGAAGAAGTGATATATACTTGAAAAATAGTATTAAAACACTTAAATAGGTTATGAAAATGTCCAGGATAAAACTGAAATTTGAATTGGAAACATATTGTCATCTCCCCTGGCACTAGTTTGGGGAGCCCCTTTATTGAAAACAGCTGCTTATTCTTTTAGGAACTATTTTAAAAAGTGTAAGTCCCTCATTGCAAAGTGGTGATGTAACAATTTAAAAGTTTTTTTTACTTGGATACATTTTCCATCTAGGATTAACATGACTAATATAAAAAAAAATCCTGTATTTTAAAAACTACAGATTACATTAATCTGTTAAAATATTAAATAGCATTTTCAGCATAGACACAGACACCACATTTAAGATCCTAAAGGGACCAAATATACTGATGAAATAATTTTCTGTTGCTGCTTTGTTGTGGTTGGTGGCTCTTTACTTTTTCTAGTGTAAGTCTTCAGCTAACCATTCTTGTATGTTTTGCTATTAATTTAAAACTTGTCTACCATAGCAAAATAAGGCAATGGTAACAATTACATGTAAATCTGTATGGTTTTATGGGGGAAATAGGATTTTGCACATTTTCCCCAGTTGTGGTTTCTTGTGTTTACAAAGCTGTTGCCCCATTGTAAATAATGAATTTGTACATGTGTTACAAGGATCTTCCACTTGTCTATCACATTGCCTAAAGAGCTTGAGTGCTGGTTTCTCTTTGATTGGAATCTTATGTTCATCATCTATCAAGTAATATCTAGATCAGACTTGCTTATTGTATTGAATCAGAAATAAATGACATTGGAAAAGTTGGATGCAACTAGAGTGTAAATAACTGTATCATAATTCAATATATATAATCTCAGCTTTAAAAGTTTTATCCAGGTTTTTTAAAGCATTATAAATTATTAAAATTTTACCTTGGATATGCATTACCAGACTAAATACTAAATTTTCAAACACATTAATTGAAAAATATTTCAAGCCTAATACAACTTATGATTTAACAATTGTGTTCATTTCATAGTTAATTTTCAGTAAATACAAAACAGCCTTTGCTTCAATGTGGTTCCTGTTAGTCCAACCTTTTAAATTTACAAATATTTGTATATGGCAGTGTTATTCTATTTTCATGAGATGCTAGATTAGTCCAAACAAATACTTGTCATGTTGTGCCAATTCAATTTATTTTTTTGTACATGTTAATTTACAAAATAATTTATATTTAGTTTTCTGTATGTTGTGTGTGTCATCTTCAACATGTAAATTATCTAATTGTACAGATCACACTTTGTGTATAATCACCAGTGATTGCAAAATGTGCTGCCCCATAGTCATGGTATTCAGTATAAATGATATTTGTATCAAGAACAAAAATATCCTCTATTAAATTTATTAGAGGCTGGACAGTACATCCTTAGTATGAGGTGAGAGATTTAGCAAAAAAGTGATTGGAGCTACATTCTACCTCAGCATGACATTGAAATGAAAACAACAAAATTTTTAGTCTAATTTTTTGGCTGGGTTTTGTATGCATAAAGTGTTAACAATCTCAGTTTTGTCTTGTAAACTACATAATCATACCATAGGTTTAAAAAAAACAATTTTGTAACTGCAGTCATGAGTTGACAAGTTGTTGAATTATATTGTACATTTGATGAATGTTATCCAGTGAAACTGCTGTGCAGTGTGAGAGGTAAACGTGTAGTGTGGCTGTATTCTATAAGTGTACATGTAGTGTAATAGGAGTGAAATACTTGCATGCATCAGAATATTGATGGTAGTTTTATTTTTGTTACTTTTCTGTGTACAGCTCAATAAATGTTGGATTCATCCAACTTCAGTGATAACTGGCTGTAATTTTTATTTCACACCCCCTACTCTCTCAACTTGTCATTTATGTAGTAATTTAAGAGTAAACCACCAGCTGCTGCCCTGATAGAGTGAAGTCACAACATGAAAAGTTTTCAAGTTTATTTCAGAAGCTTTAATTGAAAGCAAAATATTATCTTTAACATATGATATGAAGTTTCATTGGAAGCAGACAAATAATCAAAGTTTTCCAAGATCTATTACTAACATAAAATGCTATTTTAATCTGTGCTTTAGGGATAAGGCACACATAACTTGGTATGATGAAATTTTTTGTATCCATGGTGAAACTTGTATTGTAAGGTTCAAAGTGTAAGATGGAATGCGTCTTGCTTTACAGCAAAAATATATATTTTGTTCCTAAACTACAGTAAAAAACCAGTTTTAGCTAAGAAAAATTATTAGACAACAAAAATACAATTAATAGGGAATGAATATTTTCTTTTTGAAAAACTAAAAGTATATATAAACAATCATTTTTACATAAAAGTAGTCTAAAATATAAAATTGGATATATGAAGCAATAAAGGAAGGCAAAATTAGAAATGGATCAGTTAACATATTACTATGCTACAAGGATGGCGCCGAGACATCAGAACAGCAACAAGTGATGCTGTTTCTAAGATTATTTTGTTGACTAAGTAACAAATGAAACACCACAGTAAAATTAAGCAGATTCTTGTTTGGGACAAAGAGATGCCAATTAGGAGAAGGTATGATAGTTGGGCTGGAAGTATAAAGGAATGTAATTGAAACCCACACAGCTTGTTACCTTGCCTATTGGTGCATTTTTTTTTTGCACAAAATTTTAAGCATTAAATTTATGACAAGGTATGAGAAAAAGCTAGATCTATGTAGTTTTTAATATTTGTATTTACATATTTTAAAAGAAGAAATAATTATGGCAGTCAAAGATGTCTGTTGGCAGGACCAATTAGCTGAACAGGTTGAAGAAAAAAACAGCTGAATCTGACACACAGGTAAACATCTAGAATGCAAGTCTAAATGTCTTTGACAACAATCATTTTACATCCTTTTAAAATATTTGAGTAGACAAGCTCATCCCTAAATGTAAAGTTTTAACTAGGATACTAAAAACTGTCTAATTATGTTGCTCTGACCGTCTCCACATAGTGAAATAGCCTAGATCATCATCTTGGATGTTGCTAATGATACGTTTAGGTGTGCGTGTTCTGGTAATTAGAATAGCCAAGCTGCCTATGGTGCCACCAACTTTGGCAAGCTCTGTCATTTGAACATGGTGTCTGGGCCAGAGGATCTTTTCATCCAGCGTCTGTGGGATCAAAAGCAAACTTTAGATCTTGAGCACAGCAAGTAAACAAATTCAAACTTTTATTTATACTAGCACACATAGGAGAAAACAGATGATACCAAGTACACCAGGTAAACACATTTTTAACACATCATACAAAAACATAGTTTTCATGACAGCAGCTGTCCAAAATAAAGCAGCACATCTGCAAGACGCACACAAGAACTGGGTCATCTGCAACATGTATACAAGAACTGGGTATTTAAAATATGTACACAGAAACTGGAGTGGAAATGTATGTTCTGAACAGGATGAGGGCAAGCCATCCGGCTGTCTGACTTACTAACTGGATGAGGCATGCCATCCGGCTGTCTGACTTACTAACTGTGGATAAGGCATGTATAGGTGTCCAACTTGAGGCACAACAAAGCCAGCGCGCTGACACCCCGACCTTCAAATGTCAGCTGGTTCATCAGCACCTCTGTGCGCTGCACCTCAGGGTCAATGGACTGGTCCAGCATCTAGGTCAGCAATGATACCATTAGACATTGTGAGTACACATCTCCAGCATGCATGTTTTCAGGCGGTGACACTGGCTTATATCAGGTGGATTAAATATGGATACGACATGCTTGAGTTCAATCTCATCCACTCAGTGTATTCCATCCAGTGGATTTAAAGTGGTCAAGACATGCTTGAGTTACATGTCACCCAGGTGAGAAATCTTCCAAGGTCTTCCAACAGATGCATACAAGTAGTGGACGTAACAGGCATAAACAACGTATTCAGTGAATGTAGACGTAACAGGCTTAAACAACATATTCAGTAAAATGTGACTGATTGAAAAGCACTGCATCAGTAGAGAGAATACATAAGTTAGGAAACTATTTAGGGATTATATGATTTTTGATTAGCATCCAGTGATGAATCACAATTTGCACATTTTTAAAATTGATATATAATATAATGATACATGATGAATCAGAAAACAACAACATGCAAACCAATAGTATTGTCCTACAAATGTTGAATGTGTGACTGTATTATTACACATTGTAGGCCTACTGCTGAATGTGTGACTGTTGCAGTGCAGAAGGTATGAAATACATGCCATAGTCTTATTTCAAAAAGTGATTTGGAAATTAAATAAGTGCTACAGTCTTATATAAAATATTATTTGGAAACATGCACAGGTCTTACTACCAATGGAAATGTGCACAAGGCTTACAAGTTACTACCAAAAATAATGCTCAATTTTTGTGCTTTAGATTTAGTCCTATTAAATATTCGCAAATCAAGTGCAAATGTATTTATAGCCAACATGAATTAGTGAACTTCTTGTATTTAAAATTGTTCATTATATGACTTGTGAGTTTTAGCATAGTACTTTAAGCTAGACGAAACCAACTGACTAACCTACATCTGCAATGATCAATGGGTAGAAATCTCTAATTAGGCTAATAAGTCAAAGCTTTTCAAACTTTATCAACCAAAGTAACAAGTTATTTTTTTCAGATTAAAATAGTTGGGATTAAAAGGTTTTACAAGAGATTATGTCTTAGATAAAAATAGCAATCATTTAAACCTTGTGCTTGGTGCTGTCCTATTATCCACATTTTCATAGTATTATTAATGGAGGCGACCGGGTAAAGGCCAATTAAATATTTTTAAAATCATGCACAGCGTAGTTAAAATTAATATGGTTATAACATCCTGTCTGGTTTTTTCGGACTTTACTAGATTGGATGTATTTGATGTTTTTAATATTTTCAGTAAGTGAATAAAAATTTAAAAAAAAAAGCAAAAACTAATAGGTTTTCAAGTGTAAATGGCGAAACAAACAATGGCATCCTGCTATTCCATAGGCGAACATAAAATTTATTGTACACATTGCAAGTGAAAAAAAAAAAAGGAAAACTAGGTCATGGGATTTAAATTTGCATTGATATTTAAAAACTATCTGCAAAGTTTTGTAAACAAATAGATATCGATCACGGAGTTCCTGTGCAGCCAATCAATATTTCTCTAAGGAAAGTGAAACATCTGGTTATAACTTAGGCTTGATGAAAATAAATAGATATGTACCCTTAAACTCAACAAATTATTTTTAAGTTCTCTGGATTTGCATATTTTATAACATCGATTCTAAAAATATTAAATTTCTGAATTATTTTTAGGCTTTTTATTTTTTATTATTTTTACGGTCGCCTCTATTGAGTTGATGACAACAATGTATCTAACATAAAATGTGGACACTAGAAAAGTAGATCTGCTCCAAAAAAAAAAATCTTACTCCGTAACTCTTGTCCCCCATCTCATTGCGGACATGATGTATCAAATGACCATTGACATAGAGCATGTCTGTGGCCATCCTAGAGTCCATCTGCATGACATGGTATGGGTAGTCTGCCACATCCTGCATTTGCTGAGGTAAAAAAAACACATGACATACAGGTAACAATTAGCCATTAACGATCATCTATTAAATGGTTTTAAAAAGTTTGCACCTACTCTAAGAACTGCCTGTACGTCTGGGCCAGGGGCCACGGCCATGACATTACGGCCAGCCATGTTGAAGACGTCCTTGAGATGGAGAGCCTCGCATTTGGCAAAGTTGACCTTGGACACGGCATACTCAGGGAAAGCTTCAGCCACAGCCTGAGCTCCAAAGTCATTTGTCCTCTTCCCCACCCCCACGAAGATCTCTTTACCTGCAACACAGGGGGGACAAGTAAGACACACATTGGCTGACAGACTTTTAGTCACAATAAAACTGCTATTTTGTGCCCAAATATTGGGCATACCCTGACAAGGGAAGAGGATAGGGTAACTTCGCTGGGAAAGCATTTGACTGGAATCTTCTGAAGAAAGTAGGCCAGCCAGGGAAATACTGGAGAAGTAGAGGAAGAGGTAAGGCTGCAGGGCTTAAATAGGTGCAAATATAGAGAGCTGCCTACAACAGTCTGGTGGAGAGGTATGGTATACAAACAGACATCAGGTGGTACAAACAAACATCAGGTGGTACAAACAAACATCAGGTGTTACAAACAAACATCAGGTGTTACAAACAAACATCAGGTGGTACAAACAAACATCAGGTGGTACAAACAGACATCAGGTGGTACAGACAAACATCAGGTGGTACAAACAAACATCAGGTGGTACAAACTAACATCAGGTGGTACAAACTAACATCAGGTGGTACATACAAACATCAGGTGGTACATACAAACATCAGGTGGTACATACAAACATCAGGTGGTACAAACAAACATCAGGTGGTACAGACAAACATCAGGTGGTACAGACAAACATCAGGTGTTACAAACAAACATCAGGTGGTACAGACAAACATCAGGTGGTACAAACAAACATCAGGTGGTACAAACAAACATCAGGTGGTACAGACAAACATCAGGTGGTACAGACAAACATCAGGTGTTACAAACAAACATCAGGTGGTACAGACAAACATCAGGTGGTACAAACAAACATCAGGTGGTACAAACAAACATCAGGTGGTACAGACAAACATCAGGTGGTACAAACAAACATCAGGTGGTACAAACAAACATCAGGTTGTACAGACAAACATCAGGTGGTACAAACAAACATCAGGTGGTACAAACTAACATCAGGTGGTACATACAAACATCAGGTGGTACATACAAACATCAGGTGGTACATACAAACATCAGGTGGTACAAACAAACATCAGGTGGTACAAACAAACATCAGGTGGTACAAACTAACATCAGGTGGTACATACAAACATCAGGTGGTACATACAAACATCAGGTGGTACATACAAACATCAGGTGGTACAAACAAACATCAGGTGGTACAAACAAACATCAGGTGGTACAGACAAACATCAGGTGGTACAAACAAACATCAGGTGGTACAAACAAACATCAGGTGGTACAAACAGACATCAGGTGGTACAGACATCAGGTGGTACAAACAATTATCAGGTGGTACAAACAATTATCAGGTGGTACAAACAATTATCAGGTGGTACAAACAATTATCAGGTGGTACAAACAAACATCAGGTGGTACAGACATCTGGTGGTACAAACTAACATCAGGTGGTACAAACATCAGGTGGTACAGACAAACATCAGGTGGTACAAACAAACATCAGGTGGTACAGACAAACATCAGGTGGTACAAACAAACATCAGGTGGTACAAACAAACATCAGGTGTTACAAACAATTATCAGGTGGTACAAACATCAGGTGGTACAAACAAACATCAGGTGGTACAAACAGACATCAGGTGGTACAGACATCAGGTGGTACAAACAATTATCAGGTGGTACAAACAATTATCAGGTGGTACAAACAATTATCAGGTGGTACAAACAATTATCAGGTGGTACAAACAATTATCAGGTGGTACAAACAAACATCAGGTGGTACAAACAAACATCAGGTGGTACAGACATCTGGTGGTACAAACTAACATCAGGTGGTACAAACATCAGGTGGTACAGACAAACATCAGGTGGTACAAACAAACATCAGGTGGTACAGACATCTGGTGGTACAAACTAACATCAGGTGGTACAAACATCAGGTGGTACAGACAAACATCAGGTGGTACAAACAAACATCAGGTGGTACAAACAAACATCAGGTGGTACAACCTGCCACTGACTTATCTAAAAGTGTATATTACACTTATGACATCTAGTTCAATAAAAAAGAGATTTTGTGCATACCTGTGAACAAGACATCTCCTCCATCTAATGTGGCTTTAGCATTTTGTATTTCAACCACATTCATTCGCAAATCTCCTTTCAGAACTTTTCGAATTTCACCAACCTTAAAAAAATAATTTGCCATTTATTCCATGTCAACTATTGTCCCAGCAAATTTACTACCACTGCTGAGATTTATTTGGCATGACCTCATTTAAAGAAATGCGTTTCAACTTTAAAAAGGCTCACGAGTCTTAATAACAAAAAAAATAATTTCTAGAATTATATATCAAAAGTCTTGTTTTGTTTTCTAACTTCAAACCCGGCCATTTTAAAAGTCAAACTCTGCTAACCGGGAAAGGGATAATACGGAAAAGTGGCACCCCTAAATAAAATAGGAAATTGTAGCAAGTATCGCAAATCGTGGGTGATTATAGTTTGCTCCAATACCACGAGACTACTTCTGTATGTCTTAACTCTAAGCCATGAGAACTGGTGAGACAACATAAGGCTAGGCTCATGTTTAGTCCAAATCTAGCGATAGTTGGGGGATGAAATTTTCCAGACTATTCACCGGATTTCCTGGCCGGGAAATTATATCTTAAAATTTCCCCAGATCTGTGGGAACCCTGTTTAAAAGTTGCAAATCCAGAGAACTTGAAAATAAGTTTTTGAGTTTTGGCTACATTTCTATTTTTTTGTCAAACATAACTTAAAACTAAAGTTGTGCTTTTGTAAGACAAACATTGTTTGGCTGTACAGGAACTCAGTGAGTGATCAATATTCTAAAAACCCCACATTTTAGTAATTTGTTCTCAAATCTTTGCCAGTAAAGTTTTTGAATAAAATTATTTTTTTAAAACTTCAAGACCTAGTATTAGTTCTGCCATTTTCTGTGATAAAAATATAAATTGTGGATGATTAGAATAAGACAATAAGGTAATCATTTTAGGTACATAAAATCGCCTGCGACTAGTAATGTGAAAAACAGGTGACTCCTTAAATTTAAATAATTATTTCACATTTTGAGGAGGGTTTATGTTTTGAAAAAACATAGTCTAGTATTACTTGCTAACTTGGAGGCGTGGTCAGTTGCTAACAACAATATGGCGTCCGGACCGGAAGCATAACTTCCGACAATTTTTAAAATACAAATGTTTAAGTTTTATTTTGTTAAACTTATAGCAGAAGATTCAGGGGAAGCCACTCTATTTTACAAATGGCAGCTGTTTATATAGCAAATCTTGCTCTCAAACACTGCTGTTTAATGAGTGTTTAGTTAATTTCTGGCCTATATTGATATTTTCAGCAATTGATTTTGGTTTATTAATTTTTATTATTCAGTTATTAGGGTTGTCGGTATCGGCCGAGATCGCGGTAAAAACATGACCCGAAATCGCCCATTACTTTCTGATACCGGGCGCACGAGATTTGGTTTTGCATACTAATAAGTTTTTAATTTATGGTAATTAATTAAGTTTAAAAGGTCATTTCCTAATGTTAAATGAAAAGTAGAATGGTTTTCCCATTGTTTTGATGGCTTAGCGATCTGATTGCACGCTGTCTCTGCTTTAGTCTTCCCCCTGTATGAAGGCTAGTTTCAAATACGTTGGAATCACGATTTTTAAAAAGATTATTCTAGGTGAGAGTAGATTACTGTTCAGACATATCTTAAGTATGTGGAAATGAAATTTGTTTTTGGATATTTTGACTCCGACATTAGTTATACTGCTCCGAACGTAGTCACTGTATGTAGGTCACGCTGCCACCATTGTTATATTTTTTCATCCCGATCTTCCGGCCTTTAAGTTTGATCAACTAATAACAGCATTCTTATGGCATGTGCAAACAAATCTAATTTTTTTATTTCAAAATATATTTACATACCCATCTTTAATTTTTTCAGCTCTAGTTCTAGTTTTGCAGAATATGTTTTTCCTAAAATCCAATTTTGTCAGACTAGACTGACAAGAGTCAGACCTAGATCTAGGTTACCTGTCTGTTGCTATACACTAGCATTGTGCTAACTGTAATTTTAAGTATTCAAGTTCCACTTACCCTTAGATATAGTTATATGCTGAAAATCAGAATCCATACACAATTCACACATAAAAACATTGATCTGATAACTTCATTTCACTTATTACAAAATGGCTTTTATATGGACTCTACTTCACCTGCCCAAAATAACAAGGCAGTTATAGACACATTACAGTGTTCAAGTCATTTACTTTAGATTTCTAACTTTGTAGTTCTTTCATTTGCTGTATTTATATAAAATATGACTTTAGAAACATTTTCATATTTGCGCAGCAGTTTTATAACAAAATGGCTTAAAGATGGACTCTACTTCACCTGCCCAAAATAATGAGGCAATTATATGCACATAACAGTGTTCAAGTCATTTACTTTAGGTTTCTAACTTTGTAGTTCTTTCATTTGTTGTATTTATATAAAATATGGCTTTAGAAACATTTTCATATTTGCGCAGCAGTTTTATAACAAAATGGCTTAAAGATGGACTCTACTTCACCTGCCCAAAATAATGAGGCAATTATATGCACATAACAGTGTTCAAGTCATTTACTTTAGGTTTCTAACTTTGTAGTTCTTTCATTTGCTGTATTTATATAAAATATGGCTTTAGAAACATTTTCATATTTGCGCAGCAGTTTTATAACAAAATGGCTTAAAGATGGACTCTACTTCACCTGCCCAAAATAATGAGGCAATTATATGCACATAACAGTGTTCAAGTCATTTACTTTAGATTTCTAACTTTGTAGTTCTTTCATTTGCTGTATTTATATAAAATATAGCTTTAGAAACATTTTCATATTTGCGCAGCACACATTTTTTTGGGGTTATGGGAGGAAGCCAACACAAAAATATAAGTTCTGTATTATTTTTATTCATTTCAATAGCATTTACAAGTTCTATATATCATTCTAGTTAAACTCTGCAAATATGAACAAAATACAACTGCAAGTAAAATAACTATGCTCAATTTATTCAGGTATACCATCACTTGTCACAATTGGCCAATGCAAAAGCAAGGGGATTCCACCCCTCACAAAAAAATTCGCTAAAAAAAAACTATTTGAGCTAGAGTAGATTTCCTAACGCGGTCACACATAGCAAAAAAATCCGAACTCCCGATTTTCATCGGGCGCTATTTTGTACCCGTTTCACACAGAAACAAACTGAAAGTACCGTGTTATTCCGCTGCCATTCTACTCTAATATTTATAAGTCATTTTGTATTCCTACGCATAGTATTTGAGATATTCATGTTTTAGTGACGTGCCTGCTTGCGATCTTTTTTTCCCCTTTTTTTCTTGCCGGCGGTCACATTTTCCTGTTGCGTAACAAGCGTAGTTTTTTACGTTTTGATCCAATTTTAATAGCTAAAATAAATAATTTACACCTTTAAACGTGTTGTTGATTGTATTATTAATTAATAGACTGCAAAACCAAATAAAAACACTTTAATTAAATTTATTAACAACACATCACGAATGACCCAGTGATAACTCAAGGGACGCAATTTTAATAATCATAACAAAGGGACGTAACAATTACTAACAAGACAAAACCTAACATTTACTTAGATATGCTTGTATATGGAGACACAAACTAGTTCTAGAAGAAGTAGATGATCGAAATAATTTAAAACCACAGAATAATGTATAAACTATACAGATTCTAGACTTAGCTTGAAATATAGAGCATCTAGATCTAGGCTAGTCTAGCTCAAGTCATTGGTTACGCAGCGAGGAAAACGACCCGAATCGTCAGCCTAGCTGCGATCACCCCCATTTGACCTCTCAGGTTGCTTTAGTAGCCTTAGCTATAGTATTTACAGTGTCCCACACATATGTAGAAGCTATTTATAGTTAACCTAATTATAAACAGCTTTGATTGGTTGGTTTTATTCGTCTCATCCCGGACCTAGTGCTTTCATCCGGGGGAACTGGGATCACCGGCTGACGTCATACCTCAACTTAAAAATTTAAAAACTTGTCTTCCAGAAGGAGAAAACAAAAGAATTTGACCTGGATATATTTAGAAATGGACATGCGTACAGCAGATACCGGTAGTTTCGTATAAAGCATCCAAACAATTATTATACGAAGCGAAAAACGGGAATGTGATCGCAATATGGCTTTGACCGCGTGAGGAAATCTACTCTAGACAGAAAATCTTTTTTGTTTTGTTTTCATATAGTTGAGCTCTACAAGAATATGTAATTTTTATTTTTATATTATGATTAGTGTTTTTTTACCAAAATCCCTACAGTTATCTATAATATTTGACACAAATATTTCACAATATATAGAGCAAATTACATTGTCCGAACACTACGTGGGACTGAACACTTCGTCGGTTTTTGGCTCATAGAAACTTTAATTAGCATGTCTCATGCGAAACCACGGCGCCTGCACGTAAACTGTTCATTTATGAACACTTCCGTGTCAAGTACTTCCGTTTCCTCTCTCAAGAATTATTTTTAGAAAATTTTTAACGTTGCATGGTACGTACATTTCTATTTTTACACCAGCCGGATGAAGTGACCTAGGGTTGGACTTAGGGGCAAAACTTGAACCAATCAACGCTTAGCTAAAAGGTTACACTATAAATAGCTTCTATATATGTATGGAACATCGTAAATGTCAAGGTTAATGGGTTATTTTGTGCTTGAACAATAAAAAAGGGGTGTTCGCTAACTTTTTTGACCTTACATGGGACCGGACAGCAACACAAAAATATTATTAAATAAGAATTTAGAGCATAAAAGGGGCTGGTTATTGAAGGGAAAGGGTCAAAATAAGGTCAAGAAGGCAGTGGAATGCGAAAGAGGAGGGGGAATCATGTGACCTGGCTGGCTTAGCAGCGTACTGCGCGAGCCGCAATGGCTGAATGGGATGAACTTTGGGAGTGTGGGAAAAAGGTTTTATACTATTAAAATTACCTCACAAACAATCAATAACACAATATAAATGCATATAATATATGTTTTTATTCATTAAATTGACTTTAAATTATTCTAAATGAACAAAAAGTGCTTTGTCCGATGACGGGTAAAGGTGTCCGAACACATTTGAAATTGTATTACATGTGTCCGAACACATGTTAAGACCCCCCAGTCACTATAACAAGAATAGCTAAAGTTCTATGCGTATGAATACAAAATGACACACACATTATTAAAGTAGAATGATTGCGGATAGATATGATACTTTTTTTTCCTTCCTATGTTAAGCGGTTACTGAATGAGACCGCATGGAAGTTTTAAGTTGCGTTTTTTCGCGGTGTGTGTCCGGACAGTGTAATTTGCTCTACTTCTATTAAAATAATTAAAGCCTTGACAATGAGGTTACTTTTTCGTACATTACTAGCCGCGGCCGATTTTACGTACCTAAAGCGATAGATTAACAACAATAAATCTATTCTTGGTGTTGTGTCCACTTTTTAAAGCAGTCACTAGTCTAGTCACTTTTTTAAACTTAAAGTTTGGAAATATTTAAAGGGAGTGAGATTGGGCTATTATTATATATTATATGTTAACTATGGTAAAATCACGATATAGCGTCGGTTATTATTCCGGAACTGTACAGCAGTAAAAAACAGTAAAACCATGGCGTAGTCTGTCGAGCCGTTCCGGAAACCACCGAAAATACTGTAAACCATCATTTATTTGCCGCCATATTATTTTTAATACATAATGTTTAAAAATGTGCAAGGATTGATTTTAGTTGCATTTTAAATACTGTTTTGCTAATTATTTTGTATTTCTAATTATTTTAAGTGTATGTGCTAATTATTGCTGCTACTAAACATTATTCCAGTTATTCTTACTACTTTCTTTAGTTAATCTAATCGTCTTATTATTTACTAGATCTATTTACTTACTAACAGAACTAGAGCTGGCTGTCGCAAATCTTCTGCAGGTTTTTTCTGTTTCTTAAAAAAAAATCATTAATTACTACACTCGACTTTATTAATAATATTTAGATTTACTAATTGTTGCTAATTTTTTGTCAGTTAAACATTAAATTAAGATAAAACATTAATTTAATGCATTTGACTTTATTTTTATTTCACCGGTCAAATAAACTATGATTTACAGTAACGAATGTTACCGAAACTCAACGAACATTACCCAATAATTTCCGACGCTATATCGTGATTTTACCTTAACTATGACTGTTTACACTAGTTTAGATCTATTCTAGATCTAGATCCAAATCAAATGTATTACCTCTCCTTGTCGAGAAGTATGACCAGGTCGAGCTATCAATGCGGTGTTGCCAATCACCACAGCCGTATCATCCACGAAGCAACAATCGGGGTAACTTTCATCTTCAACCAGTTCGATAATATTGATATCACAATTTTTTAGCACCTCCCTAATTGTTTCATACTCTTGTTTAGCTTTTTCTATGTCGATACCATCGGGGTAGTGGTCTGAGCCAACACTTCTATTCTTTAAAGCATTTGGAACCCGGCAAATTATAGCAAAATTGTAGTTAAACGCGGCCATCTTTCTCTGACTTCCGCGTTCGACTCGTTTTGGATACAAACAACTTTGAAGTAAGCTGGATTGGACGTAGGCTGTTTCTTAAAAATTAAAATGAGTCACGCGTGTTTGAAAACCGGATGACTGACACAATGGGCTCGGCATATCCTGTACTTTAATATGGATAGGTTCAAGCGAACGAAATTGAAAAATATATAATTTACGAGCCGCTATTTAGTTGTTATATCAAGGACGACAACCCCTACCCCCCCCCCCCCCCGTAAAAGCTGCCTTCTATTACCTCTTAGTTACCTCTCCTAAGTTTAAAATAGTTTCAAACTAAATTGTCTGGCCCTAACAGCCGTCACAACGATTGTAAACATTTGGCGTGAACCACAACCAGAGGCGTATCGAGGGGGGGGGGGGGGGGGGACCGCACCGGGTGACACCCCCCTTTCCAATTAACAAAAGTAGGTTTTAAGTTTAAAAACAACCCTCCCTCCTCTCTACTGACAAGCTGCTGAGTAGATCTAGCAGGCCCAGAGCCGGCGTTAGGGGGTGGCAAACGGGGCGGTCGCCCCAGGCCCCGCGCTTGAAGGGGCCCCGCGCTTCAGCAACGCCATTGTTGCCTGAATTAGTTTGTAAACTTAAATAATCTTTGCTGAATTAAATTTAAAAAAACCCAACTAAATGGCCGAAATTGTTGAATGTTAAAACTGAGGCCACGGCTGATGTTAGTGAGTTATCCTCTACATGGACTGGTACAGACCGTTATTCGATACGAAGACATTTGTGTCACACATCGCTGGCACGGTCGACTCGCAATTGTCCTGAGGTGACTGGAGATGGCGGTCGCGAATTAGCCCCCGACCTGACATGGGAGGTAAAGAGATACCCTATTGTATGCGGACCGTTGAAGACGTTTTTTTTTAGTGAGCAGGCGGGGGTGCCTGTAGTAAACAGTCAGTGACCTGATGATGGCTTGCAGAGGAGGAGGAGGGGGGAGAGCGGATGGGGACACGCCCCGGAAATCCAGAGTATTTATCCCTAAAATCATAATTTATACATTGTATGGGCATCTTTTGTGTAATTATGCATATTCACCACGCTACGTTTGATAGGCATCCATACAGTAATTATATTCATATGTATTTTATATATTGTCAGGTCATCTTTAAATACATTATACTTGTATTTATTTTTATATTTTTGAAGGGCATTTATACAGTAATTATGTCCATTTTCATTTTGGTAAACTTTAACGGTATTCGTAAAGTGAATAAGCACATGTTTATTTTAATTAATTGTAGGGGCAGTGGCGTAGCGAGGTCGGGTTTTACCCGGTGCGGCACTTAATGGTGTCACCCCCCCCCCCCAGAGGCGTAGCGACCCTTCACGGGAAAACTTTCAAATTTTCGATTTGCACCCTCCCTCCTCAAACTTTCGATTTGCACCCCCCTCAAGTTTTCGATTTGCACCCCCCCCCCCACCTCAAACTTTCGATTTGCACCCCCTCTTCTCTATATATTTTGCTATTTTTTGCCTTGGTGTCACCCCCCTAAATGGTGTCACCCGGTGCGATCCGCACCCCCGCCCCCCCCCCCTCGTTACGCCTCTGTGTAGGGATATTCAGTATAATAGTTAAGGCCATAGTAATTCTTGTTTTAAAATAGTGTAGGCACACTAAACAAATTATAAAGTCTATACTGTTTGATACATCGGGCCGAGACTGTTTTATTGTAAAGCTCTCCTGATTTCTAAAACGTCTAAATTACCAGCAGTCCTAGCATGCCGTCGCGAAACTCATAAATAACATGAAGCTGGCTGTCACGTGGTTCACTTTCTAATTATAGACACGGACCTTCTCTTGTGAGAACGCGGTCTTAATCTGTAATGTAATACGCGGACGCTCTATTAACACGCACCTTCTCTTGAATGGCTGCGGTCAGAGATCCAGTAACGTAGTACCCGAACTGATTTTTTTAGGGTTTGGCATCCCATAGATTTAAATGTACAGTTATCCTTCACGGGCTTCACCTCACCCCACCAACTGTCACCCCCCCCCCCCCCCCAGTGTTCCACCTTACTGAGCGTCCGTGATTACATTTGAGAGTCATTTCATTTGGATATCTATAGCTGTAAACAGTGTTTTTCACGATTCGAGCTTATTCCGAAATCTATCAATGTTTTGCTATTTTCCCCGGCATCCACACACTTTGAATGCCCCTGTTAACACTCGATAAATTGAGAAAATATCGATACTATCGCCTGCCACTGTGGACCGATTTAACGTTGCTTCAAAGTGCCCGAAGGTATTAAGTCAGCCTAACAGTGCCTTCAGTACATTTGGAATATTCGGGATTCCTTTCCCCATACGGCGATCGCCTACAGAATCTTGCTAACAGTTCCAGTCACAGTGGCAAGCGCCGAAAGAAGTTTCTCCAAACTGAAGTTGATCAAGAACTATTTGAGATCAACGATGTCCCAAGACAGGCTCTGCAGCCTGTCGATTCTGTCAATAGAAAAAGACATAGCCTCCAGTTTGGACTTTGATGATATAATCATGGAGTTTTCCTCACGAAAGGCAAGAAAAGTAGATCTTTGTTTGTGAACGTACTGGTAAGATTTTCATAAACATTAATGTAAAAAAATCAGGTCTGAAGCTGACGTTCATCGTCTCTTTAATGCGTGTATCAAACTTATATCTGTTTTATTTTTTACTTTTCAAACAAAAAGCCTTAACAGAAACAAGCAACGTTTCAAAAGCACTTCTAAGTAAACAAATTATTTGTTAATATCAGTGTCTTAATGTTAATACGACATTGATAAACAGCTTAAAAATACCATATATATCGTTATAAATATTAATTCGCGTTGAGAAGAAAAAGAAACGTCTCACTGTACATGTTTTATTTAATTATACACCGATGAAAAAAATATAAGGCCCCGCGCGGATGGTTGGCCATAGGCCCCGCGTACCCCTAACGCCGGCTCTGAGCAGGCCTATCCTTTTTAATCAAAATATAAATAGGAGAGAGAAAGAACATTTAACCTTGGTTCTGAAGTTGATCGTCCAAAGATGAGAGGTTCGTTTTTTTGTGAAGGGGAGAGTTCAGATAGTGCGACATCACACTTTAGCATGTATTAGGCCTAAACAGTCATGATAGAAACTGAATTTTAGCTTTAAGAACACTACTTAAGTAGGGCTAAATTGTTATAGAAATTGATTCATACACTCAGTATGCTGACCGAACTCAATATTTTAGAAAGGAATTGATGTTAAAAAAAAATAAACTGGAATGTGAGGGGGATTGTAGACTCAAGTGTGGCGACACGTCCCAGTGCCCGGGGACAAACTTTTGATTTGGTGCCCCCCCTCCCATATATCTTTTATATTTATAATTCAAAACTGCAGCTAAAATGAGCTTTTAATTTTTTTCCAACCCATTTTGGCGCTCCTAGGGTCGGCGCCCAGGGACATATGTACCCCCGCTCCCTGTTGCTATGCCTCTGCCTACGCTGAAAAGAGTAGCAGATCATTATATTAGGCTACATTTCTAGTTCTTGATTACTAACATAACATGGTTCCCGAAAGATGCACAACGGAAAAGAGCGGGAAAAAAAAGCGCAATGGAAAAAAACGCAAAGAGAAAAATGCAAAACCAGAAAAATGAAAATTCATTGACATCTCCTGCAACAGCCTTAATTAGTCAGTTGGGCTTGTATTGAAAACTCACTTCAAAAATTTTCAATCGTCTGCTATTTATTTTAACATGACAAGGTTAGCGTCACCCAACCAAATTATGTACTGAACAGCACAATACGCAGCATGTATCCTATATAACAGAAGATCTACGGTTGTTGATATCATTTTGCATTCGTCCGGTAAACATTTTCAGAAGAAGACCTTCCAAACCTTTTATAACCTTTTTATAAAGAAACAAAGAGAGATGGAGTTTTATTATAACATCAAGCTTTGACTTAGACCTACACCAATGGCATCTACATTGTTAAACTGATTAACTATGTAATGTAGGGCTCAAATGGATCAATGAACTAACCTTACGCTCAACCAGTTTGAAAGTTCGAGTTTTGTAACACTGTTACTAAGCTAGCAAAATGGAAATGGGCATATTCTATATCATCTACACAAACACCTAATATATATATATATATATATATATATATATATATATATATATATATATATATATATATATATATATATATGAGACCAAGTAGCAGCAGCAGCATGTGTGATGATGTTCTTTGTTAGGTCTGGTGCAACCCCTTCCTCATGGCACCCAAATGCCACACAGGCGTGTACAACCTCCTGTCTGTAGGTATTCGCCTGGGGCTTAGGAAATCCCACCTCTAGGCCGACGACACCTCATTTGGGGTCCTCCATAAATGACGTCATGCTTTTTTGGACGATTTTTACCTCCCCCCTCCCCTCCATCACAAAAAGCCAGACTCCCCCCGCCCTATTTTGTAAATAACAAACAGATTTACTACAACAGTGATATTATACAGTAAAAAAATATATGCATGAACTGTAGTGTGAAAGATAGGCAAACGTTCAAAACACTTACATGACTTATTTCCCTTTTTTTTAAATAGTTAAATAGGGGTACTCATTAGCTCCTTTTATTAGATTTGTACTAAACAAATTAAAAAGCAATTGCTTCTCTTACTTATTATTTTTTTAAAAATACATACAAAAGAATGGCATGGTATAAAAAGGAAATGTATTTAAAATTAATAATACAAAAAGCATTAAAAAACATATATTATTATATATACACACACATATACATATATATAGGGGGGGGGGCAGAAATATTTTTTTTTGCGGGTTAGCACTTTTTTTCTAGTTCCGCCATTGGTTAGTGGGGACATCAAGTCACTCTTTTATTGAGTAATAAACCGGGAGTAATCTCCCCTAAACTTTCTCGAATATTCTTATATAACTCGGAATATAGACATGATTTTTAATTACTTAAACTTTTAAAATTAGAATAGAATCTCGTAGAAAAAAGAATTGCGCACCAAGCGAACGCCAAAACAAAATGTGCATAATAGTGCGCAATATTATTATACTTTATAAATTTACATGCGTTTTTTGAGAAATCGGAAATAGCGTAAATTAGTACTTTCATTCAACGGAAATTACTCAAAATTTGAAAGAAGGTAGAGAATGAGATCTTTTACTTACATGTGAAATTTCGTTTATCTATCTGAAATAGAACTCAAGTTATAGGCTTTTGAAAAATTCAAAGTAGAAAAAGTACCACTTCCGGTTATCGGAAATCGCTCAAAAACTGATATGGATCTATGATTTTGATAAAATACTTATATATGAAATTTCATCAACCTAGCTTAAATGGTACTCCAGTTATCGTGTTTACACACAGACACACAAACACACACACAGACATACGGACAAGATTGCAAAATTATGTTTTTCCGTATCAGTGAGGTGTAAAAAATATGTAAAAATCTTGATTTTTTTTTGCACGATTACAAGGGTTTCTCTATACTTCGTATATACGAGAAAGTAATAAATGTGGAAACACCCCAACAAACCCAGAGAAACTATACAAAATTTTGGTGAGAGACAGAAGATTGAGTGGCACAACAAGAAGAGATGCCTGGAAGAAACTCTGAATGGGGGCTACCTTGGTTTATCCATAAACTCAAATTGTTGAAACATTGAGCTGATAGCACTGAAAGGCAAACTTGGCTACAACAGGGGACGTTAATGTATCATGACAAGCAGCTGAAAGTCCCATTTTATTTTCTGAAACTTTAAAGTCAACAGCTAGACAGTTGCCTTGACCCAGTTCTCGTGCACAAAGTTGCCTTGACAGTTCTCATACACACAGTTGCCTTGACCCAGTTCTCCTGAACAAAGTTGCCTTGACCGAGTTCTCATGTAGAAAACTGAACTGGCTTTCTTCTGGTGAACTAGCTGGCTAGCTGACAGTTGGTGAACTAGCTGACAGTTGGTGAACTAGCTGGCTAGCTGACAGTTGGTGAACTAGCTGGCTAGCCGACAGTTGGTGAACTAGCTGGCTAGCCGACAGTTGGTGAACTAGCTGGCTAGCCGACAGTTGGTGAACTAGCTGGCTAGCCGACAGTTGGTGAACTAGCTGGCTAGCCGACAGTTGGTGAACTAGCTGGCTAGCCGACAGTTGGTGAACTAGCTGGCTAGCCGACAGTTGGTGAACTAGCTGGCTAGCCGACAGTTGGTGAACTAGCTGGCTAGCCGACAGTTGGTGAACTAGCTGGCTAGCCGACAGTTGGTGAACTAGCTGGCTAGCCGACAGTTGGTGAACTAGCTGGCTAGCCGACAGTTGGTGAACTAGCTGGCTAGCCGACAGTTGGTGAACTAGCTGGCTAGCCGACAGTTGGTGAACTAGCTGGCTAGCCGACAGTTGGTGAACTAGCTGGCTAGCCGACAGTTGGTGAACTAGCTGGCTTGCATGTGAGCTTTGAAAGCATCATAGCTGATGGCTGGGTCTGTGGTCCCCACAGCAACATTTTCATTGGTTTCTGCTTTGTTGATTTCAAACTTGACCCACTTGTAACGGGAACATTTCCTGGCCCCAGGGCAGGACTGGATCAGGTTTTGTATGACAGGGTGGGACAGACCAAAGAACGCTAACCCCTGACCTTCTGCTTGCATCAGTGATGTGCCGCTGAAACAAAAATAGGACACAAATAAAACAAATTCAGCCTTATCCTAGCACTACAAATTGAGCCCTATCCTAGCACTACAAATTGATCACTATCCTAGCACTACTAATTGATCACTATCCTAGCACTACAAATTGAGCCCTATCCTAGCACTACAAATTGATCACTATTCTAGCACTACAAATTGAGCCCTATCCTAGCACTACAAATTGATCACTATCCTAGCACTACAAATTGATCACTATCCTAGCACTACAAATTGAGCCCTATCCTAGCACTACAAATTGATCACTATCCTAGCACTACAAATTGAGCCCTATCCTAGCACTACAAATTGATCACTATCCTAGCACTACTAATTGATCACTATCCTAGCACTACAAATTGAGCCCTATCCTAGCACTACAAATTGATCACTATTCTAGCACTACAAATTGAGCCCTATCCTAGCACTACAAATTGATCACTATCCTAGCACTACAAATTGATCACTATCCTAGCACTACAAATTGAGCCCTATCCTAGCACTACAAATTGATCACTATCCTAGCACTACAAATTGAGCCCTATCCTAGCACTACAAACTGAGCCCTATCCTAGCACTACAAACTGAGCCCTATCCTAGCACTACAAATTGAGCCCTATCCTAGCACTACAAACACTATCCCGTACCGTGATTTATTGACAGCTCGTATCAGCTGAGTGTGACAGTCAACTGGTGAGGTAGACTTGAAGAGAATCTCGGAGCTGTCTTCAGCTGCTATCTCAAACTGTAGAGAGAAATGGCCAGTTCAGGCTTGCTACAGCTCATAATTGTATTGTAAACAAGGGCTGGTGAATCAAGGATAAAAAGTAGCTTCTTACACAGGCCAAAGGGGGAAGCATTTAGTAGCTACTTACACAGGCCAAAGGGGGAAGCATTTAGTAGCTACTTACACAGGCCAAAGGGGGAAGCATTTAGTAGCTACTTACACAGGCCAAAGGGGGAAGCATTTAGTAGCTACTTACACAGGCCAAAGGGGGAAGCATTTAGTAGCTACTTACACAGGCTAAAGGGGGAAGCATTTAGTAGCTACTTACACAGGCTAAAGGGGGAAGCATTTAGTAGCTACTTACACAGGCTAAAGGGGGAAGCATTTAGTAGCTACTTACACAGGCCAAAGGGGGAAGCATTTAGTAGCTACTTACACAGGCCAAAGGGGGAAGCATTTAGTAGCTACTTACACAGGCTAAAGGGGGAAGCATTTAGTAGCTACTTACACAGGCTAAAGGGGGAAGCATTTAGTAGCTACTTACACAGGCTAAAGGGGGAAGCATTTAGTAGCTACTTACACAGGCCAAAGGGGGAAGCATTTAGTAGCTACTTACACAGGCCAAAGGGGGAAGCATTTAGTAGCTACTTACACAGGCCAAAGGGGGAAGCATTTAGTAGCTACTTACACAGGCTAAAGGGGGAAGCATTTAGTAGCTACTTACACAGGCCAAAGGGGGAAGCATTTAGTAGCTAAGGGTGTCTGTAGTTGAAATCTTACCAGAGGTCCTTCGTTGTTGTCAGATATTTTACAGGTGTACAGACACTTGGTGTCCAGCTTGTGGAGGCTGGCGTAGACACGGGTGATGCAGAAACCCACGGGGTAGATGGACTCCAGCGAGTGAAAGCTCAGGCGATCCGGAACTATCTGGGAGAGAAAACATCACATGTATGTAGGATATAGTCAAATCTATATGTACCCCATTGGAGGGTATACACCCCTTTGAAAAAACAAATGAGCTACCTCTTCTATACTGTCAGCTCTACTTAAGTCGCCATACACAATTACCCACTCCAAGCACAATAACCTCTACTACACTGCTACTCTCCCCCAATCCCCAACTCCACTAGTTACCTCCCCATCCCTGTTACTCCACTAGTTACCTCCCCATCCCTGTTACTCCACTAGTTACCTCCCCATCCCTGTTACTCCACTAGTTACCTCCCCATCCCTGTTACTCCACTACTTACCTCTCCTATGCTATGTAATGTGATATCTCCCAACACCATTGGGAAAATGGGACGGCCAAGAGAGTCCAACATGAGGGGGGGAATCATCTTCTTGGCAGCACCTTTTCCTTTCTTTGGCCGTACAGAGGGTGTGTCTGTGGTACAGTAGACATTTATAAACCATAACAATAATTTTCTTTACAACTTTTAATCAAATGTAATTTCTTCCCTGTTTTCTGTGAGAACCTTTGAGCAAGTGGTACTTTGACCAGACAGATGTGGCTGAGCACCTGAGGAAGGTCAGGCTGACACTACACACATGAGGGAGGTCAGGCTGACACTACACACATGAGGGAGGTCAGGCTGACACTACACACATGAGGAAGGTCAGGCTGACACTACACATATGAGGGAGGTCAGGCTGACACTACACATATGAGGGAGGTCAGGCTGACACTACACATATGAGGGAGGTCAGGCTGACACTACACACCTGAGGGAGGTCAGGCTGACACTACACACATGAGGGAGGTCAGGCTGACACTACACACATGAGGAAGGTCAGGCTGACACTACACACATGAGGGAGGTCAGGCTGACACTACACACATGAGGGAGGTCAGGCTGACACTACACATATGAGGGAGGTCAGGCTGACACTACACACATGAGGGAGGTCAGGCTGACACTACACACATGAGGAAGGTCAGGCTGACACTACACACCTGAGGGAGGTCAGGCTGACACTACACACATGAGGGAGGTCAGGCTGACACTACACACATGAGGGAGGTCAGGCTGACACTACACACATGAGGGAGGTCAGGCTGACACTACACACATGAGGGAGGTCAGGCTGACACTACACACATGAGGGAGGTCAGGCTGACACTACACATATGAGGGAGGTCAGGCTGACACTACACACATGAGGGAGGTCAGGCTGACACTACACACATGAGGAAGGTCAGGCTGACACTACACATATGAGGGAGGTCAGGCTGACACTACACACATGAGGGAGGTCAGGCTGACACTACACACATGAGGAAGGTCAGGCTGACACTACACACCTGAAGATTCCTTGCTGGCCATTTTCTTCTTTGTTTCACCTGTCCCAGTGCTGACCAGTGATGGGCCAGCAGACAGCAGGCCGGCTGAGCTGGGGGAGGATGCAGAGATTGCCAACTTGCGCTTGACAGCCTTAGGCTTGCCACTGTATTCTGATGGACTTTTGTCAACAGGCAGGGTCCCTGCTAGACCTGGTGATTTCACAAAGTATAACATACATCAGGCATGGAGTGGATACATGAGCCACACTGTATTCTGATGGACTTTTGTCAACAGGCAGGGTCCCTGCTAGACCTGGTGATTTCACAAGTATAACATACATCAGGCATGGAGTGGATACATGAGCCACACGCTGGATACATGAGCCACACAGTGGATACATGAGCCACACTGTATTCTGATGGACTTTTGTCAACAGGCAGGGTCCCTGCTAGACCTGGTGATTTCACAAGTATAACATACATCAGGCATGGAGTGGATACATGAGCCACACGCTGGATACATGAGCCACACAGTGGATACATGAGCCACATGGTGGATACATGAGCCACACGGTGGATACATGAGCCACATGGTGGATACATGAGCCAAACAGTGGATACATGAGCCACACGGTGGATACATGAGCCACATGGTGGATACATGAGCCACACAGTGGATACATGAGCCACACAGTGGATACATGAGCCACACGGTGGATACATGAGCCACACTGTGGATACATGAGCCACACACTGGATACATAAGCCACATGGTGGATACATGAGCCAAACAGTGGATACATGAGCCACACTGTGGATACATGAGCCACACACTGGATACATGAGCCACATGGTGGATACATGAGCCACACAGTGGATACATGAGCCACACAGTGGATACATGAGCCACACGGTGGATACATGAGCCACACAGTGGATACATGAGCCACACAATGGATACATGAGCCACATGGTGGATACATGAGCCACACAGTGGATACATGAGCCACGCTGTGGATACATGAGCCACACACTGGATACATGAGCCAAACAGTGGATACATGAGCCACACAGTGGATACATGAGCCACGCTGTGGATACATGAGCCACACAGTGGATACATGAGCCACGCTGTGGATACATGAGCAGCGCAGTGGATGTATGAAGACAAAACAAAGTTCATTTTTTAAAAAGTAACACCAGTTGATTTTGATACAACTTTGTCAAATTTGAACCAAAGTGCTTTAGAGTTCTAAAGTGGGCCTATCTACCCACAATGATAAAATCTACTTTATGATTACCTTTGGATTGTCTTGCTGAAGAAACCTGAGATTCTAACTTGATGGTCGGAGCATTGGGCTCATTAGCTGATTGGTACTGGAGGACCTTCCTCAGGAGAAATCTGGAGAGAGGCAGCCCAATCAAACTCTAGACAGCCAGATATTCAGCCCAATCAAACCTTAACTCTAGACAGCCAGATATTCAGCCCAATCAAACCTTAACTCTAGACAGCCAGATATTCAGCCCAATCAAACTCTAGACAGCCAGATATTCAGCCCAATCAAACCTTAACTCAAGACAGCCAGATATTCAGCCCAATCAAACCTTAACTCTAGACAGCCAGATATTCAGCCCAATCAAACCTTAACTCTAGACAGCCAGATATTCAGCCCAATCAAACTCTAGACGGCCAGATATTCAGCCCAATCAAACCTTAACTCTAGACAGCCAGATATTCAGCCCAATCAAACCTTAACTCTAGACAGCCAGATATTCAGTCCAATCAAACCTTAACTCTAGACAGCCAGATATTCAGCCCAATCAAACCTTAACTCTAGACAGCCAAATATTCAGCCCAATCAAACTCTAGACAGCCAGATATTCAGTCCAATCAAACCTTAACTCTAGACAGCCAGATATTCAGCCCAATCAAACCTTAACTCTAGAAATCCAGATATTCAGCCCAATCAAACCTTAACTTTAGACAGCCAGATATTCAGCCCAATCAAACCTTAACTCAAGACAGCCAGATATTCAGCCCAATCAAACTCTAGACAGCCAGATATTCAGTCCAATCAAACCTTAACTCTAGACAGCCAGATATTCAGCCCAATCAAAACTTAACTCTAGACAGCCAGATATTCAGCCCAATCAAACCTTAACTCTAGACAGCCAGATATTCAGCTCAATCAAACTCTAGACAGCCAGATATTCAGCCCAATCAAACCTTAACTCTAGACAGCCAGATATTCAGTCCAATCAAACCTTAACTCTAGACAGCCAGATATTCAGTCCAATCAAACTCTAGACAGCCAGATATTCAGCCCAATCAAACCTTAACTCTAGACAGCCAGATATTCAGTCCAATCAAACCTTAACTCTAGACAGCCAGATATTCAGCCCAATCAAACCTTAACTCTAGACAGCCAGATATTCAGCCCAATCAAACTCTAGACAGCCAGATATTCAGCCCAATCAAACCTTAACTCTAGACAGCCAGATATTCAGCCCAATCAAACCTTAACTCTAGACAGCCAGATATTCAGCCCAATCAAACTCTAGACAGCCAGATATTCAGCCCAATCAAACTCTAGACAGCCAGATATTCAGCCCAATCAAACTCTAGACAGCCAGATATTCAGCCCAATCAAACCTTAACTCTAGACAGCCAGATATTCGATTGTAGGAAAAAAAGTCACAGGAAAAAAAAACACAGGAAAAAAAACACAGAAAAAAAGTCACAGGAAAAAAAGTCACAGGAAAAAAAGTCACAAATATATATTTGCATTGAATTTGTTAATACTTTTATGTATTAAATATTCAGAGAGTGCAAATTAACTTAGGATTAATTAAATGTAATGTAATGTGTGTAGGTTGTATACGCCTAGTAATTATTATAATTCATCTAAAAATATTTAGTATGAATTATGTAGATTGTAATTATGTTAAACATAATATTTATAGCATTTAATAGAATGTCCACAGTTTTCATCGTGTTTTTTTTAAAATTAAATTACCGTGAAATGGTAAGGTCATCTGAATTACTGCCCTCAACTCATGGCAACAATAGTTATGTTTAGTTCAACCACCTTTACTGCCCACATTAGTCACGCTCATTACATAACAAAACTTAGGATCAAAACAGAAAGCCGACAAGGTTCAAAGGCTGTCATTGACGCATAACGTCAACAACACAAATATGTTCGGACAATGCCTACTGAGGAGAGGCCGACCAGAGAATAGCCTACAGCAAAATGTGCCTAAATTTCTTTTATAGTTAACTTTTCTACCGCGTATTTAACTAAATACGTAACAAAAGTTGAGATTGTTATGTTAATTATCTTAGAATATTTTTACTTACAATTGTTATAAATCATAATGCTTTTAACGTCTATAAATAATTTATGCTATCAAAAAATACAACCCACAACAATAAACATACAAAATTTACAATTCTTAACAAATTAATAAAAAGATTTCTAAAAAGATTTTTGTGACTTTTTCTGTGACTTTATTTCTGTGACTTTTTTTCCGATAAAATTTTTCCACTGTGACTTTTTTTCTGTGACTTTTTTTCCTAGCAAAAACTGTGACTTTTTTTTCTGTGTTTTTTTTTCCTGTGACTTTTTTTCCGTTTACCAGATATTCAGCCCAATCAAACCTTAACTCTAGACAGCCAGATATTCAGCCCAATCAAACCTTAACTCTAGACAGCCAGATATTCAGCCCAATCAAACCTTAACTCTAGACAGCCAGATATTCAGCCCAATCAAACCTTAACTCTAGACAGCCAAATATTCAGCCCAATCAAACTCTAGACGGCCAGATATTCAGCCCAATCAAACCTTAACTCTAGACAGCCAGATATTCAGCCCAATCAAACCTTAACTCTAGACAGCCAGATATTCAGTCCAATCAAACCTTAACTCTAGACAGCCAGATATTCAGTCCAATCAAACCTTAACTCTAGACAGCCAGATATTCAGCCCAATCAAACCTTAACTCTAGACAGCCAGATATTCAGCCCAATCAAACTCTAGACAGCCAGATATTCAGCCCAATCAAACCTTAACTCTAGACAGCCAGATATTCGATTGTAGGAAAAAAAGTCACAGGAAAAAAAAACACAGGAAAAAAAAACACAGAAAAAAAGTCACAGGAAAAAAAGTCACAGGAAAAAAAGTCACAAATATATATTTGCATTGAATTTGTTAATACTTTTATGTATTAAATATTCAGAGAGTGCAAATTAACTTAGGATTAATTAAATGTAATGTAATGTGTGTAGGTTGTATACGCCTAGTAATTTTTATAATTCATCTAAAAATATTTAGTATGAATTATGTAGATTGTAATTATGTTAAACATAATATTTATAGCATTTAATAGAATGTCCACAGTTTTCATCGTGTTTTTTTTTTTAATTAAATTACCGTGAAATGGTAAGGTCATCTGAATTACTGCCCTCAACTCATGGCAACAATAGTTATGTTTAGTTCAACCACCTTTACTGCCCACATTAGTCACGCTCATTACATAACAAAACTTAGGATCAAAACAGAAAGCCGACAAGGTTCAAAGGCTGTCATTGACGCATAACGTCAACAACACAAATATGTTCGGACAATGCCTACTGAGGAGAGGCCGACCAGAGAATAGCCTACAGCAAAATGTGCCTAAATTTCTTTTATAGTTAACTTTTCTACTGCGTATTTAACTAAATACGTAACAAAAGTTGAGATTGTTATGTTAATTATCTTAGAATATTTTTACTTACAATTGTTATAAATCATAATGCTTTTAACGTCTATAAATAATTTATGCTATCAAAAAATACAACCCACAACAATAAACATACAAAATTTACAATTCTTAACAAATTAATAAAAAGATTTCTAAAAAGATTTTTGTGACTTTTTTTCTGTGACTTTTTTTCCGATAAAATTTTTCCACTGTGACTTTTTTTCTGTGACTTTTTTTCCTAGCAAAAACTGTGACTTTTTTTTCTGTGTTTTTTTTCCTGTGACTTTTTTTCCGTTTACCAGATATTCAGCCCAATCAAACCTTAACTCTAGACAGCCAGATATTCAGCCCAATCAAACTCTAGACAGCCAGATATTCAGCCCAATCAAACCTTAACTCTAGACAGCCAAATATTCAGCCCAATCAAACTCTAGACGGCCAGATATTCAGCCCAATCAAACCTTAACTCTAGACAGCCAGATATTCAGCCCAATCAAACCTTAACTCTAGACAGCCAGATATTCAGCCCAATCAAACCTTAACTCTAGACAGCCAGATATTCAGCCCAATCAAACCTTAACTCTAGACAGCCAGATATTCAGCCCAATCAAACTCTAGACAGCCAGATATTCAGCCCAATCAAACCTTAACTAGACAGCCAGATATTCAGCCCAATCAAACCTTAACTCTAGACAGCCAGATATTCAGTCCAATCAAACCTTAACTCTAGACAGCCAGATATTCAGCCCAATCAAAACTTAACTCTAGACCAGGGGTCTCCAAACTTTTCAATCCGAGGGCCGCATTAACTATCAAATTTCAGTTTGGGGGCCAGTTTCTTCTAGGCTTGTCTTTGGTTTTTCTGGCCAAAGTTCTTCAGCTATCACCAACAAACAATTTTTCAATGGACAAAAAGATCTCCGCGGGCCGGATGAGAGGACTTCGCGGGCCGCATCTGGTCCGCGGGCCGTAGTTTGGAGACCCCTGCTCTAGACAGCCAGATATTCAGCCCAATCAAACTCTAGACAGCCAGATATTCAGTCCAATCAAACCTTAACTCTAGACAGCCAGATATTCAGCCCAATCAAACTCTAGACAGCCAGATATTCAGCCCAATCAAACTCTAGACAGCCAGATATTCAGCCCAATCAAACCTTAACTCTAGAAATCCAGATATTCAGCCCAATCAAACCTTAACTCTAGACAGCCAGATATTCAGCCCAATCCAACCTTAACTCTAGACAGCCAGATATTCAGCCCAATCAAACTCTAGACAGTCAGATATTCAGCCCAATCAAACCTTAACTCTAGACAGCCAGATATTCAGCCCAATCAAACCTTAACTCTAGACAGCCAGATATTCAGCCCAATCAAACTCTAGACAGCCAGATATTCAGCCCAATCAAACCTTAACTCTAGACAGCCAGATATTCAGCCCAATCAAACCTTAACTCTAGACAGCCAGATATTCAGCCCAATCAAACTCTAGACAGCCAGATATTCAGCCCAATCAAACCTTAACTCTAGACAGCCAGATATTCAGCCCAATCAAACTCTAGACAGCCAGATATTCAGCCCAATCAAACCTTAACTCTAGACAGCCAGATATTCAGTCCAATCAAACCTTAACTCTAGACAGCCAGATATTCAGCCCAATCAAACTCTAGACAGCCAGATATTCAGCCCAATCAAACCTTAACTCTAGACAGCCAGATATTCAGCCCAATCAAACCTTAACTCTAGACAGCCAGATATTCAGTCCAATCAAACCTTAACTCTAGACAGCCAGATATTCAGCCCAATCAAACCTTAACTCTAGACAGCCAGATATTCAGTCCAATCAAACCTTAACTCTAGACAGCCAGATATTCAGTCCAATCAAACCTTAACTCTAGACAGCCAGATATTCAGCTCAATCAAACTCTAGACAGCCAGATATTCAGCCCAATCAAACCTTAACTCTAGACAGCCAGATATTCAGTCCAATCAAAACTCATGCACACAACTAATTTTCTTTAAGATATCCCAGCTTGAAGGTTGATTTTATGTCATAGAAGAAAATTGCAACTAAAAAGAGTTGACAGTAATAAGTAATTTAACTGTGAGAAAATATAAAGCCATTCAGCATTTACCGTCTCTCTTCCTTAGCTTTGGCCAACTTCTCTTCTGTTCGTAAAACTTCGTCACATATGGCCCCATTCTCCTGTAGGAAGTTAGTTGACTTGTAGAGTTGGGACCATTGATTATGTGGGAGATATTCATTTCACCATGCAAACGTGTACACATAAGTACACAGAAATACTCACAAATATTGCATCTTTTATTGCACGCTTGAGCTTGCGCAGTTTCTTTGCATATAAATCTTGCATGTTCTGATGGGAGGACTTGGCTCGTGGCGCGCTAGATGGTCCTGCTGATGGACCAGGCCTAGAAGAAAAAAGGTGCAAGTCAAACACTAAACTAAACAGGTAGGATTAAATAGGCCTCACTTAAAGGTGGAAATCAAACACTAAACTAAACTGGTAGGATTAAATAGGCCTCACTAAAAGGTGCAAGTCAAACACTAAACTAAACAGGTAGGATTAAATAGGCCTCACTAAAAGGTGCAAGTCAAACACTAAACTAAACAGGTAGGATTAAACAGGCCTCACTAAAAGGTGGAAGTCAACTGTAAAATGACAAGGCAGTCAACTAACAGACATACCCCGGGGCGGAGGATAATTGTTTTTCCTTGATAAGCTGTTGAAAAAGTTTTTGAGAGGCTTGAACATCTGCAGGGGTGGAGCTTGTTCCTGCAGGGGTGGAGCTTGTTCCAGCAGGGGTGGAGCTTGTTCCCACCGCAGGGGTGGAGCTTGTTCCTGCAGGGGTGGAGCTTGTTCCTGCAGGGGTGGAGCTTGTTCCTGCAGGGGTAGGGCTGGTTCCTGCAGGGGGGGATGTGGGCTGGTGCTCTGTTGGCATGGCTAACTTGCTGATTGACTAAAGGAGAAAAAAACATTGGTAACTTGACTAGGTTTTATACTGCTGCTTGTGTCTATGTCAAGGTTTTATACTGCTGCTTGTGTCTATGTCAAGGTTTTATACTACTAATAGTGTCTATGTCAAGGTTTTATACTGCTGCTTTTGTCTATGTCAAGGTTTTATACTGCTGCTAGTGTCTATGTCAAGGTTTTATACTACTACTAGTGTCTATCAAGTTTTTATACTGCTGCTAGCATCAATGTCAAGGTTTTATACTGCGTGTGATACCACAAGTTTTAAAACATCAATTACATTCAATCTTAATCTTAGGTAAAGTCTTTCAAAAATCAGTCAGGTTTTTACTACTAATCTAGAGTAGATTTAGTTCTAGTCTCTAGATCTAGTTATTACTTATTACTTACATTTTAATAATTATTTCACATTGTGAGGAGGATTTATGTTTTGAAAAATACAAAAATGTTTCCTTGTTTCATTTATGTACCTGTTATTAAACAATTGAATTAAAACTTTTCAGTAATAAATGAACACCAGCGATGTTTCCAACACATGCAACCATGCTCATTTACTATAGCAGCCATCTTGTTAAAGTTTTTGATTCAGGTGGAAGTCACTCTATTTTACAAATGGCTCCTGTTTATATATATAGCAAATCTTGCTTGCAGACACTGCTGTTTAAAGTTAATTTCTGGCCAATATAGATATATTTAGCCATTGATTTAGGTCTATTATTCATTTATCTATAATATTTGACACAAACATATCACAATATACTTCTATTACAGCCTTGACAATGAGGTAACGTTTTCGCGGGCGATTTTACGTACCCAAAACGATAGATTACCGTTTTTTTTTACCAAAATCCCTAACAATGAGGTAACTTTTTCGTACAGTACTAACCGCGGGCGATTTTACCTATCTAAAACGATAGATTACCTGATTACCTCAAATTGAAATTATGCAGTGATCATTAAAACTAAAACCTAATTTTAATTTTTAACTAATATAAATTTAGTAATTTAATATATATATATATATTATAGGCCCTATAGTATAGTATAGCCTAGCTAACTATTATAAACTTAAAACTAGTTGGTAGTTACTCAACTCAACTAGCTAGACTTTTTGAGTTTTTGAATAGGGATTGTCTGACTGGTACTAGTCTAGATCTAGATTTCTAGCTAAACTATGATTAGTAATTAGTTTTAGTAGTACAACTAGAATACTAGATCTAGATCCTAGCTAGACTAAGTATAGTAAGTATAATCAACTCAGTACAGTTAGGCCTACCGATTTTGTTGGGCTGGTCGCCGCCATTTAAAAAGGTCAAACAATTATTACGGGGTCATTTCCGTACACTAATAATAGAATTCGGTGAATTCAAAATCAATGTCTTCGTAATAATAATAATTACGAGCCGACTCGCGGCGTATCATACGCCGCTATTTAGTTATTTTTACAAGCTTTTATTTAACTTGCTTTCTCGTCAGTCTTTCTGTCTGTCTAGATCAAAACGGCCATGTGAAATTGAGGCACTTCTTACTCAAAGATACGGTTCGTAATTGATACGTGGGTCAAGACATCGTGGCATTCAATTATTTTTTTATGAATTAATTAAAATTTGGACCGAATTAGTAGGCAGTTCTATCCACACGCGTCATCACGGCCGTTTTGGGCGTGGAACGAGGGGGGCTCTATGTCACAGAGGCGTAGCGACCCTTCCCGGCGCCCGGGGACAAACTTTTCGATTTGCACCCCCCCCCCCCTCGAGATTTCGATTTGCACCCCCCCCCCCCTCGAGATTTCAATTTGCACCCCACCCCTCAAACTTTCGTTTTGCACCCCCTCAACCTTTCAATTTATTTTTCCAACCCATTTTGGCGCCCCCTAAGGTCGGCGCCCGGGGACATATGTCGCCCCCCCCTCGCTACTCTACTGCTATGTCAAAAGCGCGTCATCACGTTCAATAGGCGCGCGATGGTTTTTAGTAGGGTCAGCAGTCTAGTTCTTTACCACTAGATTGCGCCATCCCATAATACTTTACTGAAACTTTAGCTATAAACTTGACAATGATTTTAGTCATGTAACTATTGTAAATAAAACATATAAAGTACTGGAAAAAAATTCATAAAAAAAACTTTTAATAACAAGCAGCTTTAAAACACTAAAAACCTCCTTTACCCCCCCCCCCCCCCATTGTGAAAGCAGCCTCCTCTTAGTTACCTCCCCTAAGTTTAAAATAGTTTCAAACTAAAGTATCAGCCCCTAATAGCCGTCACTAAACCCGTCTCTACGATTGTAAACATTTAGCGTGAACCACAGCTCACCAGACCATGTGGGGGTGGGGGTGGTTGCGATATGCCTATAGAGGAAGAGAGGGGACTGCTATGCGCGCTTACAGCTTGGTGTTTTCTAACGTCTCCAAGAAGAGAATTATATATATATATATATATATATATATATATATATATATATATATATATATATATATATATATATATATATATATATATATATATATATATATATATATATATATATATATATATAAGATAGATAATAGGCCTACACTTTATTTGGAAACGGTTACAACAGTATGCATGGAGGCCTTTTTACACATTGGCCGTTATTTAAAGGTTAGACCCACCCAGGGGCAGTGTCTCTTCCAGACTATTTTCTCCGGGGGGGGGGGGGGGGCACTTGAAATTTTCGGGGGGGGGGGGCGGTAGACTTTCTTCGGGGGGTGGGGGCGGACACTGTTAAAAGTATATATTTTCTATATAAATTATGTACATTTCATATCGTTCGGGGGGGGGGGGGGGGCGGTAAATTTTTTTTTGGGGAGGCTTCGCCCCCCCCCCCCCGAAGAGATGCCTGGAAGAAACTCTGCCCAGGGGGAAGGCGGTGGTAGGTTTTGCTTGGAGGGGTGTGGGAGGGGGTGGTTTAGGAGGAGAGTGGCAATGACTTTATTGTGATATCATTTGCTTTTATGGGGATCTGGCCGCCTTGTGATAAAGTGAGGATGGAGATCAAAGTAAATACTCGAGTTCTAAATTGGATTTGAAAATCATACAAGCTATGAGTATGTGTCACACCGCTCCTACAGTCCTACCTCAAACATAATGTCAGCATTTTTTTTGGTACCCTTTGGTACTATTAGGCCACGAAGATCTTTATATTAATATATTACTATTAGTCTATAGCAGGGGTTCTTAACCCGTGTTCGGTCGAATCCCATTCGGGGAGTCAGTCTCGGGGGTTAGGGGGATGTCAAGACTGACTCAAGATACACACTCTGACTCATATGGTTCGCAATCGGATTTTGTCAGTGCGGACGATAGAACTATTAAGTATTAAGACGGGCTCGGTGAATGCGCAACTGATGTGGTTTGGTACCTCCAAAAAGGTTAAGAACCCTTCTGTATACTCTATTTTAAGTAAGTAAAATAAAAATAAAAAATTATATTGACCCCCAAGTACGATTTAAATTTCATTTTAGAATAGACTTTTTCAGGCCTAACACATTTAATAGATTCTAGATTTATCTACAATTTATTTTGCTTTGAATTCTTATTAAATTATTTCTTAACAATATGACCACAAAAAAAAACAACATAAAAAATAAAAATAAAATAGTATAGTAATAGTTATACGAAAATGTGGCTAGATTGTTGTTGAAATATGTCATGTGACATCTCCATATTCAAGATGTCGTCGTCTGCATCGTCTCAGTTTTTCCTGAACAAAGTTGATGAACTGCAGAAACGTTTGATGGCTGAGAATAGGTCTCACGATGCAGAAAAAAAGAACAGAAATCAAGAAACGTGTTCACCTGGTCCCAGACGACCTCGAATGTGTTCGTTGTAGTGTTTAAATTTATATAAATCTATACAATCTATAAATAATCTATTGCCTATGCTGGATTTTGTTTATTTCTATAAATAGAAAAAGCATTGTCTTGAAATCTTTTTGTTTTTGCTCCTTCACTCATCAATATGCCATAGTTGAGCACTCACAATACACACCTCCGCCTCCACCTAATTAAAAACAAATGCTAATTTAGAATTGTAGGCCCCTATTAACTTACAATTTTGGTAGGCCTAAGTCAACTTTTGAACTTTTTGATGTATTTTTAGTTAGGGCCTAGGCCTAGATCTACTCTAGAATCTAGATCTAGTATTTTTATTTTTTACTTTCTAGATCTAGAATGTAGTCTAGTCTAGATTTTGTAGGATGTCTTAAAATTTTTAAAATTAAATTATTGCTTAATATAATTAGGGTTGTCGGCATCCGCCGAGTTCGCGGTAAAAACATGACCCGAAATCGCCCATTACTTTCTGATACCGGACCCACGAGATTTGGTTTTGCATACTAATAAGTTTTTAATTTATGGTAATTAATTAAGTTTAAAAGGTCATTTCCTAAGGTTAATTAAAAAGTAGAGTGGTTGTCCCTTAGTTTTAATGGCTTTGCGACCTGATTGCATGCTGTCTCTGCTTTGGTCTTCCCCCTGTATCAAGGTTAGTTTCAAATACGTTGGAATCTCGATTTTTTAAAAGATTCCTCTAGATGAGAGTAGATTACTGATCAGACATATCTTAAGTAATTGGAAATGAAATTTGTTTTTGGATATTTTGACTCCGACATTAGTTATACTGCTCCGAACGTAGTCACTGTATGTAGGTCACGCTGCCACCATTGTTATATTTTTTCATCCTGTTCTCTCACTGCCGGCTTTTTAGTTTTGACACACTAACAACATTCTCTTAATATTAATGTGTAAACAACTCTCCTAATTGTAGTTTTAAAAAACATTTTATATATATTACATACTATATATTCCTCTTTTCAGCTCTAGATTTGCTTGAAGATTTAATTTCTGCCAAATATTTGTTCAAGTTTTTTTTCTCTACATTTAGTACTTTTATTAGGGCCTAGCACTAGTACTTTTAATTTAATTTTGTTGTTAGTTTAATAGTCATTAGTTAGAATCAGGCCTAGATCTACCTGTACAACCTGTTGCTGTACACATATTAAAGTAGTTAAAATTAATAGAACAATGATAATTAATAAGATGAATTATAACTACTGTTTGGTTATTTTGTTTCTCTCAGCTATGGATAGACCTACTGAAATTACTCATTCTTTAGAAGAACTCAATAATCTAATTGATTCTTATAAATGTTTACATAATGAATTTATTAAAATTGGGAATTTAATATGGTTTTCTAAAATTAATAAAAGTTATCATCAAGCAGCACTATCACTTTTAAAAGAAATAAAGAACCTGAACAGTGATGTATTGACCTCTCAATATTGTGACATAGAACTGAAAGCACTCAAGACCACAATTTTCAATGCTGAAAAGAAATTTAAATTCCTGAAAAAACATTTTAGCAGCAACTGGAGTGCAATATCAAATTTTTTAGATGAAGATGTTTGTAATCACTTGAATAAAAAACATACATCTATTGAAATGTATCCTTCTATTCCTGGACCTTCAAAACCGTCACCTGTTAAACATGTTCAAGTTCAAACATTAGATAAAGAACTTCGTACAGATTGTGCCAATTGTGTATTCAAAAGAATATCAAATGAGAATCTTTTGAAAGAAAATAAAAAGCTAAAACAAGAGAAACTTTCACTTATGAAAGCACATGCAGCATTAAAAAGGCTCTACGAAGTAAGAAAGGTAAATCAAAAATTAAAAAGAATGACACAACGTCTGCTTAAAAAGAAGCAAGAGATCATTAGTTTAAAACGCACAATCAAGGCTCTTCCTGTACATAATTATGTTCAACAAAAGGAAAAAATGAAATACATAAAGAGAAGAAATAAAATTTTGAAATCTAAAATTGATTCTAATACACTTACTTTGAAAAATAATAAACTGATGATTTCAAACCAATCTAAAGAAATTGTGTCCTTAAATCAAGTGATAGATGATTTAACTTGTCGCTTTGAAGAAATTACAAATAAAGATCAAATAATTACCAAAAAAGGCAAAGAATTTGACACTGACACCAGACTTTGCATGTACAAGTCCCTGCTCTGTAATGTGTCTGTGGCATCAGCTGGTGACCTGCTAGAATTTTTTATTGAAACAATGACAGGTCAAAAGCTTTCATCTGTGCCTAGTCAAACAACTGTAGCCCAAATGTCTCTAGAACTGGGCATCTTAGCTGATATCCAAATAGGTGAAGCACTGATGTTAAATAAAAATGTTACTTTGTCTTGGGATGCCACCCCAGTAGATGGAGCCCATGTCAATGAGATACATATTTCAACAGCTCCAGATAGACCCCTAATTTTGGATGTCAGAGAATTGCCTGGTGCTAAGGCTAGTGACTATGCGCAACACATTTTTCAGTCTTTACAACATGTTACATCTTTATATGCTAATCATAAAAAAATTCCAGAGGCCAATGTTTCCATATTTTGTAAATCATTGATTCAGAAAATATCTTCAACAGTAACAGACAGAGCTCCAGTTAACCACTGTGTTGTCCAACAATTAAATATTTTATTTGACACTCAAATTTTAGAGCTGAATTGCAATGTACATCCCCTTGATGGCTTTGCATCTGCTGCAAGGAAATCCATTTTAGAATACGAAAAATCTTCTGGCTTAACTTCATCCACATCTTTACACCCAAAGGCTGTTCACTGTTTAATGGATGTCTCCAAATTACGTTACTCAATGAAGACTGGAGATCCACCTGGTTTTAAATTATTTTGTAAAAAATTTGACATTCCTATTGGAATGTTCATGAGATACGTAGGAAACAGAATGCATATTCTGTTCCATTTATCTGGAGTTATTATTTTTTATAGATCAAATCTTCTTACATATGTTTCAAAAAATCAAGCTTCAAATTTAAAAAGAAACATCAAAAGTTATCTAGAAGACCCAATTGTTGTAGCACAACTCACTACCCTTGCTCTAATTGGCAAATCAATTACTGGGCCTTGGATGACCAAATTTTATTCCAATCAATCAAATTTAGGACTAGTTCCTGTTATTCAAGGCTGCCAGTCTGAATTTGAACGTTTTGTTTCAAGCCCTTTAGAAATTCTTACTCTAAAATCAAATATTTTTGGTGAGCCTATTAATCAAGAAATTGATCCTGTATTAAAATCACTTATAAGCAATTTAAACCCTGAAACAACAGAATTAATTAAAAACATGATTCCAATTGCAGTGCAGAGTATTTATTTAGTTTTTAAGAGGCAGTTGTACAATTACATTGAAGGAAATTTGTCAAACCCTAGTAGCGAAATGATGGAACAAGCCTCATCAGCACCAGCACATAACATGGCCTCTGAAAGAGCTCTAGGTTTGACAGATTACCTGTGGAGACGAGCACCAAATTCCACATTTATGTTTATTTCTGGAAAAGTTAAGAGCAGGTTTAATAACACCATGTCATGGCTGTTAAAAAAACCAGAGGATGAGCTTAAAAAGACCATCAACTTTTCAATGAAAGAAGCTTACAAATTAAGAAAATTGAATCATCTAAAAATGAAGGCCAATGAGAAAGAAGCGTTGGAGAGACAAGTTGAAACAGAAAAGCTGTTTGATAAGAAAAATAGAAAAATGATAAATAAACAAATTAAGAAAGCTTTGAAAACTAATGATTTTTCCTCAGAAATTTTTAAAAGAAGTTCTCCTGAAATTGTCAATCAGTTCAATTTGATAACTGCAAAAACTTCTGATCTGCCGACATTTTTAATTGGCCAACAAATTAATCATTTATGGGATGTTGAAGGCAAAGATGTGTTGTATAATGGAAGAATTGTTGATGTATATTTCAAAGGGCAGAAGAATCCTGAGAAATATCTTACAGTGTCCTACTGGAAGCCAGATGAAGTAGAAGATGAATCTGTTGATTACAACATCATTTTGACAGATTTTTTAACTGATCTCATTTTACATGATCTAATGTTAATTTAAACTTTTATATCACAAGCTTTCTGTAAATATTTGTATTCTTATAAATTTTTTTATTTTTATAATTGGAACATTGATGACTTCAGTTATAAAGTTGTAAATTGTGTAAATATAACTTTGATGTGAACAATTAGATATTGAGTTCTTCGACTGAGTATTCTTTAAATGTCTGGGTAAGAAGTACATTCCACAAAATAATGTCCTGTGAATGAAAACAAAATCAAACCAATCATGAATGGAAACCCAATCAATTACTAAAATGGAAAACATTGTGATGATGATTATAAAAAAATCTTGATTTGCTTGTCAAAACAATTGATTTATTGTTTATTTCAGATTGTTATTTATATGATCACAGGCAGGGTATTATTATTGAAGTATGGGATCTAGTTTTCTCCATCCGGAGGAGTTTCACTGTTGTGGGTAACGATGCAAATAAAATTGATACAACCCTGCTTGTTGATCATAAAAATATCAATTTATCTTTGGTGCATGCATCTTTTTGCTAAGTAGTTTATGTTCTACTAGGAGTTAAAAAATAAATAAGTTATATTTTGAAATACCCTGTAAGTATAAGATAAGGCTAATGCAGTTTTAGTAAAATGCATTTCCGAAGTTGAAGTAAGTATTCTGTGCATGCAGTTCAAATTCGGTTGAGTTTAACGTTCTACTAATTCTACTAACCTTTTTTCATATTTGGATATTTAAAATTCAAATATTTAGAATGAAATACCTTTATCTATTATATGTGTATCAAACATTGCTCTAAAAATAATACATATAAATTAATGTAAAAGAACATAGTGCGTTTTTTAATGTAGGGGTAGATATTTCATCAAAAGTATACTTTTTTTTTTTTTTTCTTCAGTTTTACTATGAATATACCTTCCCTATAACATTGTAGACAAACTCTGCAAATATGAACAAAATCCAACTGAAATTAACCAAACTATACTCATTTATAGATACCCTATGATGACTTATCACAAATGGCCAATGTTAAAAGGAGGGACTTTTACCCCCCACAAAAAAATTCATAAAAAAAAAACTATTTGGGATAGAAAGAAAATTTTTTCTGTTTTGTTTTCTCCTGATTGAGATCTACAAGAGCATATATTTTTTATTTTAATATAATGAAATTTGTGTTTATACCTAAATCCCTAATATAATTTAGGCCTAAGTGGTGTGCATTATTTAGGGCCTAAATAATAATGCAAACAACCAATTTTTTTACTCCATTCTTCACAAAGATAAACATAACACAGAAAAAACCCCGCAAAAATAGCTAAAATTAGATTTCTCTAACCATGTAGGCCTACCTCATAGTAGCTGACTTTTCTCAAAATCCACAAAATTTTGAAAAAAAATTGCATAGACCTCTCAAAAATGAATTCTTGTATTGGATATATTTGTAAAAAACTTTTAGATTGTTAATTAGAAAAGGGTATTCTAGTTTTAATTACCCCAAATATTGTTGATCAAGAATGCTTTATGGGAAAACCTGTAATTCTTCATCAACCCACGCACTATCACTGTATTCAACTGTAGGGGTGTTATTGAGTGCTTTGTTTGACCGTAGAAAATGTAAGATTTGGCATGCAAAAATTACAGCTAGACCCCTAAAAGTTTAGATTTTCTTCAATGGAAATGGATGGAGATAACAATATTAAGGGCTAAAAAACATTTTTAGTTGATATTGTTGACCTTAGAGAGCTTGAGTCATAATTGATTAAAATTTTATTTTTACATGCATTTTATTTCTATTAATTTTTTAATTTCTATATTATAGTCCATTCATTTCTCTTAAAATAATTTAGGGATTTATAAATATTCCTACAAAAACAATTTTACATTTTTTTAATAGTACAGGTAGGCGTCACATCCGTGTCACTAAGTCTTGTCCACATTTGCTGCTGATTTTCGTTAAGAAATAATCTTTAATGTGGCTTTGTAATTTTAAAAATTCTGATTCCTTTTTAGAATATTTCTGCTTTTATTTTAAATTAAATTTGTCTAAAGATCAGATTTAGTAGTGACTGGAATCAAGTAATCTACCAGTCCTATGCACCTGTCTGTATGGGTGGGAGGTCAAGGAACAATCTTTAGGCCTACTACTTCTATTTTACTATTTTTAATTGTTTCATTTTCATGATTTTCTTATTTGTTTGATGTTACAGTAGCAGGAAATATGGCGTCGGGAAATACTTTTCTGGGTGCTAATCCATCTCGCTCGGCCTCAGAAGGTAGGAGGAGACCCAATATGAGCAACATGAACCTTGACTGTAGTGCCAAGTCACCTTTAAGGGTGTTACCTGACAGGTAAACTGGTGACATTTTTTCAAGTCTCCTCTAAACAGTTTTGCTGAATACTTAAATTTTCCATTAGAAAATTATAAGTATAGTTTATAACCTGTGGTAAACAAAATTATAAAAACATGGCTTGGTAAACACAGAAGACGAAGATTAAATGAGAATTATCCAAAAATGATTTAATTACACAACTTTTTTCAATGGACATTTATGTTACAGATTAGCCTTTGTGTTATAGATTAGTCATCATTTTTTAAAATTCATTTTTTTTAAAATTTTCAGTGCTGAAATAGATCAGAAAATAGAGGAAATAATGAAACAGTCGGGAGTCTTAACATTTGGGGATCAGGTATGTAATAGTATTTTTTTCAGTTGTGGATCAGGTGTGTGTCTTGTATTTTGATGATTTAAGATTTCTTATTCACAGAAAATTAAAGTAGGTCAATTTTTCTGCCAAAATTATGGACTGGATTAGTATTAGAATAAATACATTCATTTTGGTTAATTCAATAACGTCCCAACATACTGTTTAGAGGCGGCTGCTTAATGGAATTTCAGTGTTTGAAAAAATTGCTGTTTTGCAAATGGTTTTACAACTAATTCTCTTCTGGGAGCTCTTAAAAAACAAGCTGCAAGCGCGCCTTTGCAGTCCCCTCTCTTCCTCTCTATCGCTACCCCCCCCCCCCCCCTACATGGCCGGGTGAGTTGTAGTTCACTCTAAATGTTTACATTTTACAATCATAGAGCCGGGTTTGGTGACGGCTATTAGGGGCAGATAATTTAGTTTGAAACGATTTTAAAATTAGAGGAGGTAACTAAGAGGAGGCTGCTTTCACGGGGGGGGGGGGTGTTAGTGTTTTAAAGCACATATTTTCAGTGGCAGCATTGGTACTGTCGAATTCACAAATTATGAATTACTGAAAAGTAGAAAAAAAACAACTAAATAGCGGCGTATGATACGCCGCGGGTCGGCTTGTACAAAATAAACATAATAGGAATATTACAGAAAGTAAATATAACTAAAAATGACAGCTCTAATTGTAGCATGACCTAGATTTATGATAATACAATTAAAAACTTTGATTCAATAAAATAAACAAATTAAAAAGAGGAAATATTATCTTCTTTCATTTGGGGAAACATTACCTTTTGGCAGGCTGGCTTGTCTAAGGCTGAGAGCGTCAGTAGGGTCTTAAAGCAGTTCTAATGGTTAATCTTCCATCCCTAGAGGAATAATTCATCAAGTCATAGTACACAAAAACAGTAGCTGACATGGTTTGGCTTTATAATGAAACATAAAAAATACGTGAGAGCTAAAAAAAATTCCATAAGTAGAATTATCGCTCATTGTTTAAAGAGAATAATATAACTTATTACAAACTTGCATTGCTATTTAAAACATAAAGTGATTGTGAGAGGTTTTTTTAAATGCTAAGATTATTAAATGATTACAATAACTGTCCAGAGATTTCTGGGGGTGGCTGTGATTGTGAGAGGTTTTTGTAAATGCTAAGATTATTAAATGATTACAATAACTGTCCAGAGATTTCTGGGGGTGGCTGTGATTGTGAGAGGTTTTTGTAAATGCTAAGATTATTAAATGATTACAATAACTGTCCAGAGATTTCTGGGGGTGGCTGTGATTGTGAGAGGTTTTTGTAAATGCTAAGATTATTAAATGATTACAATAACTGTCCAGAGATTTCTGGGGGTGGCTGTGATTGTGAGAGGTTTTTGTAAATGCTAAGATTATTAAATGATTACAATAACTGTCCAGAGATTTCTGGGGGTGGCTGTGATTGTGAGAGGTTTTTTTAAATGCTAAGATTATTAAATGATTACAATAACTGTCCAGAGATTTCTGGGGGTGGCTGTGATTGTGAGAGGTTTTTGTAAATGCTAAGATTATTAAATGATTACAATAACTGTCCAGAGATTTCTGGGGGTGGCTGTGATTGTGAGAGGTTTTTGTAAATGCTAAGATTATTAAATGATTACAATAACTGTCCAGAGATTTCTGGGGGTGGCTGTGATTGTGAGAGGTTTTTGTAAATGCTAAGATTATTAAATGATTACAATAACTGTCCAGAGATTTCTGGGGGTGGCTGTGATTGTGAGAGCTTTTTTTAAATGCTAAGATTATTAAATGATTACAATAACTGTCCAGAGATTTCTGGGGGTGGCTGTGATTGTGAGAGGTTTTTGTAAATGCTAAGATTATTAAATGATTACAATAACTGTCCAGAGATTTCTGGGGGTGGCTGTGATTGTGAGAGGTTTTTGTAAATGCTAAGATTATTAAATGATTACAATAACTGTCCAGAGATTTCTGGGGGTGGCTGTGATTGTGAGAGGTTTTTGTAAATGCTAAGATTATTAAATGATTACAATAACTGTCCAGAGATTTCTGGGGGTGGCTGTGATTGTGAGAGGTTTTTGTAAATGCTAAGATTATTAAATGATTACAATAACTGTCCAGAGATTTCTGAGCTCTGAAGAAGATCTTCAGCCTGAGGGTGAGCTGGGCCATGGGACATGTGGGCAGGTCACCAGGATGAGGCACAAGCCAACAAATAACCTAATGGCAGTAAAGGTAAGCTATAACTTCAGTAAGTCCAGGTCAGCCTATTTCTTGAGTAAGTCAAGGTCAGCCTATCACTTCAGTAAGTCAAGGTCAGCCTATCACTTCAGTAAGTCAAGGTCAGCCTATCACTTCAGTAAGTCAAGGTCAGCTTATCACTTCAGTAAGTCCAGGTCAGCCTATCACTTCAGTAAGTCAAGGTCAGCTTATCACTTCAGTAAGTCCAGGTCAGCCTATCACTTCAGTAAGTCAAGGTCAGCTTATCACTTCAGTAAGTCCAGGTCAGCCTATCACTTCAGTAAGTCAAGGTCAGCCTATCACTTCAGTAAGTCAAGGTCAGCCTATCACTTCAGTAAGTCAAGGTCAGCTTATCACTTCAGTAAGTCAAGGTCAGCCTATCACTTCAGTAAGTCAAGGTCAGCCTATCACTTCAGTAAGTCAAGGTCAGCCTATCACTTCAGTAAGTCAAGGTCAGCCTATCACTTCAGTAAGTCAAGGTCAGCCTATCACTTCAGTAAGTCAAGGTCAGCTTATCACTTCAGTAAGTCCAGGTCAGCCTATCACTTCAGTAAGTCAAGGTCAGCCTATCACTTCAGTAAGTCCAGGTCAGCCTATCACTTCAGTAAGTCCAGGTCAGCTTATCACTTCAGTAAGTCCAGGTCAGCCTATCACTTCAGTCAGTCAAGGTCAGCCTATCACTTCAGTAAGTCAAGGTCAGCTTATCACTTCAGTAAGTCCAGGTCAGCTTATCACTTCAGTAAGTCCAGGTCAGCCTATCACTTCAGTAAGTCAAGGTCAGCCTATCACTTCAGTAAGTCCAGGTCAGCCTATCACTTCAGTAAGTCAAGGTCAGCTTATCACTTCAGTAAGTCCAGGTCAGCTTATCACTTCAGTAAGTCAAGGTCAGCCTATCACTTCAGTAAGTCCAGGTCAGCCTATCACTTCAGTAAGTCAAGGTCAGCCTATCACTTGAGTAAATGCCTCCATAGATGACATTTGAAGTTGGTCCAGATTTTCTGTTTTCTGCTTTACTTTGTCTGGTCTTTGAGGTCTTTCAAGGTCAGTATTTTATTATGAAAAGTTTCTTCAGTTTCAAACACTTCACTCCAAATGTAAAGATATTTTAGCAAACAAGTATGTTTTATTTTCTAGCAAATGAGACGTTCTGGTAATAAGGAGGAGAATAAAAGAATCATCATGGACCTAGATGTGGTCATCAAAAGCCATGACTGTCCCTATATAGTGCAGTGTGTGGGCACGTTTATTACCAAGGTTTGTCTAACTTATTTGCTTGGTCCAGCTGTAGAAGACATGTTTATTACCAAGGTTTGTCTAACTTATTTGCTTGGTCCAGCTGTAGAAGACATGTTTATTACCAAGGTTTGTCTAACTTATTTGCTTGGTCCAGCTGTAGAAGACATGTTTATTACCAAGGTTTGTCTAACTTATTTGCTTGGTCCAGCTGTAGAAGACATGTTTATTACCAAGGTTTGTCTAACTTATTTGCTTGGTCCAGCTGTAGAAGACATGTTTATTACCAAGGTTTGTCTAACTTATTTGCTTGGTCCAGCTGTAGAAGACATGTTTATTACCAAGGTTTGTCTAACTTATTTGCTTGGTCCAGCTGTAGAAGACATGTTTATTACCAAGGTTTGTCTAACTTTTTTGCTTGGTCCAGCTGTAGAAGACATGTTTACCACCTTGATAGTTGAGTTTGTAGGACAGCACAGAACCCTTGATAGTCTTCACTTGGTAGGCTTGAGTTTGTAGGACATCACACAACCTACCTACCTTGATAGTCTTCACTTGGTAGGCTTGAGTTTGTAGGACATCACACAACCTACCTACCTTGATAGTCTTCACTTGGTAGGCTTGAGTTTGTAGGACATCACACAACCTACCTACCTTGATAGTCTTCACTTGGTAGGCTTGAGTTTGTAGGACATCACACAACCTACCTACCTTGATAGTCTTCACTTGGTAGGCTTGAGTTTGTAGGACATCACACAACCTACCTACCTTGATAGTCTTCACTTGGTAGGCTTGAGTTTGTAGGACATCACACAACCTACCTACCTTGATAGTCTTCACTTGGTAGGCTTGAGTTTGTAGGACATCACACAACCTACCTACCTTGATAGTCTTCACTTTGTAGGCTTGAGTTTGTAGGACATCACACAACCTACCTACCTTGATAGTCTTCACTTTGTAGGCTTGAGTTTGTAGGACATCACACAACCTACCTACCTTGATAGTCTTCACTTGGTAGGCTTGAGTTTGTAGGACATCACAGAACCTACCTACCTTGATAGTCTTCACTTTGTAGGCTTGAGTTTGTAGGACATCACACAACCTACCTACCTTGATAGTCTTCACTTTGTAGGCTTGAGTTTGTAGGACATCACACAACCTACCTACCTTGATAGTCTTCACTTGGTAGGCTTGAGTTTGTAGGACATCACACAACCTACCTACCTTGATAGTCTTCACTTGGTAGGCTTGAGTTTGTAGGACATCACACAACCTACCTACCTTGATAGTCTTCACTTGGTAGGCTTGAGTTTGTAGGACATCACAGAACCTACCTACCTTGATAGTCTTCACTTTGTAGGCTTGAGTTTGTAGGACATCACACAACCTACCTACCTTGATAGTCTTCACTTGGTAGGCTTGAGTTTGTAGGACATCACACAACCTACCTACCTTGATAGTCTTCACTTGGTAGGCTTGAGTTTGTAGGACATCACACAACCTACCTACCTTGATAGTCTTCACTTTGTAGGCTTGAGTTTGTAGGACATCACAGAACCCTTGATAGTCTTCACTTTGTAGGCTTGAGTTTGTAGGACATCACAGAACCCTTGATAGTCTTCACTTGGTAGGCTTGAGTTTGTAGGACATCACACAACCTACCTACCTTGATAGTCTTCACTTGGTAGGCTTGAGTTTGTAGGACATCACACAACCTACCTACCTTGATAGTCTTCACTTTGTAGGCTTGAGTTTGTAGGACATCACAGAACCTACCTACCTTGATAGTCTTCACTTGGTAGGCTTGAGTTTGTAGGACATCACACAACCTACCTACCTTGATAGTCTTCACTTGGTAGGCTTGAGTTCTTAGGACATCACACAACCTACCTACCTTGATAGTCTTCACTTGGTAGGCTTGAGTTTGTAGGACATCACACAACCTACCCATTTCTGATTGGTGCCTGATTCAACTTAGGGAAAGCTAAAGTGACTGCCTTTTTTAAATTACCTTAAATTAAGTGATAAAATAGAATTCCCTTTTAGTGTATAATTAGTTATTTCCATTAACATTCTGTTATTTAGAAAACTGAGCCAATTGTTATAAATTTTATCAAGTGTTTTGACTAGGCTACTTTGTTAGTGCTGACTTGCAGAGATGACAACATAAGTTGTTTTTTGTGTAAAAAATCAAGGGTGGTTAGCAGGATGGTCGTGATGTGTTTTGGGAGTGGCAGGATGGTTGGGGTGGCATAGTGCAGTAGAGAGTTTTTTAACTGGGAATTGTACAGTCCAGTTGTTTTTAAAAAGTTTTTTACAATATCTAAATACTAAAAAGAAAAAAAAAATCTTGTATAAACACTTATAATCATATGGTTTTTAATTTGAATACACTAAAAATTAGAAAATCATAAATTTGTATAGCTATAGTACTAAAAAAAGAAATGCATTGGTTTTATGATCTATTAAAAATATTTTAGAGTGACCAAATGTTTTTTAAAAGCTTGTTATTATAAAGGTTTAATTCTGATTTAAAGATGACATAACATTGTTTGTAAGCTACAACCCACTTGCATCAACCTATGCAAGGATATTTAAACATTTCAGAGTGAAGTGTGGATCTGTATGGAGCTCATGTACACTTGTTTAGACAAATTGTTGAAAAGGACACATCGCCCAGTGCCAGAAAAAATATTAGGCAAAATCACTGTAGCTGTAAGTAGCACAGGTTATGTTGGGTGGGGCATTTGGTCATTTATTTAGGTGGGTAACTTGGTCATTTGTTTAGGTGGGTAACTTGGTCATTTGTTTATGTGGGTAACTTGGTCATTTGTTTAGGTGGGTAACTTGGTCATTTGTTTATGTGGGTAACTTGGTCATTTGTTTAGGTGGGTAACTTGGTCATTTGTTTAGGTGGGTAACTTGGTCATTTGTTCAGGTGGGTAACTTGGTCATTTGTTTAGGTGGGTAACTTGGTCATTTGTTTATGTGGGTGACTTGGTCATTTATTTAGGTGGGTAACTTGGTCATTTGTTTATGTGAGTAACTTGGTCATTTGTTTAGGTGGGTAACTTGGTCATTTGTTTAGGTGGGTAACTTGGTCATTTGTTTATGTGGGTAACTTGGTCATTTGTTTTGGTGAGACACATGTAAACATTTAATAGTTTCTGCCATTTCTCTAAAGAGAATTTTTTTCTTAAACTGCTGATAGACTGTAAAAGCTCTGAACTACCTAAAAGAAAGACATGGAGTTATACATAGAGGTAAGAAATGTTGCATCTGATAGCTTATTAGAAACCTAGTAGTTTATTGAGAATCTCATCAGTCTTCTTTTTAAGACTCAACTTGGAGGGGGTGAGGGGTTAACAAAAAGGAATCTTGGGGGGGGGGGGGGGTGATTAAATTTAATAAGCAGAGATATTAAATATTTAACAAGTAAAAACTCATTATATCAAGGAGGGGTCTCAAATTGAAACTTTTTTGTGGAAATAATATGTGGCTGATCCATGAAAGAATATGATCAATGTCGTGTAGAATGGATGTAAATGTATTTAGTCAGCAATAGTGTCTGTACACTCTGACAGATGTCAAACCCTCCAACATCCTGTTAGATGAGAAAGGCAATGTCAAACTGTGTGATTTTGGCATCAGTGGGCGACTGGTCGACTCAAAGGCCAAAACAAGAAGTGCTGGATGTGCAGCATACATGGCAGTAAGTTGCTGGTTATACATTTATTAGCTTTGTTTTTTTTGTTTAACCATTAATGTCCCGTAATGCCCGCTGCCGCCCGCTTACAATACGCAAAGAAAAATTAAATTTGTTTCATTAAAATTTGGCCTACAAATCCTAATTTTTAACTAAACAGGAAGTCGGATAGTTTCAGCATCCTTTTCCGGTCTTCTAATTTCATTGGTGCTTTTGAAAGATAAAAAATAATAGTTTCTATCTCGAAATTTTAGACTCATCTGTCCTATTTTTAGTAGATTTAATATTAAAAATAAAATAAAATGATGCATCTAAACGTATCTAGGCATGTAGGCCTATTTTATGAATATCTTAAACATAACCAAATTGATATTTAACTGTTAAATTCGATGCATAGTTGTTTAGACAAAAATAAATAAAGTTGACTACAGAAAATGACCTGTTTTGAATTTTCTCCGACATTTTTTATTTTTATACTGTACTTGTACCGAATATAATATATTCTATTTAATACTGTTGGAAAGCCAGGTTTATTCCCAACATTAAGCAGTAGTTTTTATCTTAATTTTCAATTTCATTTAGACAAAAACAAATATTTTGTGAAACTATTCACTTGATCATACAGAGTTATGCTCCTTACATTGGGCCGTCATGGGTGGAGTTTTGGTAGAATGAATGGGACATTAATGGTTAAAATGTGTCAAAAATGGTCAAACTCCTGTGCATTATAACAATCTCTAATTTTATTTTGTTAGTCTCACCAGAAACTGTGTTGTTATAGTTTCAACGGATACTGTGTTGTTATAGTCTCACTAAATACTGTGTATTATACACTATATTCTCACTAAATGATATATCTTGTTTCAGCCTGAAAGAATTGAGCCCCCTGACCCAAACAAACCAGATTATGACATACGGGCTGATGTGTGGAGTTTAGGAATATCTCTGGTCAGTGGTGGACACTTTTTCTTGCAGCTTTTTATTTGTTACACCTCTGTTCAACTCCGCCTGTAAAAAGTTAATGTCCACCTTAATCTAAAAAGTTGTCATTGTGTAAAAAGTTGTTTTCAAAAAGTTGATATCCTTGTGTAAAAGGTTGATGTCTGTGTAAAAAGTTGATGTCTGTGTAAAAAGTTGATGCCCGTGTAAAAAGTTGATGTCTGTGTAAAAAAGTTGATGTCCAACAAAGATATGACACCTTTATGTGTAAAAAAAAAGTCTGTGTAAAAAAAAGTTGATGCCCCTGTGTAAAAAAGTTTGCCTGTGTGTAAAAAAGTTGATGCCCCTGTGTAAAAAAGTTTGCCTGTGTGTAAAAAAGTTGATGCCCCTGTGTAAAAAAGTTTGTGTGTAAAAAAGTTTGCCTGTGTGTAAAAAAGTTGATGCCCCTGTGTAAAAAAGTTTGCCTGTGTGTAAAAAAGTTGATGCCCCTGTGTAAAAAAGTTTGCCTGTGTGTAAAAAAGTTGATGCCCCTGTGTAAAAACTTGATGTCCCACCTCTATGTTGTACGTGATGTGTAAAAGAAAAAGATAATGTCCAGTTAACCTTCCTCAGGTTGAGCTGGCCACTGGTGAGTTTCCCTACAAAAACTGTAAAACAGATTTTGAAGTGTTGACCAAAGTCTTACAGGAAGACCCACCTCAACTGGGGAGAGAGTTTTCTATGGATCTCAGGTCTTTTGTTAAAGATTGGTAAGGCTATCTTTTCAAACATGTAGATAAATATTTGCTTTTCAATCAGCAATCAAAATGCACACTAAAACAAAGATTAAATGAAAACACTTAAATTTTCAGTTTAACAAAAGATTGTAAGAGAAGACCCAAGTATAGGAAACTGCTGGTAAGTTTTAATTTACATACAATGTCCACTGATTTGATACATTTTAAATAAAAAATTGTTTATCCTTAGAAATGTTTTAACATTAAGACCATGCTTATTTGTTTGATGCTGGCTTTGTGCAGGAACATGCACTGATCAAGAGATCTGAAGCAGAAGTTGTTGATATTGCTGCCTGGGTGTTTGAGATGTCTCAAATCATGGAGATGAATAGACCTTCATGACAGGTGAGTGTCTTAGGACCTTCATGACAGGTGAGTGTCTTAAGGCCTTCATGACAGGTGAGTGTCTTAAGGCCTTCATGACAGGTGAGTGTCTTAAGGCCTTCATGACAGGTGAGTGTCTTAAGGCCTTCATGACAGGTGAGTGTCTTAAGGCCTTCATGACAGGTGAGTGTCTTAAGGCCTTCATGACAGGTGAGTGTCTTAAGGCCTTCATGACAGGTGAGTGTCTTAAGGCCTTCATGACAGGTGAGTGTCTTAAGGCCTTCATGACAGGTGAGTGTCTTAAGGCCTTCATGACAGGTGAGTGTCTTAAGGCCTTCATGACAGGTGAGTGTCTTAAGGCCTTCATGACAGGTGAGTGTCTTAAGACCTTCATGACAGGTGAGTGTCTTAAGGCCTTCATGACAGGTGAGTGTCTTAAGGCCTTCATGACAGGTGAGTGTCTTAAGGCCTTCATGACAGGTGAGTGTCTTAAGGCCTTCATGACAGGTGAGTGTCTTAAGACCTTCATGACAGGTGAGTGTCTTAAGGCCTTCATGACAGGTGAGTGTCTTAAGGCCTTCATGACAGGTGAGTGTCTTAAGGCCTTCATGACAGGTGAGTGTCTTAAGGCCTTCATGACAGGTGAGTGTCTTAAGGCCTTCATGACAGGTGAGTGTCTTAAGGCCTTCATGACAGGTGAGTGTCTTAAGGCCTTCATGACAGGTGAGTGTCTTAAGGCCTTCATGACAGGTGAGTGTCTTAAGGCCTTCATGACAGGTGAGTGTCTTAAGGCCTTCATGACAGGTGAGTGTCTTAAGGCCTTCATGACAGGTGAGTGTCTTAAGGCCTTCATGACAGGTGAGTGTCTTAAGGCCTTCATGACAGGTGAGTGTCTTAAGGCCTTCATGACAGGTGAGTGTCTTAAGGCCTTCATGACAGGTGAGTGTCTTAAGGCCTTCATGACAGGTGAGTGTCTTAAGGCCTTCATGACAGGTGAGTGTCTTAAGGCCTTCATGACAGGTGAGTGTCTTAAGGCCTTCATGACAGGTGAGTGTCTTAAGGCCTTCATGACAGGTGAGTGTCTTAAGACCTTCATGACAGGTGAGTGTCTTAAGGCCTTCATGACAGGTGAGTGTCTTAAGGCCTTCATGACAGGTGAGTGTCTTAAGGCCTTCATGACAGGTGAGTGTCTTAAGGCCTTCATGACAGGTGAGTGTCTTAAGGCCTTCATGACAGGTGAGTGTCTTAAGGCCTTCATGACAGGTGAGTGTCTTAAGGCCTTCATGACAGGTGAGTGTCTTAAGGCCTTCATGACAGGTGAGTGTCTTAAGGCCTTCATGACAGGTGAGTGTCTTAAGGCCCAAACAGTCAAGTATATCTAGACTGTGTGCATAATTTCTCTAAAAGACTTGATGTCCATAGCTGCTCTAAATATACCTAATCTTAATCTGTGTTCATAATGTCCATAGCTGCTCTAAATCTACTGTTGTTGTTCCCCATATAATGTCCATAGCTGCTCTAAATCTACTGTTGTTGTTCCCCATATAATGTCCATAGCTGCACTAAATCTACTGTTGTTGTTCCCTACAGAGTGATGTGGTTATCCCCCATATAATGTCCATAGCTGCACTAAATCTACTGTTGTTGTTCCCCATATAATGTCCATATCTGCACTAAATCTACTGTTGTTGTTCCCTACAGAGTGATGTTGTTGTTCCCCATATAATGTCCATAGCTGCACTAAATTTACTGTTGTTGTTCCCCATATAATGTCCATAGCTGCACTAAATTTACTCGCTGTTGTTCCCCATATAATGTCCATAGCTGCACTAAATCTACTGTTGTTGTTCCCCATATAATGTCCATAGCTGCACTAAATCTACTGTTGTTGTTCCCCATATAATGTCCATAGCTGCACTAAATTTACTGTTGTTGTCCCCCATATAATGTCCATAGCTGCACTAAATCTACTGTTGTTGTTCCCCATATAATGTCCATAGCTGCACTAAATCTACTGTTGTTGTTCCCCATATAATGTCCATAGCTGCACTAAATCTACTCTTGTTGTTCCCCATATAATGTCCATAGCTGCACTAAATCTACTGTTGTTGTTCCCCATATAATGTCCATAGCTGCACTAAATCTACTGTTGTTGTTCCCCATATAATGTCCATAGCTGCACTAAATCTACTCTTGTTGTTCCCCATATAATGTCCATAGCTGCACTAAATCTACTGTTGTTGTTCCCCATATAATGTCCATAGCTGCACTAAATCTACTGTTGTTGTTCCCCATATAATGTCCATAGCTGCTCTTAATCTACTGTTGTTGTTCCCCATATAATGTCCATAGCTGCACTAAATCTACTGTTGTTGTTCCCCATATAATGTCCATAGCTGCTCTTAATCTACTGTTGTTGTTCCCTACAGAGTGATGTGGTTGTTCCCCTGAACTGTGCTGACCTGACAGAAGAAGCAAGATTGGACTGGTCACTTGGCTGGTCAGTCTGTCAGTTGGCTGGTCCTACTGTAAGAGATGCTACACAAGACTAGCAACACAAGCAAACAGAGAGCAGGTTACACTGGTCAGTACATGACTCCGGCCAGGTCCAGTTCTCATCAACCTCCGTCTTGATCTGGGTATATTCTATTAGTCTGCTCCTTACAGCTGGCCTCTAGTACACTGGGCTGTATACAGTGTGCTCATTCTATTTGGATACTTTTATTTGATACCTGTTTGTGGATGGAGAAAATCTCTTTCAAACTTAGGCTTGGTCATTGATCAAAGTGTTTTGTGGCTAGGATTCTCTAGGTGTTCTCCCACCTGACATTGCTGGAAGGCCAGGAAGTTTAACCCCATCTTTTTTACATGAGCTGTTGTATCCAGATACATTTTGTGACATTTTCTATGACTGATGCTTGTGGACAAGCAGAATACATTTTTGTAGATGAGTTACTCAGCCTTAGCCCTGGGTTTGTTTACAGTGGGCCAACTGTGTGGGGGACTGTATATGCTGACTCTTGTTTTATCTGAATACTTGGGATTGTCAGCGCGGGATGGTACAACTAGGTTGATAGCTTGGTGCCAGGGATGGTACAACTAGGTTGATAGCTTGGTGCCAGGGATGGTACAACTAGGTTGATAGCTTGGTGCCAGGGATGGTACAACTAGGTTGATAGCTTGGTGCCAGGGATGGTACAACTAGGTTGATAGCTTGGTGCCAGGGATGGTACAACTAGGTTGATAGCTTGGTGCCAGGGATGGTACAACTAGGTTCATAGCTTGGTGCCAGGGATGGTACAACTAGGTTGATAGCTTGGTGCCAGGGATGGTACAACTAGGTTGATAGCTTGGTGCCAGGGATGGTACAACTAGGTTCATAGCTTGGTGCCAGGGATGGTACAACTAGGTTGATAGCTTATTCAACTGCAACTGTCATTTGTGTGGGGCTTTCTGGATGATAGTGTTTTTCTTTTAGCTTCAGGGAAGAAGGTGTGAGCCTTTTGTGTGTGCATAATGTCAAGTTTTACTTGTGCATGAAGGCCTCTATGGCAAGTAAATTGAATATAAGCTAATTTGTAGTAGAAATATAGCTGAGGTGAGGCCTGTTGAGTGAGTTATGTTAGGTCAAAGTTTTGCTGTCAGCCCTCATTGAGTGGATTTATTATTTGTTGGTGCAGATCCACATGGCTCCACTATTTGTGAGCCACTTAGTCTAAGGTGCTAATGTATTACTAAGTGCTTTAAAGTACCACCTTTATTGTTGACCTGACCCACTTTGCTATGTCTACATTAGCTTGACCCATCAGGTCACTTTGCTATGTCTACATTAGCTTGACCCATCAGGTCACTTTGCTATGTCTACATTAGCTTGACCCATCAGGTCACTTTGCTATGTCTACATTAGCTTGACCCATCAGGTCACTTTGCTATGTCTACATGCTTTGAATGGGACGGTTGGGTTGAGTTCTATTTAACATCTTTTGGCTAAAATAATGACATATTCCATAATTGCCTACATATTTTTGGCTGTTATACCCAAATGTATTGAAGTATGAAATCTCTTTTCTGCCTGTTGTAATTAAACATTTTCATGAGTCTGACTTAGACCTGCAATTGTATTGAGTGTGTGTGTTCTATGAGCAAATCTGTTCAACATAAAACCCAGGTTTCACCAGATAGCCTTGTCAACATTCAAAACCAATTTAATTTGTATCACAACTGTAACATGGTTCAATGTAAATTGATTACATTCTAGGTGAACTACAGAAATGTATTACATATTTGAGAAGATCACATATTGAATGAGAAACCACTAGGCAGTAGTTGGCTGTGATGACCTCCCTTGGAAGAAAAATCTTTGATGACCTCCCCTGGACCTATTCCGACAACACTGTGGTCCTCACCAACACCTCAGTGACAGAGTAGGGATCACAGTTAGAAGATGGTCTCCTGTCTTCCAGGTAGCCGCACCTGTCTTCTGCCACCTGCAACAATCAACTCAGGTAACTTAGGAGAGTAAGAACAGTGGGACTTTTCAAATGGTAACTACATGGTTGGTGTGGTGTGGAGTCAGGAAACATACATGCAGGACATCCCACCCTTCTCATATAGGTGTCTCGTGTTAAAGAAAATAAAGGCAGTTGTGAGGTCAAGAAACAGGAATTCTACTTCATTTACCCAATGTATCTCCGAAGGTCTAAAGGGAAACTGCTTTATACACACATGAAGGGTATACATGAAAAAAAATTGTGAAAATGACCAGTGTGACATAATTGTGATAAGTGTTTACTAACACCTGTATGTTGCAAACTTTGTCTCACCTGTCGTGGTATGCGTATACTGGCCCCACGATTGGCAACACCAGCAGAGAAGTCGTGGATACTGGAGGTCTCATGGCGCCCAGTCAGGCGCCGCTCGTTATCTTTGCCTTCTCTGGGGTCGTAGGCTTTGATATGTCTGACATGGTGCTTGGACAATTTCTCAATCGCCTCTTCAATGGCCCTGGAAAACAAACAGAACACCTCAGATACTGGGAAACTAGAGAGAATTTGTAGTACAAAGTAAGGATAGACATGTGTATCAGGACTAAGTAGACAACTACAGATGGTAAAGTTGTCCAGCTTAGTGCTGACTTGAGTTATTCATGCCACTAGGCTGCCTCATTTCACGGCTCATATAACTACGCCCTGAGAGTTAGTCCTATAAGTCATAGGACTAACTGTAGGAACTCTCTCATGACTTATGAGAGAGGTCCTACTGTGTATCCAAGTCCTGAGAGAGGTCCTACAGTTAGTCCTATAAGTCCTGAAAGAGGTCCTACAGTTAGTCCTATAAGTCCTGAGAGAGGTCCTACAGTTAGTCCTATAAGTCCTGAGAGAGGTCCTACAGTTTGTCCTATAAGTCCTAAGAGAGGTCCTACAGTTAGTCCTATAAGTCCTGAGAGAGGTGCTACACTCACTTGATGCCATTTGGCTGCCGCATGTCATGTGTGCTATAGTTGCAATGAGCACCTGCACCATTCCAGTCACCTTCCATAGGCTTGGGGTCAAGGGTGACAATCACACCAAAGTCTTCAGCAACTCTGTGTAGGATGTAGCGGGCTATCCACAGGTGGTCTCCCATGTCTATTCCTTCACTAGGTCCAATTTGGAACTCCCACTTAATGGGATACATTTTGAAAATATTCACATCCATTTTCATACAAGTGTGACATTTAAGAAATATTGACGTAAATTATTTCACTAATGTAACACCATTGATATAGTAAAATAATTGTTGCTGTTTGGCTCTGTCTCCAGTGCTTTAAATTTAAAAACAAATCTCAGAGATAAATTTTGTAGGTAAACTGGCCAGATAAAAATCTCAAATGTGTGCCAATAGGAGATGTGTAGATAAATACCACTTGAACACAGTGTCAATAGGAGATGTGTAGATAAATACCACTTGAACACAAGTTAGAGTGGTGTTGGGTGGAGAAGGTTTTGGTCTCTGTTGGACAGCATTAGTGAGGAACTCACTAGGAAGGAGCAGGTGGGAGAAATCAAAACTCTTCTTAAAACAATAATAATCCCACCTATTGCAGTACACACATATTGTAATCAAAGGTTGTTTTTTTTTGGTGCTAAATCATTTCAAAAGATTGACACATAAAGCACCATGTTTGTCTACCTGTGCTGGACACATAAAGCACCATGTTTGTCTACCTGTGCTGGACACATAAAGCACCATGTTTGTCTACCTGTGCTGGACACATAAAGCACCATGTTTGTCTACCTGTGCTGGACACATAAAGCACCATGTTTGTCTACCTGTGCTGGACACATAAAGCACCATGTTTGTCTACCTGTGCTGGACACATAAAGCACCATGTTTGTCTACCTGTGCTGGACACATAAAGCACCATGTTTGTCTACCTGTGCTGGACACATAAAGCACCATGTTTGTCTACCTGTGCTGGACACATAAAGCACCATGTTTGTCTACCTGTGCTGGACACATAAAGCACCATGTTTGTCTACCTGTGCTGGACACATAAAGCACCATGTTTGTCTACCTGTGCTGGACACATAAAGCACCATGTTTGTCTACCTGTGCAGGCATGGTCTCAGCGTTACATCCACTGATCTTGACCCCAGCATACAGACACGCCCTGTAGTGGGCCTCAACCACATCCCTGCCGTAGACTTTATTAGCTCCTACCCCACAGTAGTAGGGCCCTGAGGAGGGGAAGATGGGGAAAATATTCATTAAAGAATCAAGGAAATGCCATACAGACAACTTAGGGGGAAGAAATGTTAAGACTGGCGTCACAGACTGAAGTGTCACATTGATGTGTCACAGACTGATGTGTCACAGACTGAAGTGTCACAGACTGAAGTGTCACATTGATGTGTCACAGACTGTGTCCCAGAACTATCCACACACTAATGTGTCTGACTAGCTAGTGTTGCCTGACGGGAGAACAGCTCAACTTGCTAATGACAAGATGCTGAAGAATTAATAATAGATTTCAAACACCAGTCGTCTTCTCGCGAGCCCATGTCGATAGCAGCGTGTGGAAATATTGATAGGATATTTGCAAGTCAGATAGATGTTGAATAGAAATGTTGGGGGTGTGGGCCAATACAACTTAAGTTGATGGGTTTTCTAAAGAGAACAATACAATCTCCTATTACCTTGGCTGTGTACTAAACTATTTTTTTATACTGCTCTGGTGTTTGAGTCAGCGTTTTTTTTTTGGTACAACTGGATATTGTGGTTATCATATTGTTGGTACAGTGGGGGGGGGGGGGGGTAATTATAAATTGCAAAAGTGGCGCCCGCTGTCAGTCAAACAAAAAGTTTGTAGTGACGTCACAGCACAGCGTGATCTACATAAAGTTGCTTCACATCACAGTCCATTGGTCCTTGCAGTCTACTTGCTTTTGTTTTTTAGTTTCTAGTTCCATTTATCGTCGCGTCCTATCTCCCCCCCCCCCCCCCCCACTCGAGAACGGCGTATTACTATGTATGTCAAACGGCCGGGAAAAAACGCCACGTCGCCCAAATATAAAAACTTTTTATTTCATATTTTCTAGGGCTTAAAGTGGTACGTCACCTGTGCATGTTTGAATCCCCATAAAAAAATATTGCCCGTCGCTAACCAAGAAATCTTCGGGGGGGGGGGGGGGGGGTGGCGGCGGACACTAGTAAAAATGTATGTTATTATATAAAATCCATCTCGTTCGGGGGGGGGGGGGGGCGGTGGAAGAGATGCCGGGAAGAAACTCTGCTATCAAAAGAAGAACCAACACTATAAACTATAAGTAAGCTACATCGATGCAGAAAGGTAAATTTAGCAAATGCCAAGTTATAAATAGAATGTGTAACCTTCATGTTGTAATGGGTTGTGATCAATAAGTGTGTGTTTGTCAGCACAGGACCCCCCCCCCCCCCCACACACACACGCAAGCACAGTAGCAAGCTACTCATACAAAAAAAAAAAGAAAACATGAAACAATAACTTGATGGAAACAGCGATGTCGTGTTACAATTTTTGCGCATGCGCACAGGGCGACAACACAAACAAAACGTTGTAGGCCTAGTAAGATAATATACACATTACAAATTGTGTCACAGCCGTGTTGATTAAACGTGTTAGTTGGGGAGGGGGGGGGGGGTCACAAATATAGGTCGCCGGTTATGTTGTTCCAGTACAAAAGTACATTCGTTCTTTTGTCCCAATACATTGATAGGTCAGAGGTCATATTTAAGTTTGACAATCACTTCGGGTTTCTACTTTCTAGTTTGCAAACCAAACGTTTTTTTCAGCCAAATAAATACCGTCTCTGTACATGGGTCTCTGTACATGGGTCTCTGTACATGGGTCTCTGTACATGGGTCTCTGTACATGGGTCGGATATTTTTTCGGGTGGGTGGTGGAGATTGACCAGAAAGTTGCGCAACGGAAAAATACGCGCACACAAAAGCGCAAAGAGAAAAAAACGCAAACAGAAATTTGCGCACACAACATTCACATAAGATCACACTAAATTATTCACCTACAACATTCACATAAGATCACACTTAATTATTCATATACAACATTCACATAAGATCACACTAAATTATTCACATACAACATTCACATGAGATCACACTGAATTATTCACCTACAACATTCACATAAGATCACACTGAATTATTCATATACAACATTCACATAAGATCACACTAAATTATTCACATACAACATTCACATGAGATCACACTGAATTATTCACATACAACATTCACATAAGATCACACTGAATTATTCACACACAACATTCACATAAGATCACACTGAATTATTCATATACAACATTCACATAAGATCACACTAAATTATTCACATACAACATTAACATAAGATCACACTGAATTATTCATATACAACATTCACATGAGATCACACTGAATTATTCACATACAACATTCACATAAGATCACACTGAATTATTCATATACAACATTCACATAAGATCACACTGAATTATGCATATACAACATTCACATGAGATCACACTGAATTATTCACACACAACATTCACATAAGATCACACAAAATTATTCATATACAACATTCACATAAGATCACACTAAATTATTCACATACAACATTCACATAAGATCACACTAAATTATTCACATATAACATTCACATAAGATCACTCTGAATTATTCACATACAACATTCACATAAGATCACTCTGAATTATTCACATACAACATTCACATAAGATCACACTGAATTATTCATATAAAACATTCACATAAGATCACACTGAATTATTCATATACAACATTCACATAAGATCACACTAAATTATTCACATACAACATTCACATAAGATCACACTAAATTATTCACATACAACATTCACATAAGATCACTCTGAATTATTCACATACAACATTCACATAAGATCACACTGAATTATTCATATACAACATTCACATAAGATCACACTGAATTATTCATATACAACATTCACATGAGATCACACTAAATTATTCATATACAACATTCACATGAGATCACACTGAACTATTCATATACAACATTCACATAAGATCACACTGAATTATTCACCTACAACATTCACATAAGATTACACTGAATTATTCATATACAACATTCACATAAGATCACACTAAATTATTCACATACAACATTCACATGAGATCACACTGAATTATTCACATACAACATTCACATAAGATCACACTGAATTATTCATATACAACATTCACATAAGATCACACTAAATTATTCACATACAACATTCACATAAGATCACACTGAATTATTCATATACAACATTTACATGAGATCACACTGAATTATTCACATACAACATTCACATAAGATCACACTGAATTATTCATATACAACATTCACATAAGATCACACTGAATTATGCATATACAACATTCACATGAGATCACACTGAATTATTCACACACAACATTCACATAAGATCACACAAAATTATTCATATACAACATTCACATAAGATCACACTAAATTATTCACATACAACATTCACATAAGATCACACTAAATTATTCACATATAACATTCACATAAGATCACTCTGAATTATTCACATACAACATTCACATAAGATCACTCTGAATTATTCACATACAACATTCACATAAGATCACACTGAATTATTCATATAAAACATTCACATAAGATCACACTGAATTATTCATATACAACATTCACATAAGATCACACTAAATTATTCACATACAACATTCACATAAGATCACACTAAATTATTCACATACAACATTCACATAAGATCACTCTGAATTATTCACATACAACATTCACATAAGATCACACTGAATTATTCATATACAACATTCACATAAGATCACACTGAATTATTCATATACAACATTCACATGAGATCACACTAAATTATTCATATACAACATTCACATGAGATCACACTGAACTATTCATATACAACATTCACATAAGATCACACTGAATTATTCACCTACAACATTCACATAAGATTACACTGAATTATTCATATACAACATTCACATAAGATCACACTAAATTATTCACATACAACATTCACATGAGATCACACTGAATTATTCACATACAACATTCACATAAGATCACACTGAATTATTCATATACAACATTCACATAAGATCACACTAAATTATTCACATACAACATTCACATAAGATCACACTGAATTATTCATATACAACATTTACATGAGATCACACTGAATTATTCACATACAACATTCACATAAGATCACACTGTTTAATCATATACAACATTCACATATGGGCCTGCATAAGTTTGGTGTAGGCACTTACATTGTCAGTGCCTAGATTCTATTTTGGCTTTGATAAATTTGAAAACAATTTGAAAAAAAAAAATGGTGTTTTAAAAGTGTGGTTTTATTTCTGTGTATTCACTGATCCAATTGCGTTTTAAAAGTGTGGTTTTATTTCTGTGTATTCACTGATCCAAGTTTTTTAATAGTGTGGTTTTATTTCTGTGTATTCACTGATCCAAGTTTTTTAATAGTGTGGTTTTATTTCTGTGTATTCACTGATCCAAGTTTTTTAATAGTGTGGTTTTATTTCTGTGTATTCACTGATCCAAGTTTTTTAATAGTGTGGTTTTATTTCTGTGTATTCACTGATCCAAGTTTTTTAATAGTGTGGTTTTATTTCTGTGTATTCACTGATCCAAGTTTTTTAAAAGTGTGATTTTATTTCTGTGTATTCACTGATCCAAGTTTTTTAATACTGTGATTTTATTTCTGTGTATTCACTGATCCAAGTTTTTTAATAGTGTGGTTTTATTTCTGTGTATTCACTGATCCAAGTTTTTTAAAAGTGTGATTTTATTTCTGTGTATTCACTGATCCAAGTTTTTTAATACTGTGATTTTATTTCTGTGTATTCACTGATCCAAGTTTTTTAATAGTGTGGTTTTATTTCTGTGTATTCACTGATCCAAGTTTTTTAATACTGTGATTTTATTTCTGTGTATTCACTGATCCAAGTTTTTTAATAGTGTGGTTTTATTTCTGTGTATTCACTGATCCAAGTTTTTTAATAGTGTGGTTTTATTTCTGTGTATTCACTGATCCAAGTTTTTTAGTGCTGCATGATAAGGTCAACTAGTGTTGAGATGTGATAAGGGGAGATAAGCAGACAGATAGTGGCTCTTTCATTGGGGCTTGGGTGCACTTGATATAACATTCAATGCTTCTGGCGTCCACTTCAGCTTGTATTACCAGAAGCATTAAATTCATTTCACTGCCATATTTTAGCACAAGTCACACAAACTATTAAGTCAATGCTATTTGTGTTAGTGAAAATAATGGGTTAGGAAAGTTTTAAAAAATTTCTTCAGGCTAAAAAGATGATTCAAAATAAAATAGCACCAATGTCCACTGACCTTGTGGTCCAGGGAAGCCATTCTTGGGCCAGCCAAAAGGATGACCATCATAGTCCAACAGTGTGTACTCCTGCTCAATGCCAAACCAGGGGTGGGCGTGGGCTGCCTGTTTCATCACTTCATTGCAAGTCTTCCTGCGGTTGGTTTCTGCTCAACAGAATCATCAGAATCATTAGCTACACACATTGTCTTATATTTGATGTAGATTTAAAATCATCAGAATCATTAGCTACACACATTGTCTTATATTTCATGTAGATTTAAAATTATCAGACCATTGTCAACTAAACACATTGTCTTATATTTGATGTAGATTTAAAATTATCAGAATCATTAGCTAAACACATTGTCTTATATTTGATGTAGATTTAAAATCATCAGAATCATTAGCTAAACACATTGTCTTATATTTGATGTAGATTTAAAATTATCAGACCATTGTCAACTAAACACATTGTCTTATATTTGATGTAGATTTAAAATCATCAGAATCATTAGCTACACACATTGTCTTATATTTGATGTAGATTTAAAATCATTAGAATCATTAGCTACACACATTGTTTTATATTTGATGGAGATTTAAAATCATCAGACCATTGTCAACTAAACACATTGTCTTATATTTCTGGTAGATTGAAATGTCCCCCAACCATTGTCAACAGTTTTCTACCCTGTAGATTGAAATGTCCCCCTACCATTGTCAAGCAAACAGTTATCTACCCTGTAGATTGAAATGTCCCCCAACCATTAACCAAACAGTTATCTACCCTGTAGATTGAAATGTCCCCCAACCATTAACCAAACAGTTATCTACCCTGTAGATTGAAATGTCCCCCTACCATTAACCAAAAAGTTATCTACCCTGTAGATTGAAATGTCCCCCTACCATTAACCAAACAGTTATCTACCCTGTAGATTGAAATGTCCCCCTACCATTGTCAACAGTTATCTACCCTGTAGATTGAAATGTCCCCCTACCATTAACCAAACAGTTATCTACCCTGTAGATTGAAATGTCCCCCTACCATTGTCAACAGTTATCTACCATGTAGATTGAAATGTCCCCCTACCATTGTCAACAGTTATCTACCCTGTAGATTGAAATGTCCCCCTACCATTAACCAAACAGTTATCTACCCTGTAGATTGAAATGTCCCCCTACCATTGTCAAGCCAACAGTTATCTACCCTGTAGATTGAAATGTCCCCCTACCATTGTCAACAGTTATCTACCCTGTAGATTGAAATGTCCCCCTACCATTGTCAACAGTTATCTACCCTGTAGATTGAAATGTCCCCCTACCATTGTCAACAGTTATCTACCCTGTAGATTGAAATGTCCCCCTACCATTGTCAAGCCAACAGTTATCTACCCTGTAGATTGAAATGTCCCCCTACCATTATCTACAGTTATCTACCCTGTAGATTGAAATGTCCCCTACCTGCAGGCTTCTTGTTGTATTTGTAGACCTCACACAAGACCAACTTATTTTTGCCCCCCCTGAAGGGGTCCCTGAATATAGCACATGGGTACAGGTACATGTCTGAGTTGGAGCCCTCGGCTTGGTAAGTGCTAGAACCATCAAAGTTCCAAATGGGGCAGTCTGTGGACGCAGCGATAGAACAAATTATGGGATCAGTTCAAAATTTACAGAACAAATTATGGGATCAGTTCAACATTTATAGAACAAATTATGGGATCAGTTCAACATTTATAGAACAAAGTCATGGGATCAATTCAACATTTATAGAACAAATTATGGGATCAATTCAACATTTATAGAACAAAGTCATTGGATCAGTTCAACATTTATAGAACAAATTAAGGGATCAGTTCAGCATTTATAGAACAAATTATGGGATCAGTTCAACATTTATAGAACAAATTATGGGATCAATTCAACATTTATAGAACAAATTATGGGATCAATTCAACATTTATAGAACAAAGTCATTGGATCAGTTCAACATTTATAGAACAAATTATGGGATCAGTTCAGCATTTATAGAACAAAGTCATGGGATCAATTCAACATTTATAGAACAAATTATGGGATCAGTTCAGCATTTATAGAACAAAATATGGGATCAATTCAACATTTATAGAACAAAATATGGGATCAGTTCAACATTTATAGAACAAAATATGGGATCAGTTCAACATTTATAGAACAAATTATTTGATCAACTCAACATATTTATAGAACAAATTATTGGATCAGTTCAACATTTATAGAACAAAGTCATGGGATCAATTTAACATTTATAGAACAAAGACATGGGATCAATTCAACATTTATAGAACAAATTATGGGATCAATTCAACATTTATAGAACAAATTATGGGATCAATTCAACATTTATAGAACAAATTATGGGATCAATTGAACATTTATAGAACAAATTATTGGATCAATTCAACATTTAGAGAACAAATTATGGTATAAATAGAACATATAGAGAACAAAGTCATGGGATCAATTTAATTTCAATATTTAAATATAACAATGTTCCTTTATGAATTTTAATAAGGTAAAATCAACAGAACAAAGTCATTTTATAAAATGAACTTATATATTAAAGCCATGTCCTCACTTGACAACTGAAATCTAGAAAGAAAAAAATGGTTTCACTAATAGTCAGTTGTTAAAACTAGACCGGTATTGTTGAATAATACGCAAAAGTAACCATGTTAAGCATATATTTCTGAAATGACCATGAAAAAATGGTATTACTGTAATATTTATTACCATGACAACGGTTTAAAAAAGTAGGTCAAGTGACAGGCTAGAAAAAGTGATGACATTGCTTTTTTTATGCCAACCCTGATGTGCCACATTGGCCTAGATTTTCTACAGTCTGTCCTGTGATGCTGGGAAAACTCTAGAGATGAGTTGACTTACCATCTGGTTTCTGGACTTACCATCTGGTTTCTGGACTTACCATCTGGTTTCTGGACTTACCATCTGGTTTCTGGACTTACCATCTGGTTTCTGGACTTACCATCTGGTTTCTGGACTTACCATCTGGTTTCTGGACTTACCATCTGGTTTCTGGACTTACCATCTGGTTTCTGGACTTACCATCTGGTTTCTGGACTTACCATCTGGTTTCTGGACTTACCATCTGGTTTCTGGACTTACCATCTGGTTTCTGGACTTACCATCTGGTTTCTGGACTTACCATCTGGTTTCTGGACTTACCATCTGGTTTCTGGACTTACCATCTGGTTTCTGGACTTACCATCTGGTTTCTGGACTTACCATCTGGTTTCTGGACTTACCATCTGGTTTCTGGACTTACCATCTGGTTTCTGGACTTACCATCTGGTTTCTGGACTTACCATCTGGTTTCTGGGGCTCACTGTCCAGAGTACGACATTTGCTGCGTATGCTCTCACCCGTACCATCTATCCACACATACTCGGCCATGATCTGAAATATTCAGAAATCTTAACAATGTTTTTTTTTTACAAATACCATTATTTCTTAACTGACTTGGTCACATGACTTAACTGACTTGGTCACATGACTTAACTGACCAGGTCACATGACTTAACTGACTTGGTCACATGACTTAACTGACTTGGTCACATGACTTAACTGACTTGGTCACATGACTTAACTGACCAGGTCACATGACTTAACTGACCTGGTAACATGACTTAACTGACCTGGTCACATGACTTAACTGACTTGGTCACATGACTTAACTGACCTGGTCATCTGGCTGGTCCAGATTCAAGTATTTCTCCAGCAGCTGTTTGTTTCCATGAGTCCAGTGGCTGGCCATGTTGTTCAGCTGATGCTGTTAGTGTTAGCCCTGCATTGCCCAGAGAAAAAATACAACAGCTTTCACACAATACATTTAGGCTGCCCTAGGGACACCCAGAACAGACGTCACACAATACATTTAAGCTGCCCTAGGGCAGTGGCGTAGCGAGGTCGGGTGTCACCCGGTGCGGTACTTAATGGTGTCACCCCCCAGAGGCGTAGCGACCCTTCCCGGGACAAACTTTCAAGTTTTCGATTTGCACCCCCCTCAAACTTTCGATTTGCACCCCCCTCCCCTCAAGTTTTCGATTTGCACCCCCCCCCCTCAAACTTTCGATTTGCACCCCCCCCTCAAGTTTTTCTGTATATATTTTGCTATTTTTTGCCTTGGTGTCACCCCCCTAAATGGTGTCACCCGGTGCGGTCCGCACCCCCCGCACCCCCCTCGCTACGCCCCTGCCCTAGGGACACCCAGAACAGATGTCACACAATACATTTAGGCTGCCCTAGGGACACCCAGAACAGACGTGTGATTTATCTGCCTCTAGATATCTCCATAGCAACAGAATCTCAGCTTACAAAACATTCTTAAACTTAGCTATCATTGATAGCTACACATCAAATTAGGAAGCTAAATACTGGTCATGGTCTGAGCACCATAGGAGCTAAGGATTAAACTACTACAATAATTAGGGGTCCATCAACAGAAGATTTGATCATTTTACACATCAACACTTCATAGCCTAAAGATTACATAAGAATAAGAGATAAGAAATTTATTTGAAATAAAAAATACAATTTAAGCTTAGAATTAGAATTTAGTTTGAATGAGGGGGGGGGGGGGGGAGAGAAGAGAATAATTCTATAAATGATCAGAAGACAACCTCTGAGTTGAGAACTGAAACATTTGGTGAAGATATCAGTTTATTATCTTACTAACCTAAACAGAAACATATAATTACAAAAATTAAGTATATAGATCTAGAATTTTTGTTCTGGATTTATGTCAGCTAAACTAGCTCTTTATCAATAATATCATAAGAGAAAAGCCTAATTTTAAAGTATTTTTTTCAGTTAAAGAATAGATTAAATCATTTAAATTAAAATTATGGTACAGGATACAGGACATCTGAAGTAAAATGAATAAAAATCCTGGCAAGCCGTGTTAATTTAATAATAAATTCGAAAAATGTAGGCCTTGTAATTATAATTAATCCAGTCTAGATCTAGATCTATTCTTAATTCTTTGTATTTATTAAGAACTCATTGGGTATAATTAATATAAAAATATTGAATTTTAAAAAAAATAAAAGCAACATGAATATGAATTCGGTTGGTAAATCGAAAGAGAAGTTTACAAATTAATAAAATTTTAAAATAAGACCAATGCGTTTACCTTTTCTCTTAGATTTGACTTGAGCCGTCTTGTTTACGTTTAGATCTAGATCTAGTTAATAGTTAAATCTAGGACACACATCAGTCACCGCACAGCTGTTCAGTGTAGCAATATAAATAATATATAACCACCTACAGTTACGTAATATTATTTATAACGTCAGTCATTGAATATCACATATACAGCCTTAAATGGGCTATATCTAATTTTGAAGTATGCTCCGTAAATGATAATCGGCACGCAATGTCAGATTTTATTCGGCGACTCCATTGTTACAAGCGTCGTTCACCGCTCGGCCCCTATCACACACGAACGGGGTCGTAGCCATCAATATCGTCATTGCGTGTGGCGGAGATTTTCGTCTACTTACGCGCCTCTGCTTGACGCAACGCTGGCAAGAACGAATTGCTGAAATGGCCATGCGTGCAATTATCGGGTTTCGTTAATTTTGAGTGGCTGATAGCACTTGGACTAGATACTAGATAAATAGCCCGTTGATGGAGACATACAACGGGCGCTAAACCGAAACCAAAAGCACCACCTAAACTTCAAATTTAACTGGAAACAAAAATGTCATTGACAACGGATTTTTACCCAGATTTGGCATTGTAATTGGATTCGGAAATTTAACTTGAAATAACAGTGTGATAACACTTAATAAGGGGTCATCCATTTATAATATCCACATTTTTTTTATATTTTGGACCCCTCCCCTGTCCACTTAATTATCTTTTAAAAGTCCACACGGGTCTGCAAAAGTTATTATGAACGTCATAAGCTTTCGATTTGCACCGTCCCTCAAACTTTCGATTTGCACCCCCTCCTCAAACTTTCAATTTCTTTTTCCAACCCATTTTGGCGCCCCCTAAGGTCGGCGCCCGGGGACATATGTCCCCCCCCCCCTCGCGACGCCTCTGTAAATGGATGACCCCTAACCGCAACCTTCACTTGAAATTTACACTGGTAGAGTATAGGGCCTAATCTTCTATATAAATTGTGTTTCGTTCGGGGGTTTGTAGACGTTCTTGGGCAGGGGGAAGGCACCCCCCCCCCCCTTACCTAAAGAGATGCCTGAAAGGAATTCTCCATGCGGACCACTTTTAAGATAAGACCAATAATTAGGCGGCAGTGTTAGTGTCTTCATTATCGAGTTTCGATGACGTCATTATTTTTATGGCATTTCGTTTGACTGAAAGTTTTTACTTTTCTTGTGTTTTCTCTAGAGCATTCCGGGCACAGTGACAGAATAGCATCACAATTAATACGAGTGTTGTGTTGACTAATTATGTATATAATTTTGTTTTATTTTTTCTAATAGGTATTAGTAGCCTATGTTATTTTAAATGTGTCAGACTTTTAGCTATTTAGTTATTTCTTTGCTTTGTCACTAATATCGTTAAACCTGTAGTAAAGCGCATTGCGTTTTGACCAATAACTATTTTATAAAATATTCTTATAAAAATGTATACCATTAAAAATATATAGACAGATAATTCACGTGTAACGGGTACCAACGGCTAGTAGACAAAGAAAAGATCAATCAGAAATTGTTACTCCCTTCGGTTCAAATTGTTGAATACTAAATTATCTGCCCCTAATAGCCGTCACTAACCCGGCTCTACGATTGTAAACATTCGGGGTGAACCACAGCTCACCTGACAGGTGGGGATGAGGGTGGTGGCTAAGCTGCGTGTGTTTTCTATGGTCTCCATGAAGAGAATTATATATATAGATTATTATAGATGTGTTACCAATCGTGTATTTTAGAGGCGGCAATATGTTTAGAGGATTTAATCTATGTGTTACCAATCGTGTATTTTAGAAGCGTGACCAATATGTTGAGAGGATTTAATCAATGTGTTACCAATCGTGTATTTTAGTGTTACCAATCGTGTATTTTAGTGTTACCAATCGTGTATTTTAGAGGCGTGACCATGTTTTCCAAAACTGATTTATTTAAATTTATACAAAGCAGGCACTACATTTCTTGGATCTTTGTTGCTGGGTTGTCCACACTGCTGCTCAGAGGCCTCAAGAAAACCTAGTGTGTATGTTAATCCCCTCCATAATAGTGGGGTATAGCATACCTCGTGTACCAGCCGAGTGCCATCGTGGTGCGCCGTCAGGAGGGTTCCACTACTGCAGGGGTGCTGGCCCCTGGTTCAAGTCATTGAATCTCGGGTGTCACTATTGTATGGCGCTCTTTAAACGAATGTAGGCGGCGTATTTAATCAAATATTGGCAATGTTGATATCTTAAAAAATAAAGGCCAATGTCAATAAGAAAATGCCCCTGTGCCTACTTTTGTTCAGTGTTACAAAAGATTATATAATTACATCCAAAGTGCTGGCAATATGGCAACTGGCCAACAATACATTAGTGTAGTGTGAACACGGCTTTAGTTTAACCAACTGGCCAACAATACATTAGTGTAGTGTGAACACGGCTTTAGTTTAACCAACTGGCCAACAATACATTAGTGTAGTGTGAACGCTGCTTTAGTTTAACCAACTGGCCAACAATACATTAGTGTAGTGTGAACACGGCTTTAGTTTAACCAACTGGCCAACAATACATTAGTGTAGTGTGAACACGGCTTTAGTTTAACCAACTGGCCAACAATACATTAGTGTAGTGTGAACGCGGCTTTAGTTTAACCAACTGGCCAACAATACATTAGTGTAATGTGAACGCGGCTTTAGTTTAACCAACTGGCTACAATACATTAGTGTAGTGTGAAAATTGGCTGTGTTTTTTGTTCCCCATGAAGGCTGTCTGTAATTAAATTAGTTTCAATATTCAACTCTCATGCTAGAAGTTAGGGATTCGTTATAGTTTAGGATATTTAAAATACCTACAGTAAATTACCATAATTTTGTTGCAAAGACTACAATTTGTTAACATACTATATATCCATAATATATAGCCCACCATTCCCACCCACTAATCCTGATAAAAAGTGTCTGACATTACCCCTTGGTCATACATCCCACTGGCCACTGGATGGATGTGTGAGTCATACATCATGAATTTTGTCAACTGGGAATCTTGTCAACTACACTACCCGGTCCAGTGGCCCCCTACACCACCCGGCCCAGTGGCCCGCTACACCACCCGGCCCAGTGGCCCACTACACCACCCGGCCCAGTGGCCCACTACACCACCTGGCCCAGTGGCCCACTACACCACCCGGCCCAGTGGCCCACTACACCACCCGGCCCAGTGGCCCACTACACCACCTGGCCCAGTGGCCCACTACACCACCTGGCCCACTACACCACCTGGCCAAGTGGCCCGCTACACTACCCGGGCCAAGTGGCCCGCTACACCACCCGGCCCAGTGGCCCACTACACCACCTGGCCCAGTGGCCCACTACACCACCCGGCCCAGTGGCCCACTACACCACCTGGCCCACTACACCACCTGGCCCACTACACCACCTGGCCCAGTGGCCCGCTACACCACCCGGCCCAGTGGCCCACTACACCACCTGGCCCACTACACCACCTGGCCCACTACACCACCTGGCCCACTACACCACCTGGCCCACTACACCACCTGGCCCACTACACCACCCGGCCCAGTGGCCCACTACACCACCTGGCCCAGTGGCCCACTACACCACCTGGCCCACTACACCACCTGGCCAAGTGGCCCGCTACACTACCCGGGCCAAGTGGCCCGCTACACCACCCGGCCCAGTGGCCCACTACACCACCTGGCCCACTACACCACCTGGCCCACTACACCACCCGGCCCAGTGGCCCACTACACCACCTGGCCCAGTGGCCCGCTACACCACCCTGCCCAGTGGCCCACTACACCACCCTGCCCAGTGGCCCACTTCACCACCCGGCCCAGTGGCCCACTACACCACCCGTCCCAGTGGCCCACTACACCACCTGGATCACTACACCACCCGGCCCAGTGACCCACTACACCACCCGGTCCAGTGGCCCACTTCACCACCTGGCCCACTACACCACCTGGCCCACTACGCCACCCGGCCCAGTGGCCCACTACGCCACCCAGCCCAGTGGCCCACTACGCCACCTAGCCCAGTGGCCCACTACACCACCCGTCCCAGTGGCCCACTACACCACCTGGATCACTACACCACCCGGCCCAGTGACCCACTACACCACCCGGTCCAGTGGCCCACTTCACCACCTGGCCCACTACACCACCTGGCCCACTACGCCACCCGGCCCAGTGGCCCACTACGCCACCCAGCCCAGTGGCCCACTACGCCACCTAGCCCAGTGGCCCACTACACCACCCGGCCCAGTGGCCCACTACACCACCTGGCCCAGTGGCCCGCTACACCACCCGGCCCAGTGGCCCGCTACACCACCCGGCCCAGTGGCCCGCTACACCACCTGGCCCACTACACCACCCGGCCCTGTCGCCCACTACACCACCCGGCCCAATGGCCCACTACACCACCTGGCCCAGTGACCCGCTACACCACCCGGCCCAGTGGCCCACTACACCACCTGGCCCACTACACCACCTGGCCCAGTGGCCCACTACACCACCTGGCCCAGTGGCCCACTACACCACCTGGCCCACTACACCACCTGGCCCAGTGGCCCACTACACCACCCGGCCCAGTGGCCCACTACACCACCCGGCCCAGTGGCCCACTACACCACCTGGCCCAGTGGCCCACTACACCACCTGGCCCACTACACCACCCGGCCCAGTGGCCCACTACACCACCTGGCCCAGTGGCCCACTACACCACCTGGCCCAGTGGCCCACTACACCACCTGGCCCACTACACCACCTGGCCCAGTGGCCCACTACACCACCTGGCCCACTACACCACCTGGCCCACTACACCACCTGACCTATTGCTAGTGTACACTTACAATGAACACCCTCTCAGACAACAAACCACACAACAGTGGGATGTCAAAGTATAATTTTTATACAATATTCCAATGCTTCATGAATGCTACATTGGACCATGTCACATCCAACATTCATCCAATGGACAGTTCTCTAACATTTGAAAAAATATTCTTAAACAAGAGACATTTCATTAACATTAATCTCATTAACAATGGAGCATATTATAAAATCTTTTGAACTAAAGAAATGGATCATCAAATACACAAACTTGCAAGCCATAGAAGGAGCATACAACCACCAGACAAGCATTAGATAGAAAATGTGGAGTGTGTTGAACAAGTGGATCTACAACTCTGTGGGTTAAACAACTTTCTACACAGATCTAGACTGGTACTTGAGTCAATGGAAATGAAGAAACAAATTTGTCAGAACACTTGGATGACCAGGACTATTCTGACAGGACAGTTGTTCTGACCAGGACAATTCTGACAGGACAGTTGTCCTGACCAGGACAATTCTGACAGGACAGTTGTCCTGACCAGGACAATTCTGACAGGACAGTTGTCCTGACCAGGACTATTCTGACAGGACAGTTGTCCTGACCAGGACCTCTGTGACAGCGTAGGGATCACAGTTGGACGATGGTCGTCTGTCCTCCAGGTAGCCGCAGTTGTCTTCTGCCACCTGCGGACAACATTTTAAACGTGTGGGAACATGATTTGATTCACATGGGAACATTTGTTTTCATGTGGGAACATGATTTGATTCACATGGGAACATTTGTTTCATCTTTTTGTTCAGAAAAAAAATGTTAGGAATGATTTACCTGATGAAAAATGACAATATTTTTTTGAAAGGTTGAATTAATATGGAAAACTTTAGGTTTAAGTTTGAATGAAGAATCTATAAATAATGAAATGGATAAAGTAAAATAACTACAATCTGGGGGATACAATTTGTTAAGTCAGAAGTCAGGCCTCACCTGTCGCGGTATGCGTATACTGGCCCCACGATTGGCAACACCAGCAGAGAAGTCGTGGATACTGGAGGTCTCATGACGCCCAGTCAGGCGCCGCTCGTTATCTTTGCCTTCTCTGGGGTCGTAGGCTTTGATATGTCTGACATGGTGCTTGGACAATTTCTCAATTGCCTCTTCAATGGCCCTGGAAAACAAACAGAACACCTCAGATACTGGGAAACTAGAGAGGATTTGTAGTACAAAGTAAGCTAGACAACTAGAGATGGTACAGTTGTCCAGCTTAGTGCTGACTTCAGTTATTCATGCCACTAGGCCAGGGGTCGGCAACCTTTTAAAGCGGAAGAGCCAAAAGTTAAAATTTTCCAAATTTTCCTGGTTTTAAAGAGCCACTAACATTTTTTTAATTTCAAATATTTTATTTTTTTATTAAGATTATTAGTATTAGTTCAAGGAGCTGGAGAGCCGCATCTTGATATCAAAAGAGCCGCATGCGGCTCGCGAGCCGCAGGTTGCCGACCCCTGCACTAGGCTGCTTCATTTCACGGCTCATATAACTTAGCCCTGAGAGTTAGTCCTATAAGTCATAGTACTAAATGTAGAAACTCTCTCATGACTTATAGGACTAACAGTAGGACCTCTTTCATGACTTGAGGTGCTACAGTTTGTCCTATAAGTCATGAGAGGTCCTACAGTTAGTCCTATAAGTCCTGAAAGAGGTCCTACAGTTAGTCCTATAAGTCCTGAGAGAGGTCCTACAGTTTGTCCTATAAGTCATGAGAGGTCCTACAGTTAGTCCTATAAGTCCTGAAAGAGGTCCTACAGTTAGTCCTATAAGTCCTGAGAGAGGTCCTACAGTTTGTCCTATAAGTCCTGAGAGAGGTGCTACACTCACTTGATGCCATTTGGCTGCCGCATGTCATGTGTGCTATAGTTGCAATGAGCACCTGCACCATTCCAGTCACCTTCCATAGGCTTGGGGTCAAGGGTGACAATCACACCAAAGTCTTCAGCAACTCTGTGTAGGATGTAGCGGGCTATCCACAGGTGGTCTCCCATGGTGATCCCCTCACAGGGTCCCACTTGAAACTCCCACTGGTGGATGTGTACACGTGTCATTAGTAGGTCACCAGGTATTTGATCAGTACAGACATTAGTAGGTCAGCAGGTATTTGATCAGTACAGACATTAGTAGGTCACCAGGTATTTGATCAGTACAGACATTAGTAGGTCACCAGGTATTTGATCAGTACAGACATTAGTAGGTCGCCAGGTATTTGATCAGTAGAGACATTAGTAGGTCACCAGGTATTTGATCAGTACAGACATTAGTAGGTCACCAGGTATTTGATCAGTACAGACATTAGTAGGTCACCAGGTAATTGATCAGTACAGTCATTAGTAGGTCACCAGATATTTGATCAGTACAGACATTAGTAGGTCACCAGGTAATTGATCCGTACAGACATTAGTAGGTCACCAGGTAATTGATCAGTAGAATTAGTAGGTCACCAGATATTTGATCAGTACAGTCATTAGTAGGTCACCAGGTATTTGATCAGTACAGACATTAGTAGGTCAGCAGGTATTTGATCAGTACAGTCATTAGTAGGTCACCAGGTATTTGATCAGTACAGACATTAGTAGGTCACCAGGTATTTGATCCGTACAGACATTAGTAGGTCACCAGGTAATTGATCAGTAGAATTAGTAGGTCACCAGGTATTTGATCAGTACAGTCATTAGTAGGTCACCAGGTAATTGATCAGTAGAATTAGTAGGTCACCAGGTATTTGATCAGTACAGTCATTAGTAGGTCACCAGGTATTTGATCAGTAGAGACATTAGTAGGTCACCAGGTATTTGATCAGTACAGACATTAGTAGGTCACCAGGTATTTGATCAGTAGAGACATTAGTAGGTCACCAGGTATTTGATCAGTAGAGACATTAGTAGGTCACCAGGTAATTGATCAGTAGAATTAGTAGGTCACCAGGTATTTGATCAGTACAGACATTAGTAGGTCAGCAGGTATTTGATCAGTACAGACATTAGTAGGTCACCAGGTATTTGATCAGTACAGACATTAGTAGGTCACCAGGTATTTGATCAGTACAGACATTAGTAGGTCGCCAGGTATTTGATCAGTAGAGACATTAGTAGGTCACCAGGTATTTGATCAGTACAGACATTAGTAGGTCACCAGGTATTTGATCAGTACAGACATTAGTAGGTCACCAGGTAATTGATCAGTACAGTCATTAGTAGGTCACCAGATATTTGATCAGTACAGACATTAGTAGGTCACCAGGTAATTGATCCGTACAGACATTAGTAGGTCACCAGGTAATTGATCAGTAGAATTAGTAGGTCACCAGATATTTGATCAGTACAGTCATTAGTAGGTCACCAGGTATTTGATCAGTACAGACATTAGTAGGTCAGCAGGTATTTGATCAGTACAGTCATTAGTAGGTCACCAGGTATTTGATCAGTACAGACATTAGTAGGTCACCAGGTATTTGATCCGTACAGACATTAGTAGGTCACCAGGTAATTGATCAGTAGAATTAGTAGGTCACCAGGTATTTGATCAGTACAGTCATTAGTAGGTCACCAGGTAATTGATCAGTAGAATTAGTAGGTCACCAGGTATTTGATCAGTACAGTCATTAGTAGGTCACCAGGTATTTGATCAGTAGAGACATTAGTAGGTCACCAGGTATTTGATCAGTACAGACATTAGTAGGTCACCAGGTATTTGATCAGTAGAGACATTAGTAGGTCACCAGGTATTTGATCAGTAGAGACATTAGTAGGTCACCAGGTAATTGATCAGTAGAATTAGTAGGTCACCAGGTATTTGATCAGTACAGTCATTAGTAGGTCACCAGGTATTTGATCAGTACAGACATTAGTAGGTCACCAGGTATTTGATCAGTACAGACATTAGTAGGTCACCAGGTATTTGATCAGTACAGACATTAGTAGGTCACCAGGTATTTGATCAGTACAGACATTAGTAGGTCACCAGGTATTTGATCAGTACAGACATTAGTAGGTCACCAGGTATTTGATCAGTACAGACATTAGTAGGTCACCAGGTATTTGATCAGTAGAGACATTAGTAGGTCACCAGGTATTTGATCAGTACAGACATTAGTAGGTCACCAGGTAATTGATCAGTAGAATTAGTAGGTCACCAGGTATTTGATCAGTACAGTCATTAGTAGGTCACCAGGTATTTGATCCGTACAGACATTAGTAGGTCACCAGGTATTTGATCAGTACAGACATTAGTAGGTCACCAGGTATTTGATCAGTACAGACATTAGTAGGTCACCAGGTATTTGATCAGTACAGACATTAGTAGGTCACCAGGTATTTGATCAGTACAGACATTAGTAGGTCACCAGGTATTTGATCAGTACAGACATTAGTAGGTCACCAGGTAATTGATCAGTAGAATTAGTAGGTCACCAGATATTTGATCAGTACAGACATTAGTAGGTCACCAGGTATTTGATCAGTACAGACATTAGTAGGTCACCAGGTAATTGATCAGTACAGACATTAGTAGGTCACCAGATATTTGATCAGTACAGACATTAGTAGGTCACCAGGTAATTGATCCGTACAGACATTAGTAGGTCACCAGGTAATTGATCAGTAGAATTAGTAGGTCACCAGATATTTGATCAGTACAGTCATTAGTAGGTCACCAGGTATTTGATCAGTACAGACATTAGTAGGTCAGCAGGTATTTGATCAGTACAGTCATTAGTAGGTCACCAGGTATTTGATCAGTACAGACATTAGTAGGTCACCAGGTATTTGATCAGTAGAGACATTAGTAGGTCACCAGGTATTTGATCAGTAGAGACATTAGTAGGTCACCAGGTATTTGATCAGTAGAGACATTAGTAGGTCACCAGGTAAAACAATAAATCTGTCTAATCAAAGCTCTAGCAGGGACTAAACAGAAAGGATGGGTGTAGTCAAGTTGTAGCAGTTGAAAGAGCACAAAGAGAGGAGGAAGTTGGTACCTGAGCTGGCATAACCTCCGCGTTACATCCACTAATCTTGACCCCGGCATACAGACACGCCCTGTAGTGGGCCTCAACCACATCCCTGCCGTAGACTTTATTGGAGCCCACGCCACAGTAGTAGGGCCCTGAGGAGGGGACGATGGGGAAAATTTTATTTTTTCTAACACACTGCCAAAATATGTTGGGGATGAATTTTTCAATGCAAACAAAAAACTCAAACAATACAGATGTTAACAAGTCACAAATACTCTCTTATTCACGGACCAGATGGTGCAGGTTCTCTCACCTGCCAGGTGTCAACTCACTTGACCCACATCACTTGTATTCATTAGCAGAATTAGCAATTGGCTAGCAATCAACATTTGATGACACTAACGATATTTTCATTTCTAATTGGCCAATTTGGCAGGTCTGTTGTGTCCCAGTTTTCTGGCAATGTAGGCTCCAGCAGAATGAGACAAGATGCCCACCCACCACCTGCTCCGCTCACCACATCCACCGCCAGCTCCACCCACCACATCCACCGCCAGCTCCACCCACCACATCCACCGCCAGCTCCACCCACCACATCCACCGCCAGCTCCACCCACCACATCCACCGCCAGCTCCACCCACCACATCCACCGCCAGCTCCACCCACCACATCCACCGCCAGCTCCACCCACCACATCCACCGCCAGCTCCACCCACCACATCCACCGCCAGCTCCACCCACCACATCCACCGCCAGCTCCACCCACCACATCCACCGCCAGCTCCACCCACCACATCCACCGCCAGCTCCACCCACCACATCCACCGCCAGCTCCACCCACCACATCCACCGCCAGCTCCACCCACCACATCCACCGCCAGCTCCACCCACCACATCCACCGCCAGCTCCACCCACCACATCCACCGCCAGCTCCACCCACCACATCCACCGCCAGCTCCACCCACCACATCCACCGCCAGCTCCACCCACCACATCCACCGCCAGCTCCACCCACCACATCCACCGCCAGCTCCACCCACCACATCCACCGCCAGCTCCACCCACCACATCCACCGCCAGCTCCACCCACCACATCCACCGCCAGCTCCACCCACCACATCCACCGCCAGCTCCACCCACCACATCCACCGCCAGCTCCACCCACCACATCCACCCACCACCAGCTCCACCCACCACATCCACCACCACATCCACCACCAGCTCCACCCACCACATCCACCACCAGCTCCACCCACCACATCCACCACCAGCTCCACCCACCACATCAACCACCAGCTCCACCCACCACATCCACCACCAGCTCCACCCACCACCAGCTCCACCCACAGCTCCACCCACCACATCCACCACCAGCTCCACCCACTACATCCACCACCACATCCACCACCTGCTCCACCCACCACACCCACCACCAGCTCCACCCACCACATCCACCACCAGCTCCACCCACCACATCCACCACCAGCTCCACCCACCACATCCACCACCAGCTCCACCCAACACATCCACCACCTGCTCCACCCACCACATCCACCACCTGCTCCACCCACCACATCCACCACCAGCTCCACCCAACAATTGTGACAATTTACTTTACGTCCCTTACAGTAGACACACACTGGTCTACTGAACCACAACATTATTAATTGGACAAACACAACAGCTTTCAGTTGCTTGCCCCACACCAACATTTCAAACATTGCTGACTTGCAAGTTAGTTGACAGTTGGAGAAAGTCAGGCTCTAATTGATTTCAAGTGTAGCAGCAGTTGCACAGTGTGACCTCACAATGACCAAGTCTCTTACAATACCATCTCTTTAAGGTCAAGGTTACATGAATTATTTGGATAACATCAACAAATGTGCAGCTTATTGAATCAACCAATTAGAGGAGTTCCAGCTCAACATGTGACCAAAGCTGACCAATCATCACTTTACTGCTCATTTCATGGCCACCATAACACAACATGTGACCAAAGCTGACCCCAGCATCACGTTGATCCTTGCATGAGGAACTTTCCATTTCAAGTTGTCTTTGTATGTGTGTGTGTGTGTATGGAAAGGGGGGGGGGAATCAAGTTCACCTCTACAGCTCAGTGACATTGTGACATTTGACAACAGGAACATTTGACAACAGTGACATTTGCAATCACAGACTGTACTCTTGATTGTTTCAAATAGGGGGAATAACAAAGCTGATAGGCAGAAAAACTAGAACTTAGTAGTGGAATAAAATTACTGAAATGTTGGAGATTGTATGTACAGTCCAAACCCTCATTGTGTTTTTAAATAATCAAATATTGATTTAAAACCTTACCCTACAGACAATGCTAAAATTAAACTAGAATTTCTATTCAACCTCTACAGGCTAATCCCAACTGATCTGGCACATGGGGCTTGTCACCATAGAAACCAAGGCACTAATCCCTGCATCCTGTGCTGTAATCTCTTAATCCGCCCCTGATGTAACCCAAGGGTTAACACAGGGGTCAAGTAACTAAATATACAAATACCAGGGCAAGGGGGGGGGGTGGATTAATGAAGGGAGGGAAAAGATGGGAGGTCAAGAGGGAAAAGATGGGAGGTCAAGAGGGAAAAGATGGGAGGTCAAGAGGGAAAAGATGGGAGGTCAAGAGGGAAAAGATGGGAGGTCAAGAGGGAAAAGATGGGAGGTCAAGAGGGAAAAGATTGGAGGTCAAGAGGGAAAAGATGGGAGGTCAAGAGGGAAAAGATGGGAGGTCAAGAGGGAAAAGATGGGAGGTCAAGAGGGAAAAGATGGGAGGTCAAGAGGGAAAAGATGGGAGGTCAAGAGGGAAAAGATGGGAGGTCAAGAGGGAAAAGATGGGAGGTCAGGAGGGAAAGATGGGAGGTCAAGAGGGAAAAGATGGGAGGTCAAGAGGGAAAAGATGGGAGGTCAGGAGGGTGAGCCCATGTTTGCCAGCCACTGACCTTGTGGTCCAGGGAAGCCATTCTTGGGCCAGCCAAAAGGATGACCATCATAGTCCAACAGTGTGTACTCCTGCTCAATGCCAAACCAGGGGTGGGCGTGGGCTGCCTGTTTCATCACTTCATTGCAAGTCTTTCTGCGGTTGGTTTCTGCTCAACAGAATCATCAGAATCATTAGCTACACACATTGTCTTATATTTGATGTGAATTTAAAATCATCAGAATCATTAGCTACACACATTGTCTTATATTTCATGTAGATTTAAAATCATCAGACCATTGTCAACTAAACACATTGTCTTATATTTGATGTAGATTTAAAATCATCAGAATCATTAGCTACACACATTGTTTTATATTTGATGTAGATTTAAAATCATCAGACCATTGTCAACTAAACACATTGTCTTATATTTGATGTAGATTTAAAATCATCAGACCATTGTCAACTAAACACATTGTCTTATATTTCTTGTGGATGGAAATGTCCCCCTACCATTGTCAACAGTTATCTACCCTGTAGATTGAAATGTCCCCCTACCATTAACCAAACAGTTATCTACCCTGTAGATTGAAATGTCCCCCTACCATTAACCAAACAGTTATCTACCATGTAGATTTAAATGTCCCCCAACCATTAACCAAACAGTTATCTACCCTGTAGGTTGAAATGTCCCCCTACCATTGTCAACAGTTATCTACCCTGTAGATTGAAATGTCCCCTACCATTGTCAACAGTTATCTACCCTGTAGATTAAAATGTCCCCCTACCATTGTCAAGCCAACAGTTATCTACCCTGTAGATTGAAATGTCCCCCTACCATTGTCAACAGTTATCTACCCTGTAGATTGAAATGTCCCCCTACCATTAACCAAACAGTTATCTACCCTGTAGATTGAAATGTCCCCCTACCATTAACCAAACAGTTATCTACCCTGTAGATTGAAATGTCCCCCTACCATTGTCAACAGTTATCTACCCTGTAGATTGAAATGTCCCCCTACCATTAACCAAACAGTTATCTACCCTGTAGATTGAAATGTCCCCCTACCATTGTCAACAGTTATCTACCCTGTAGATTGAAATGTCCCCCTACCATTGTCAACAGTTATCTACCCTGTAGATTGAAATGTCCCCCTACCATTGTCAACAGTTATCTACCCTGTAGATTGAAATGTCCCCCTACCATTGTCAACAGTTATCTACCCTGTAGATTGAAATGTCCCCCTACCATTGTCAAGCCAGCAGTTATCTACCCTGTAGATTGAAATGTCCCCCTACCATTGTCAAGCCAACAGTTATCTACCCTGTAGATTGAAATGTCCCCCTACCATTGTCAAGCCAACAGTTATCTACCCTGTAGATTGAAATGTCCCCCTACCATTGTCAAGCCAACAGTTATCTACCCTGTAGATTGAAATGTCCCCCTACCATTGTCAACAGTTATCTACCCTGTAGATTGAAATGTCCCCCTACCATTGTCAACAGTTATCTACCCTGTAGATTGAAATGTCCCCCTACCATTAACCAAACAGTTATCTACCCTGTAGATTGAAATGTCCCCCTACCATTAACCAAACAGTTATCTACCCTGTAGATTGAAATGTCCCCCTACCATTAACCAAACAGTTATCTACCCTGTAGATTGAAATGTCCCCCTACCATTGTCAAGCCAACAGTTATCTACCCTGTAGATTGAAATGTCCCCCTACCATTAACCAAACAGTTATCTACCCTGTAGATTGAAATGTCCCCCTACCATTGTCAACAGTTATCTACCCTGTAGATTGAAATGTCCCCCTACCATTAACCAAACAGTTATCTACCCTGTAGATTGAAATGTCCCCCTACCATTGTCAACAGTTATCTACCCTGTAGATTGAAATGTCCCCCTACCATTAACCAAACAGTTATCTACCCTGTAGATTGAAATGTCCCCCTACCATTGTCAACAGTTATCTACCCTGTAGATTGAAATGTCCCCCTACCATTGTCAAGCCAACAGTTATCTACCCTGTAGATTGAAATGTCCCCCTACCATTGTCAAGCCAACAGTTATCTACCCTGTAGATTGAAATGTCCCCCTACCATTGTCAAGCCAACAGTTATCTACCCTGTAGATTGAAATGTCCCCCTACCATTGTCAAGCCAACAGTTATCTACCCTGTAGATTGAAATGTCCCCCTACCATTGTCAACAGTTATCTACCCTGTAGATTGAAATGTCCCCCTACCATTGTCAACAGTTATCTACCCTGTAGATTGAAATGTCCCCCTACCATTGTCAAGCCAACAGTTATCTACCCTGTAGATTGAAATGTCCCCCTACCATTAACCAAACAGTTATCTACCCTGTAGATTGAAATGTCCCCCAACCATTAACCAAACAGTTATCTACCCTGTAGATTGAAATGTCCCCCAACCATTAACCAAACAGTTATCTACCCTGTAGATTGAAATGTCCCCCTACCATTGTCAACAGTTATCTACCCTGTAGATTGAAATGTCCCCCTACCATTAACCAAACAGTTATCTACCCTGTAGATTGAAATGTCCCCCTACCATTGTCAAGCCAACAGTTATCTACCCTGTAGATTGAAATGTCCCCCTACCATTAACCAAACAGTTATCTACCCTGTAGATTGAAATGTCCCCCTACCATTAACCAAACAGTTATCTACCCTGTAGATTGAAATGTCCCCCTACCATTAACCAAACAGTTATCTACCCTGTAGATTGAAATGTCCCCCTACCATTGTCAAGCAAACAGTTATCTACCCTTTAGATTGAAATGTCCCCCAACCATTAACCAAACAGTTATCTACCCTGTAGATTGAAATGTCCCCCAACCATTAACCAAACAGTTATCTACCCTGTAGATTGAAATGTCCCCCAACCATTAACCAAACAGTTATCTACCCTGTAGATTGAAATGTCCCCCTACCATTGTCAAGCCAACAGTTATCTACCCTGTAGATTGAAATGTCCCCCTACCATTGTCAACAGTTATCTACCCTGTAGGTTGAAATGTCCCCCTACCATTGTCAACAGTTATCTACCCTGTAGATTGAAATGTCCCCCTACCATTGTCAACAGTTATCTACCCTGTAGATTGAAATGTCCCCCTACCATTAACCAAACAGTTATCTACCCTGTAGATTGAAATGTCCCCCTACCATTAACCAAACAGTTATCTACCATGTAGATTTAAATGTCCCCCAACCATTAACCAAACAGTTATCTACCCTGTAGATTGAAATGTCCCCCTACCATTAACCAAATAGTTATCTACCCTGTAGATTGAAATGTCCCCCTACCATTGTCAACAGTTATCTACCCTGTAGATTGAAATGTCCCCCTACCATTGTCAACAGTTATCTACCCTGTAGATTGAAATGTCCCCCTACCATTAACCAAACAGTTATCTACCCTGTAGATTGAAATGTCCCCCTACCATTAACCAAACAGTTATCTACCATGTAGATTTAAATGTCCCCCAACCATTAACCAAACAGTTATCTACCCTGTAGATTGAAATGTCCCCCTACCATTAACCAAAAAGTTATCTACCCTGTAGATTGAAATGTCCCCCTACCATTAACCAAATAGTTATCTACCCTGTAGATTGAAATGTCCCCCTACCATTGTCAACAGTTATCTACCCTGTAGATTGAAATGTCCCCTACCTGCAGGCTTCTTGTTGTATTTGTAGACCTCACACAAGACCAACTTATTTTTGCCACCCCTGAAGGGGTCCCTGAATATAGCACATGGGTACAGGTACATGTCTGAGTTGGAGCCCTCGGCTTGGTAAGTGCTAGAACCATCAAAGTTCCAAATGGGGCAGTCTGTGGACGCAGCGATAGAATAAATTATGGGATCAGTTCAACATTTATAGAACAAATTATGGGATCAATTCAACATTTATAGAACAAATTATGGGATCAGTTCAACATTTTTAGAACTAATTATGGGATCAGTTCAACATTTATAGCACTAATTATGGGATCAATTTAACATATATAGAACAAATTATGGGATCAGTTCAACATTTATAGAACAAATTATGGGATCAGTTCAACATTTATAGAACAAATTATGGAATCAGTTCAACATTTATAGAACAAAGTCGATTGACCAACATTCCAGATTGCTCAGCCTATCAAATAATTGACACAAAAAAATCATCACTAAAGTTTCAGCTACTTAATTTACAAACTTAAAACTAAATTCAAACGTTTTCAAAAACTTAGTCTGGAGTCATTGTTTACCATTTGTCTGCAGTCATTGTGTCACATGATAATACAAATGAACTATGAGTTACAATGTGCCCAATTTTATTTTAGAAATAAATTATTTAATTACCTTCTGGTTTCTTGGGGTCAAAGTCCAAAGTACGACATTTACTCCTGATGCCCTCCCCTGTTCCGTCTATCCACACATATTCTGCCATAACCTCGTCACCAGGCTGCTCCATGCTCAAATATTTCTCCAGCAACTGTTTGTTGCCTGCAAGACTCCCAGGGATAGCCATGATGGACAGTTGACTGGTCAGTTGGCTGGACAGTTGGCTGGTCAGTTGGCTGGTCAGTTGGCTGGACAGTTGGCTGGTCAGTTGGCTGGACACTTACACTCAAACTTCTGTATAAGAAAAAAAATATGTCCTTACTCATTTGTGCACTCAATAGAATTGTACAGTTGGTAAAGCTGAAGCTATATATTATTATATATAAATAAAAAATGTCAGAGGAAATTAATGTTCTAGTAATGAAATTGCAACAAGGTTTCCTCTAGGTCAAGGATTAAAACAACTAGAAAACTGGCCAGAGATTTAGTCTAATGCCTCTTGCAACTCAGATGATTCAACTGAAAATGTTTGACCTTTGGCCATTTATTATTATATTTATTATTTAACTAATTTCCTAAAGAAAGAAAATAATCCAAAAAACATAATGAACTTACATTTTATAATGTATAAAGGTATAAAGATTAAACAACATAAGCTTTGAAATATGTCCTTGTTCTCACCAGTTCTAATTCAATGAGTGGATGGAGTGAAGAATACAAATAATTTTTTTCCCAGTGTACGGTGTTATTGAGATCTAGAAATCTAGATTGAATCTAAAATCAAAGTACTAGATTTATAACTATCTTCTAGATCCAGCTACTGCTTGTTGGGGCTATTCCGAACAACTAGATCTTGAAACAGTCTATCTAGATCTAGATCTAGATGTCTAGTTAGAATCTCCAATCTACTCCTTCAGTTTGTAAACCAAAAGTGAATAATTGTGAAATATCCTCTCCAGTTTAAACTTTAAAGAAAGACGTTCTGCATAAAGTTTGAACTGTATGAACGTAATGAAATTATATTATAGATCTAGATTCTATTATAATGTTATATTATTATAGTATAGAATATAATCAATCTCAATATAGATCTAGTTGCCAGTAGTCTAGGAAGTTTATGTCCAGGAGATCTTGTTGGATCAGTAAATTTAGTGGTGAGAGTCACATGCCCATGTTTTCACAACACCCAACAGAAATAAGACTACGGCTCTAACCGAAATTGTTTCAGCAAACAACATATTTGCTTTTTTGTAGTTTTGTGCTAGATCTAGATCTAGAGAGGAAATTTCATGTCAACATTCAACACACGACGGTGAATTTCCGCTGTTTTAAAAATAGCAGCTCGCACTCTCGGCCCCGTCCTACTTTTTTGTTGACGTGGAGAAATGGAGTCAGCACTAGCAGACGTTGTTTATTTACACGAATAAACAACAACGGATGCACTAACGATCAAGTAAAGTGCAGGTTGACTTATTCAGATGGGAGATGGTGTGTTGGTGTAGAGAGGGCTAGACTAGATCAAACTGGTTTATATAGATCTAGATCTAGATCTAGATTAATACTTATGAAAATGAAATATCACCGAGTTCTGATTTAGGTCACGATGACTCGCACTTTACCAGCAGATCAACGTCCGCCGTCTGATATCGAATTCTCGGAGTGAAAAACTGAAATCTAGATTTAAGTTCAAATGGAATATTCCATACACATCCAATCTATGCACGATAGACAGGAGTAAAATACCAAGGCCTTGATGTACCACAGTGACTTTTGTTTGCTTGTCATAAGATAATAAATACACGGTGTCCTTGTATTGTATAGTATTAATTTAATATTTATCGTGAACTTTGCAAAGTTTTGAAGTGAGACAGTGGAGATTTACAAACATGTCGACTATTTGCTATGTTGTATTATGGGATATTAATATTAGATTTAGTCTAGATCTAGATCCTATATAGAATCTACCCTCTTGTAGTCGGTTGGTGTGTTGAGAGACTGGGTTGGTCGCAGTGTACCATTTATAAAATAACATCGAATTAATTTTATTAAGTCAGGTAAACAGGCAACAGCAACGGGTTACAAAACATATCCTGTAGTTGTTTATCGCGGGTTGTGTTGTTGACAAGGTAGTATTATTGTCTGGCGCCCCCCCCCCCCACCTTGTGGACTACCAGCAGACCACTAAATCAGACTAAACCAGCAAACTACACCATCAGACTATTTCATCTATTCACAATACGGGCAGGATTTGGGCTGGAGTTTCTTCCAGGGAGGGAGTGGGGGGCGTGAGATGCCTGGAAGAAACACTGGGCTGGATATTTTTCCAGGTCGGCGTAAATTAAAGCTTTTTCTTTTAGACATTTCTTCTCCGAAAAGTAGGTGGGGGGGGGGCACTTTAAACTTTCGGGGATACACTTCTATATAAGCATAACATATTATGTTACATCATGGGGGGGGGTCCAAATAGTTAGCTAGCAGGTTTCTGCTGATAGGTTTTTATCTCCCCCCCCCCCCCGTGCCGCCGCAAGTTGAGAAAATTCCCACACATCTAGCGGGTGTGGTGGGAAGTGGAGAAACTTCTCGTCACGGTCACGTGGGTCAGGCTTGAGCTGTTCCAGCAGACACGACTAATCGACGGATCTCAACTGGTGGCAGCACACACCCTCAGCATACATTAGAGTGTTAACACTGGTCAACGGCTAACAACTAGCCAGCCGGCACCACGACTAACTGACCGGACCGCCAGCCGGCACCACGACTAACTGACCGGACCGCCAGCCGGCACCACGACTAACTGACCGGACCGCCAGCCGGCACCACGACTAACTGACCGGACCGCCAGCCGGCACCACGACTAACTGACCGGACCGCCAGCCGGCACCACGACTAACTGACGGACCGCCAGCCGGCACCACGACTAGCTGACCGGACCGCCAGCCGGCACCACGACTAACTGACGGACCGCCAGCCGGCACCACGACTAACCGGTAGCCGGCACCACATATAATAATGGTCGCCGACTGCGCGGTTCGTTCACCGCCAAGGTCGAAACATTCGTTTCGCTACCGTCGATCACGTGATACAAAACTAAAGAAAAATATCCCGAGTGACCCAGTTTGAGTGAAAAGTTTCTTAAACTCGATGCACTAGTGGAGTTGGCTGGGTAACAACTGTCCTCGCTTATCACAAGCTGGTGGATTGCTTCAGATCTTTGCAGCATCCACCTTGGATGCGGGCTCTATGTGGCCTGTAGCTAGGGCAGGCCGGGTGGGGCGGAGCTTCGGGCGCCAATCCCATGGAGGCGCCATAGGGGTAGAACATTTTTTTTTTAATTTCATTTTTAGTTGACGTATTTTGTGAAAATAAACGGCCACCAGGCTTCAGACACTGGTTTAAATGTTTTCTACAGCGTGTGGAGAGAGTGAGATAGTGACTGGTCAAAAGCACCACAAACCTTTTTATCCCCCCCCCCCCCATCCCCGGGGGCACCGTCTAGAACTGACTGCAGGGGGGGGGGGTGACTTAAAGGTCAGGGTGAGCTAGTTATGTGTGGGTCGTTTATAGATAGTTTCAAGCACTTGTGTGGGTTTTAGTGGGGCTTTGGTTTTATTGTTTTCTGTTATCAGGAGCTAACGGTATGCACTGTGTCAACCAGGAAACAACACAAGGTCAAAGTTCAAGTTAATGTTGACCTCGCTTTATAACAGAGAAACAAGGAAGTGACGTCACGAGGTGTGGGCCACCCAAAAACCTATCTGGAGTCACGGCTTATGTAAAGAGGTTAACATTTGGTAGTAGAGGGGTAGGGGTCAGAGTTTCTTCCAGGCATCTCTTCGGGGGGGGGGGGGGGGGGCTGAGTCCACCCTCCCCCACAAGAAAGTCTACCGCCCCCCCCCCCCGAACGAAAAGGAATTTATATATTTATATATAGAAAATGTATACTTTAAACAGTGTCCGCCCCCCCCCCCCCCCCACACACACCACTGGACACAAACCCAGACCACACACCACTGGTGACCAATCACAGTGAATGATGTACTAGCCATTGCCCCACATTCTGGACCCCCCCCCCCCCCCCCCCCCACCCTGCCCTAGGAAGAAAAAGCTGCTGCGGCAAGAAAGTTTCTGGTGTGTGCTACAAGTTCTGACATAGCTGGTTCTGCACGGCTGGCCATCCTAACCTTACAATAAAACGTTACATCACTGGGGGGGGGGGTGTCACCTGGTGGGGGGGTGTCACCTGGTGGGGAGGTGACATTCTAGGGGGTGGGGAGGTGACATTCTAGGGGTGGGGAGGTGACATTCTAGGGGTGGGGAGGTGACATTCTAGGGGTGGGGAGGTGACATTCTAGGGGGTGGGGAGGTGACATTCTAGGGGTGGGGAGGTGACATTCTAGGGGGTGGGGAGGTGACATTCTAGGGGTGGGGAGGTGACATTCTAGGGGGTGGGGAGGTGACATTCTAGGGGTGGGGAGGTGACATTCTAGGGGTGGGGAGGTGACATTCTAGGGGGTTCGGAGGTGACATTCTAGGGGGTGGGGAGGTGACAGCAGCTGGTATGTCTTGTGGTAAGAAATCTGGCACACAATTGGCCCAATGGCTGACATTAGAATGTAGGTCAGAGGAATAAACGATCAAACTTGGGCAGGGAAATGGAAGCCTTCTCGGCCACATACACCAGCTGCGTCTTGCCGACAGAATGCTCTACTTTAGCCCTACCCCCAGTAAGGTTTACCCCCACTTTCAACCAGTGCAATAACGGCGGCTGTTTGCCAACAAATAGTAAAGTACGCCTGCAAGCCAAGGTCATTCTCCTGCGGGAGAGAACTGCTTTATTTATAGACAACCCCCACGCACTCCATTCAATGTCATACACAACTTCTACAGCCTGCCACAGACACCATCCTGCCTACAGCCTGCCACAGGCACCATCCTGCCTACAGCCTGCCACAGGCACCATCCTGCCTACAGCCTGTCACAGGCACCATCCTGCCTACAGCCTGTCACAGGCACCATCCTGCCTACAGCCTGTCACAGGCACCATCCTGCCTACAGCCTGTCACAGGCACCATCCTGCCTACAGCCTGCCACAGGCACCATCCTGCCTACAGCCTGCCACAGGCACCATCCTGCCTACAGCCTGTCCCATCTACAAATGTGGTCCTAACTTTGTGTGTGTGTGTGCGTGTAATGTGTGGGTGCTAACAATGTTAAGCTGTTACATTCTTCTATAAGATATGAAAGCCTGATGGAAAAATGTAACGATCATTGTTTTGTGGGGGGGGGGGGGGAGGAAATCAATTTCTGACGTCATCAATTCGTTTGACTTAGCTGACTTAGTTAAACCGTTGTTTCAGGCATGCGCGTCTAGCTACGACACATACGACGAGCTAAGACACACGGCCATCTGTGTCCAATAACCTGACCACTTAGCCGTAATAAAAAATAAAGACCAGCCACCCAACACCAGTTGGCCGGATGTTTTTGATTTGTAGCTTTGGTGGTCATCCATGTAACCTTGACCTATCTGCCCCGCACCGGATATGCTAAATGGGGCGGGCTAAATCCCCGCGGATGGTCTGAGGTTACCTAACACCAGCGGCGGGAGAAGAAATCTTTCAGGCAAGGACACACGAGTCCGACACGGCTCGCTGAGCTGACTTTGCAACACTCGCATGCCCTACTTTTGTCAACACTCGCATGCCCTACTTTTGTCAACACTCGCATGCCCTACTTTTGTCAACACTCGCATGCCCTACTTTTGTCAACACTCGCATGCCCTACTTTTGTCAACACTCGCATGCCCTACTTTTGTCAACACTCGCATGCCCTACTTTTGTCAACACTCGCATGCTCTACTTTTGTCAACACTCGCATGCTCTACTTTTGTCAACACTCGCATGCTCTACTTTTGTCAACACTCGCATGCCCTACTTTTGTCAACACTCGCATGCTCTACTTTTGTCAACACTCGCATGCTCTACTTTTGTCAACACTCGCATGCTCTACTTTTGTCAACACTCGCATGCCCTACTTACTTTTGTCAACACTCGCAT